CTTCTGCATGCACTGAGCTGTGGTCCTTCCCTGAAGAATCCACAGGGACATAGGAAGCTGCCTTATACATACTGATGGAGTTATAACCCTGCGCCCCTCGTTGTCCTTTGCCATCCACACAGAACTAAATGGGGCTTAGCACTATAATCTTTGGCACCGGCCTTTTTGCACCTTCCTGCCTGGGTAGTGCTTGTTAGGTATTCTAAGATAGACTGCCTCTGTGTAGAGAGGTTCTGTTTAGCTACCAAATACCTTCAGATCAGGGACGCGGGTGGCACTGGGTTAAACCACAGAGCCTAGCACTTGCCGATCAGAAGGTCGGCGGTTCAAATCCCCGCGACGGGGTGAGCTCCTGTTGCTCGGTCCCTGCTCCTGCCCACCTAGCAGTTCAAAAGCACATCAAAGTGCAAGTAGATAAATAGGTACCGCTCGGGCGGGAAGGTAAACGGCGTTTCCGTGCGCTGCTCTGGTTCGCCAGAAGCGAATTAGTCATGCTGGCCACATGACCTGGAAGCTGTACGCCGGCTCCCTCGGCCAGTAAAGCGAGATGAGCGCCGCAACCCCAGAGTCGGCCACGACTGGACCTAATGGTCAGGGGTCCCTTTACCTTTACCTTTTACCTTCAGATCACCTTCTGTGATCTTCCTGCTTTCCTAGACCAGAAGGGGTGGCTTTCAGGGACATCTCAGCCTTTTCGAATCAATCACTTGCCAGCCAGCTAACCTGCTGCCCTTCTTCTTCTTCTTCCTTGTCGCTCAAGGTCATTACTGTTTTCACCTTGGTGGAGGTCGTCCTGAGGTCCGACACCGTCCCCTTGAAGTACAGTGCGGTGCTGAAGAGGCCTGGCGGCGAGGAGTGACCGGCTCCCACGTCCGGAGATGGATTGTGCCCAGCTGACACTGCCAAAGCAACATCCCAAAGGGCCTCATCCTACAGTGACTCTCTCTCCTGGGGAAAGTCGGGCTGTGGGCCTCTTGTTATCAATTTTTGCGAACGGGTTTTGTTTTATGTCTGGATTTTAACCCAAGCCAGCAGCAGCGGGGACGGCAGCCCTCCAGGCATCCCCAGCTGCTGCAGGGACCTGAGTCCCCCTCGGCTCCTGGCTTTTTAGACCCTCCTTTTCTTAAACAAGCCCCTTGCAAAGGACACAGAGGAGCTGAGAGCAGCCCGTGGTGGGATTCCTGTGCCTTAAGGCATTCCTTGCTTCTGTGTTTGTGGCTGTGGCCATGCGGGCATAATAAAAAAAAACCACCTTGGCCAACAACACCCGTGTGTGCGTGTGTGTTTGTGCAGGTTTCCGTCGTCCTGATTTCGCTGGCATTTTCTCATTTGACATTTCAACACGAGAGGAAGTTCCGAAACGATTGTGAAGCAGCAACGGTGCTGTTATCTTCCTCTTTCAATTCCACACACCCATCTCCATCCTCTGCAAAAACAGCACCGTCGCTTGGGAGAGAAACGACGGGGACAAACAATAAATCTGGTTGTGTGTGTTTTAGCCAGTTGAATCAGGGCTGGTGAGTGTGGAAGGAGGACTAAAAGAAGACTAGTAATTTTGGAAGGGGGACGGAGCTCTCCCTACCACCACTGCCGCCCAGAGGAGAAAACCTGCTAGCAGGTGGGGAAATCAGCAAATGGAGAAAACAAGTTCTTACATTTGGATGAAAGTAGAACTCATTGTCCCCAAAGTAATAGAAAAGATTCAGAAATTTGGGGAAGTGGCAGGATTTAAATTAAATAAGAATAAAACCCAACTATTAGTCAAAAATTTGAAGGAAGATGGAAAAAAAGATTTAGAGCAAAATATTGAGATAGAAGTCCATAAAAAGGTTGAGTATTTAGGGATATGGCTAACATCAAGAAATATCTTTTGGGGGAGGGGGGGAGGGGGAAATGGGGGGGTGAGGATGGTTTATTTTTGATAAATTGTTATTTTGAAACTCCTAATAAAAAAAATTTTTTTAAAAAAAGAAAGTAGAACACGTTGTAGGAGGAGAACCTTCTGGGATCACAAACCCATAGAACTGTAGACCTGGAAGGGACCACGGGGGTCATCTAGTCCAGCCCCCTGCAATGCAGGAATCGTTTTGCCCTACATGGAGTTCGAACCCATGACCCCGAGAAGAAGCTAAATGCCAATGGGATTTGGGGGGGGGTGCAGTCAGCCAAGGGGCCACCATCACTTTGAATGCAGTAAAAAAAAGCAGCGTAAACTGTTTGCAGTCTGAGGCAAGCGAAAACCGCACCTATTTTGTGAGAGAGGAAAGGCAGGGGTGTACTGCTTGCTTGGTTCAAGGAATGTGCTTCATGCTTGCTACAGAGATAAGGGTATAATCCGGACACACGTCCCTACCTAAAATACTCTGAAAATATTGCAACACTTTTCTTACCCTTGGTTAAACTCATTTACTTTATCTGTATTAATTATGTTATCTGTGTTTTGATTCTTCTGGGCATAGCCTGACTGGGACAGGTCACAGCTAGGGCTGGGCGATCCCTGGTTTTCAACAGTGCGATCTATCACCAGCTAAATATTGTGGTATACCGCTATCACCATGTCTGAAATAAGGATGGAGCTGGTGTGTGTGTCCGTGTTAAACTGCAGAAAAGCAGAATTTAGTTCCCTGTGCATCAGCTGAGTTAAATCCTGCTTTTTTCAGGGTCTGGGGATGCCCAGTGCAAACTGAATTGGACTCCCTGTGCATTAGCTGGTGATCAATCCTCTACAGTCACGTCTCCACTTGCCAGGAGAAACATTATGGTTTCAAAACCAAGCCAGTTTGCCCCCTTCTCAATTCCCCCTCCCTCCGCTTTAGTGGCGTAACATTCAGTCAAATGAAGAGTTCTGCTGGACTCAAAAGCTTGCTCCCTATTTTGTAACGTTTTCCTGGTTGCCCATAATAATGGGACTTCAGAGCTTTTCAGGGGGGGGAAGTGGCAGTTCAACCCTCCACCTTGCATGCTGATGCCATCTTCCACTTCCCCTGCTTAGCTTCTCTCTAAGAAAAACTTAATTCAGCTAGAAAATAGCACCCCAGGAGATGACGACATTGTTCCTGTTATGAAATAAGTGGTGGAGCTCCAGCCATACCCCTGGCACTCAACCCAACGCACCTGGGAATATTGCTCCTTTAATTCTCTGTCCTCTCAACATAAGACGCCCTGAGACAGCTCCCTGTCAGGCCTCATTAGTAGCATTGCAGGATTTGCAGACTGTAAGTCTCCCTGCTTCCTAGCTGACACAAAGACATATGCAACCTTGAGGCTGTTTGTTTTTATTGACATCCCGTGGTGTTCACAGCTGGCACTGCCCGGGCACAGACTTGCTTTGCTTCAGCAAGAGGGCTGCATGTCGTGCGTTCAGACCACACCCTGCACCGAGGAGACCATTGTTTGCAACGGCAGAAAGACTGGAATAAGCTGCCATCAAATTTGTGCAGGAACTTGCCACGATGACCTTCTCTGGGGAGCTGCCATTGCTTCTTGCTTCCTTCCTCAAAGTACAACCCAAGGGAAGTCCCATCCAGATACCGGTAATTGTGAGCCTGCCGGATCGGGCCAGTAGCCCACCTAGTCCAGCATCCTGTTCTCACAGTGGCCAACCAGAAGTCTGCGAGAAACCAGGGAGCAGAACATGAGCACAGGAGTCCTGGTTTGCAGGAACCGGGATTCAGAAATGTTGCTATCTCCAACTATGGAGGCGAAGCTCAGCCCTCATAGCTAGTAGTCCATGGTAGCCTCCTCCTCCATGAATTTGCCTCATCTTCTCTTAAAGCCATTCCAACACGGCTTCCTGTGGCAGTAAGTTCCACAGTTTAACAATGCACCGTGTGAACTACAGCTCCCATCAACCCAAGCCAGTTGTCAGGGATGGGAGTTGTAGTCCAAAACAACTGCCGGGCACCACATTGGCTGCCTTTGGTGTGATGCATCTTACAGCCCCTTTAACCCCCTCAACTGTTCTTGGTTTCCAGACCTCCCCCAAACTGGCCGCCTCCAGATGTTTTGGACTGCAATTCCCATCGGTCCCAGCTGGAACGGCTGGTGGGAGTTGTAGTCCATTCCATCTGGATGGGAGGCCAGCAGGTAGGTGATGCCTGGTTGAGATGGTGGAGGAGGCTTTGCTCTACATTTCTATTCGACTAAATCTGCCAAGCTGGTGCCCTGCAAATGTCAGCCTCTCAAGCCCTGGACCAGCTACTTTCCAAGGTGGCTGCTCTCCCCCGCCAGCTGCTGTCAACTACAACTCCCATGAGCATAGCCAGCATAGCTCTGCTAGATGGTGCTGGTGGGAATCGTAGTCTGAAGCATCTGGCAGGCACCAGCTGGGGGGCGGCTGATGCACTCTGGCAGGCAGAGGCCCCCCAGGGTCCCAGACTCTTTCCTGCCCCTCAGGAGATGCCAGGAATCAGACTCTGTGCATGCCAGGCATGTGCATTTCACCGAGCTACATTCCGCCCTGTACTTTGGACTTGTTTGGATTCCCCTTGACTTGTAAACTCCAATGTATTTGTATGTGTTTTTCAAATTCTATTGTTTGACATGTTCAGACACCGTTTTGCATTGCCCTTCTGGTTTTAAGCGAGTAAATGCAACATTGGGCAGGATGGGAATGTGCATCCTGGGGAATTTCCAGTCATCAGCAGCCCAGACCAGATCTGCCAGTTCTATGGAAGGAAGCAGGACTCGGTTTTTCCATGCGTGTTGACTTCCCAAAGTGTCCTTGCCACTCAGTTCAGCGGAAGCAGCTAAGGAGGCAGGCATGAGCTTTGCAGTGACCTCTGGGGCAGCCTTTGTGTCTTAGAGGACCCTAACCGCCTGACTCTCCACTGGCCGGGCCCACAGGAAGAAGACTCCCTATCTCTTCGCAGAAACCTGCAAGTGGCTGCGTGGTCTCCTCAACAGGGCCGTAGCCTTTGATTTCCTTCCGGAGCTGGTGTTCAGAAGAGGTGTCCGGGAGGAGCCTTGGAGCCTACAGATAGGCTGGCCGATTCAGCAGAAAAATGCTCTCCCCACTGCAGACTTGAAAGGCTGTGATGAAACTGTGTTGTGGGCAGTTACCGGTACTTCTCTCGGGACAGGGGATGGGACGTCATCATCATTTCCTTTCCCACCCCTCCCAGCCTTTTGGCCCCGTGCCCCCCTGGGTCCAAAGGTGAGAGGAGGAGCATAAAAACCCCAGAGCCTCAGAAGCTCCGGTCTTTCATCAGGGACTCTTTCCATCCTTGGCTTGGCTGCAGGATGAAGCCCCTGGCTGCCCTGAGGATCCAGGCTCTCTTTTGCTTCTGTGCCTGCCTCTCTGCCACATCCTTAGGTGAGAAACAAAGCTATCTGTTGTTGTTTCACAGCTTGGGAGAGGGTCTTCTGGACCCAAATCGGCCACCAGCCCAAGTTTCTGGAAAAGAGGGTTGTTGTTGTTGTTGTTGTGTTTTTTTGTTTTGTTTTGTTTTGTTTTGTTGTTTTTTTTGAGAGAGAGAGAGAGAGAATATAGGAAGCTGCCTTATACAATTTCAGACCTGTAGGTCCCTCTAGACCAGTGTTGTCGGCACTGACTGGCAGCAGCTTGCCAGGATTTCAGCCAGGGAGTCTTTCCCGACCCTACCTGGAGAAGCCAGGGAGTGAACCTGAGACCTTCTACATGCAAGGCAGGCACTCTGCCACTGTGTTACGGCCCTCCTCTGCTTCACTTGGAGATAAACTTCATCTAAGTCAGTGAGTGCTTGATCTGACGAGAGCAGAGAGTCTTCTGTAGACATTCAAAGCCCAACCATGGAAAGGGCTGTTCTGTAATATCAGCATTCAAGCTTGCTTTGTTTTCTGCACAGCGGTGATGCTCTGGCTGGGACGGAGGGGAGTGTGCCATGTTCTGGGGTGCTACATGCCTGCTTTTAGGGATCCTGACTTCTAACTCCCTTAGCAAAGGAACCAGCTTCTGCTTTCAATCCCAGCCCCAGGATATTACCCCTCTGGGCTTGTGCAGAGTGTTTCCCCAGGAACTGACTTCTCTTAAAAAATAAAGCAAGCTTAAGGAGTCCTAGCTGGTCTTATACAGTTTGTCCTTTTGCATTTGAATGTCTGAGGACTTGATGTTGTTTTTAATAGTGCTTATTATTGCTTTGCCGTTTGTATGCTTGGAGGGATTTGGGTCCTGCTCCCCAGGTAGCTGTTAGGGCAGGTCAGCCACTGGACGAGCAGGATACCTTATGGGATGGGCCTTTGGCCTGATCCAGCTGCAAGGCCATCTAGCATTCTTAAGGAAAGTTAGTGATGCTGCTTACGAGAAGAACAGGAGCACAGGTTCAAATTCAGAGGTACGACTTGATCTCCACAGTTTCTTAGTTTGCAGAAAGTCTGTGTCCAGCTTTGCTCTGTTGCCAGCCTTTGCTAAGCAGGGAAGGTGAGGGCAGGCAAGTATTCTGAGCATTCTTCAAAACGGAGGAAAGTTGTGTTAGTCCAAATCATAAAGCAAGAATGTAAAACCCAGCCCATATAATAATAATAATCTTAAAATGGGCTGAGATCAGCAGGTGAACTCACAAGGTTCTCCCTACTCTGGGTTTTACTTTTGCAGAATTTGTGCTGTTTCTTTCTCAGAGAAGTTGCACAGAGCGTGTCCTGGAAACAAATTGCCTACTTCCTTCCAGTTGGTATCTTATGGTCCGGTCTGGTCTTGCTTAAAGAGGATGTTGGGCAAGATTTGCAAGGCATTGCTGCTGCAGCTGAGAGCAGAGGCTACCGCCGTCACTCTCCCTGCACCTCCGCTGAGATGGTTCCTGTGTTATCCTCTGCAAATATCCACAAGAGGGTTGTGGAACAAACTGGGCCAAACGAGACTGTGCAGGAAATCAGTCAGTTGCTTCCAACACAATGCAAAGTTGCAAAGAACAGCTGACCCTCAAGAAAGGAAGTGTGTGGTGAGGGAACCAGCAGTCTGAGAGGACAGCCCTGGTGGAGCCTCTTGCGCTTTGACCGGGGCTCAGTTTGGGGGAAGCAAAATGTCATGGATGTGTGATGAGTGGGATCCTTATGCACGCTGATCTGCTTCAGGTTCTGGGGACGTTGGCACAAACAAGACCGGCCCAAAGTTGGTAGGTGGGAGGTCAGAGGCAAAGAACTGGAGTTTGGGGGGCACCTGGCTGCATAGAAAAGGGATTGCGGGCAAGCAGAGCGTCCCTTGTTCATTCATCTCCCCCCTTTGTTGTTGTTTAGTCGTGTCCGACTTTTCGTGGCCCCCTGGGCCAGAGCATGCCACGCACTCCTGTCTTCCACTGCCTCCCGCAGTTTGGTCAAACTCATGCTGGTAGCTTCGAGAACACTGTCCCACCATCTCGTCCTCTGTCGTCCCCTTCTCCTTGTGCCTTCCATCTTTCCCAGCATCAGGGTCTTTTCCAGGGAGTCTTCTCTTCTCAGGAGGTGGCCAAAGTCTTGGAGCATCAGCTTCACGATCTGTCCTTCCAGTGAGCACTCAGGGCTGATTTCCTTCAGAATGGATCGGTCTGATCTTCTTGCAGTCCACGGGACTCTCAAGAGTCTCCTGCTCCACCATAGTTTGGCTGCGTGTTCCATGCCCGCTACACCAGGAAAGTGGGCAGAGAAGCAGGACTTCCTGAGGGATCATAAAATGGGATCTGAAATCTGGTGTGTGTGTGTGTGTAGAGGAAAAGAAAGGGAAGCAATATGATTCTATCTCTCCCCGCCCCCAAACTTTCTTTATGGATGATGAAGTTTTAATAACTGTCGTCTTAATTATTGGGTATTCAACATGGTTTTATTGCATTTTAGGCTGCTATCGGTCCTTCGGTGAGGGAGAATGGGACAGAAATTGTCATAAAAAATAAATAAGTTATGCCCACACTCCCCTCCCCTGGATGAATGAGTCTGTGCATATCAGGCACTTTTTATAAACAACAAATGAGGATGCTCTGCCTATTTGATTCCTTTGCCTATCGCACAGCTCTCCTAAGTGAAGAGGCTCAGTCAGTTACAAGGCGAACCCCTGATCAATGGGTGATTAATGAGCATGCAAGGGTTGTGAATGGGCAGGGTCTGTTTTGCTAGGAACCAGGCGGTTGATGCCTGTGACCTTTGCTCCTTGTGAGGTCAGGTCCCAACTAGATCTGTTGATCCCATGCAGCCTTGCTGATAAGAATTCCCTGGGACGGGCAATTCACAAGCCCCCTGCCTTCAGACACAGGAAGCAAAGGCTGATGGGGCAATTTTAGAATCTCATTTCCTAAGGCTTCACAAGAACATCAGGTCACAAAGGTGGTGGTAGCCTTCCTTCCTTCTGAGTTCCTGGCATCTGGTGGTAGACTGCCAACATCTGTGGAGGGTCGCTATCATACTCACCGCTGTCCCAGTTAGTGGCTGCCAAGACTGAGTGAGGAATGTCAATTGGGGTGCTCCGGTCTTTGAAGAGGCCATTTCCTTTGGGGAAATTGCCTCAGGGGGCTTATCATGTCCTTGGCAAATGAGCTGCTCCTCCCCAAATGTATACACAGCTCTGAGCTTCAAAGTGGGGAGAGCAGCAGCAGCAGACTTTTGCAATCTTTTGTAATGTGACGCCCAGGGCGAGGCCAAAATTTGGTGCCCTCAAAGGAATCTTCTCAATTATGGATCTTCTCAGTTTTGTGCCTCCTGGGCTTTGCACCCTGGTGGTGGCATTGCCCTCGCCACCCTAAACCCGGTGCTGGGGGAGAGGCATATCCTTGGTGTCCCAGTGCCAAGGAGATAAGACTCATGGATGGTTGTTGAAGTGTGGGATTTGGGAAGCAAAAACATGTGGGCAGGAGCTGGAGAGGAATAGAGACATTTCTGAAAGAGTCTTCCCTAAGAGCCCTTGCGCTTCTTCAAGTCCACTTTCATCTTCAAAATTTCTTAAGAAATAATAATAAAATAATAATAATAATAATTTATTTAGACCCCACCCATCTGGCTGAGTTTCCCCAGCCACTCTGGGCAGCTCCCAATCGAGTGTTAAAAACAATACAGCATTCAAAATTAAAAACTTCCCTAAACAGGGCTGCCTTCAGATGTCTTTTAAAGATAAGATAGCTGCTTATTTCCTTCATATCTGGTGGGAGGGCATTCCACAGGGCAGGTGCCACTACCGAGAAGGCCCTCTGTCTGGTTCCCTGTAACCTTGGTTTCACAATGAGGGAACTGCCAGAAGGCCCTCAGAGCTGGACCTCAGTGTCCGGGCTGAAGGACGGGGGGTGGAGACGCTCCTTCAGATTCCACAGTTGAATGCCTTAGGCCAGGCCTGAGGAACCTGTGCCCAGATGTGAGGGGATCTAACTCAACCAGAATGGCCAATGGCCAGGGGTGGTGGCAGCTGAAGTCCAAGAATATCTGGAGAGCCACAACGTGCTTCACCCCTGTGTTAGGCAGAAGCTGAGTTTTCACTCAGACCAGCCAATCCAAAACACGAAGGCATACAAAGCAGTAACTTTCTCCTCCCCTGGTTCTTCTAGAAGAGGAAAAGGACCCAGAATATTGGAACATGAAAGCCAAGCAGACCCTGGAATCCGCACTCAAGCTGACACCCATGAACCATCGAGCAAAGAACGTCATTCTCTTCCTAGGAGACGGTGAGTTTGCACATGGGTGTACAAGAGTGGGTCTGGGGGCAGATTTATAGGTGCACACAACTCTGGGGCGTGGGTGGGTCTCCAAATCTGTGAAGTGAAAGCTAGTACAGTTAGAGTTTTGGACTAAGACCCACGAGACAAGGGTTCCAATCCCCGCTCGGCCATGAAGCTCCCTGAGTGATCTTTGCCGAATCACTGCCTCTCCCCTGAGCCTACCTCACAAGGTTGCTGTGAGGATAAAAGGGGGAGAAGTGTGAATGCCACATTGAGCTCCTCAGAGGTGGGAGAGAAATGTAATAATAAGGCCAAATGCAAACATTTGAATTTTGGATCTTTTCCCATATCTACACATTGCCACCAGAACCAGCCATGCTAACATGGGTAGCAGCAGACCACTCTAACCATCCTGACCCAATTAAAGCAGACCTAACTAGGAAACGTGCACATCCTTTTTTTGTCCATCTTAGGCCAGTCCCACTGCCATCTCTGGGACTTGCTTTTGAATAGACCTACCCAGGATTGCTCTGCAAATCCCACCCACACATTCCTTTCTTTATAACAAAATTTAAAAAATTCTTCCAGTAGCCAACTAAGTTTGTTATTGGTAGGAGCTTTCGTGTGCATGCACACTTCTTCAGCTACACTTCAAAGTGTTGGTGCTGACCTTTAAAGCCCTAAACGGCCTCGGTCCAGTAGACCTGAAGGAGCGTCTCCACCCCCATCGTTCAGCCCAGACACTGAGGTCCAGCTCTGAGGGCCTTCTGGCGGTTCCCTTGCTGCGAGAAGTGAGGTTACAGGGAACCAGGCAGAGGGCCTTCTCGGTAGTGGCACCTGCCCTGGGAACACCCTCCTACCAGATATCAAAGAGAAAAATAACTACCAAACTTTTAGAAGACATCTGAAGGCAGCCCTGTTTAGGGAAGCTTTTAATGTTTAATAGGTTATTGTATTTTAGTGTTTTGTTGGAAGCCGCTCAGAGTGGCTGGGGAAACCTAGCCAGATGGGTGGAGTATAAATAATAAATTATTATTATTATTATTATTATTATTATTATTATTACACTTCTTCAGATACACATATTCTTCAGGTATGAGCTTTCGTGTGCATGCACAGTTCTGTGTATCTGAAGAAGTGTGCATGCATATGAAAGCTCATACCAATAACAAACTTAGTTGGTCTCTAAGGTGCCACTGGAAGGAATTTATTTTATTTTGTTTTGTTTCAACTATGGCAGGCCAACACAGCTACCTACCTGTAACTGTTCCTTTCTTTGATCGCAAGGTGCAGAGAAGGTTCTGGCCCTTTCGTTGTGTAGAAGGAAGCATTTCAAAAGGTGCAACTTTGCGGGACAAGTTACAACAGCTGCTAAAAATTCCCCCTTTCACACAACTGTTAAGTTTCCAGGAGCCACATTCTAGTTTGCATCTGCCTACCAGAAACCCTCCAACATTTCTCTGATGAAAATAGGGATGTCCTATTCCATTAATAATAATTTTACTATTTATACCCCGTCCATCTGACTAGGTTGCTCCAGCCTCTGGGCAGCTTCCAACATATATAAAAACATAACAGAACATTAAAAATTAAAAAAAAAAACCCCTTCCCTAAACAGGACTGCCTTCAGATGGTTTGGGGGTCAAATATCCTCCAATATTTATCCGATGACAATAGGGAAAAGCAGGATGCTCTAGGATCAAACCAGAAACCAGGGCAGCTTCTGTAAATCTGGGACTGTCCCTGGAAAATAGGACACTTGGAGGGTCTGCTGCCACCCCAATTTCTCTCTCTCTCTCTCTCTCTCTCTCTCTCTCTCTCTCTCACACACACACACACACACACACACACACACAATTCTACTGTATATTCTTCAAAGTTGTTTATCTGTTTGCTGTGCCCCTGGACACTTCTTTAGCTGTTGTAACCAAACTATGTGCAATGCTCCCTGAGTTCAAGGAGCAAGTTTCCATCTCTGTTTGGACACAATTGGACCCCGCTTGAGTCAAAAAGGCGCACCGAACCTTTTGCTCAGCATTTGCCTTTGCATGCAGAAGATGCCCAGGTGGCATCTCCAGGTGGAGTTCGGAGAGACTCCCTGCCCGAAATCTTGGAGAGCTGCTGCCAGCCAGTGCAGACAACACTGAGCTAGATGGAGCAAAGGTCTGACTTGGTATAAGCAGCCTCTTGTGTCCCTGTGATCAAGACCCTGGCCCAGTGCTTGAGTTCCAAAGGGAGCATTTCCCTGGTCTCTGCTTCCTCTGGCTCAGCACCGCCAGCGAAGGTCCGCCTGGCAGGGGTCCAGCCCTCTCTTCCTCCTCTCTAAGGTGAGGCCCAGCCTCCCTCCTGCCACTCTCCAGCTCCCCTTCATGAAACTGATTTACACCCTTTGGCCGCTGCCTCTGGCGCCGTCAGAGAGCCGTCTCCGCATAACTCAACCCAGAGTTTGCGCAAAGTGGATTTTGGCAGGCGGAGGAGCAGCCGCAGACCTTGCCAAGACCCACTCATCATCATCCCTCGCAGGTGGGAGGCTCTCTGGGTCACTGCAGGCCATTGACTGCCAGGTCGTTCTGCCCTCTGGCAGCTTATCTTAGGGGCTGGTGGCAGGATGGGGGAGACTCCTGGATCGGAGGAGGGAGGCGAGGAGAGCCAAGCGCTGCGGAGACCTAAAGCTCCCAGTGGCCCAAGCGCTTCCGTGCAGAAGCAAAAGGCTGTGCAGTGGGCACTGTTTCCTGCACATTTCTTGTAGGGAAGCATATAATCCCCAACTTCTTCTGCATGCCTCCAGGTTATCTGAGGCCATCACAGGAGCATCCCAAGAGGACACTGGCCCCTCCAGAACCTCTTTTCCAAGGACAGTCCTGGATTTACAGAAGCCGTCTTGGTTTCTCTTTTGATCCCGGAATGTCCCGCTTTCCCTTAGGACGTCCCTTTTCTTATCGGAGTTATGCAACCCCTGAGCCAAGGAGATAAGTAACTATGCAACCTTTAGAAGACATATGAAGGCAGCCCTGTTTAGGGAAGCTTTTTAACGTGTAATGTTTTATAAGGTTAGAAGTCACCCAGAGTGGCTGGGGCAACACAGTCAGATGGGGGGGGGATAAATACTATTCTTATTATTATACAGGACATCCCTATTTTCATCAGAGAGATGGTGAAGGGTATTCCCCTCTACCCACGTGGGGGTTGGTGGGTGGAGAATGAGACATTTATTGAGCTGGTTGTTTTTTTTAAAAAAAGTACAGATTTCAATGTCCAGTGGTTTGACAAAACTCTCAGCGACAAAAAGACACGTAGTGGATTTTCTTCAATTAAATGCAGCAGCTGTGATGTTTTAAGACAGTTTTTGCTTGCTGGAAAACCACAAAAGTGGAATCCACGGCCCTATAAGTTGCACGGGCTTATTATAGAGGTGTTTCCTTGTCTTAGCTCCACGTACAGTAGAAATTAATCCCTGCAATAAGGAAAGGTAGCTAAGCAGCAGTGTTATCAGAAGAGCAAAAGTAATATCACTGACATGGGCTTTGAGGCGGAGTGAGGCCCTAGAGTCATCTGTCAGTGTCAGCAAATTCCTACACACGTCTTGCCAGACATCTTGACTCTTACGACATCCTTGCAGCCAGGAGTCTCTTCACACTTACGTTTAATGCCCTGTGAGCTATCTTTCAATGTATTCAATCTGTAGGTTTATATGTCACAGCTGCCGATGGTGACCCTTAGTATTTCACAAAGTGCTTCAAGGATTTCACATGTATTCTTGTAACCCTTAACACCAGCCCTGTAATGTGGGCCAGGATTATCCCATTGACCCCCACATTTCTGCACTTGATGGTGTCTTGCCTAAAGTCACCTAGCGGGTTCATATCACAGGTGAGATCTGGAAAAGGAAACTGCTGATCCTTAGCTCAGCCTCTTAGTGGCGATGCTTTTATTTAAAAATAAATAAGAAACTGAGTCTGGCTCTCAATCCATTTACCCTTGCATTTAACACAATGCCTGGTTCTGCTAAAACCGATTCATTTTCATGCTTGGCACTCACTGCTACAAACCACATCAAAGTCACAAAAATCATAGAACTGTAGAGTTGGAAGGGACCCGAGGGTCATCTAGTCCAACCCTCCTACAATGCAGGAATCTCAGCTAAATAATGGACCAGCTAAGCAAGACCATGGTCTTGCTTAATGCAATAGTGTTTATTGTATTTTAGCATTCTGTTGGAAGCCGCCCAGAGTGGCTGGGGATACCCAGCCAGATGGGCGGGGTATAAATAATGAATTATTATTATTATTATTATTATTATTATTATTATTTATACCATCAGGGCTGCAAGCTTTAATTAGTAGATTAATCAACTTAAGTTGCTGTTGATTAACTCGTGGAGGCTAGTGTCATTAATGTGGGTCATTAATGTGCTTCTTTCGCTTCAGAGTTATTTAACACTTGTGTGTGCTTCTGTAACAGGGGGGAATATGAAATATGTCCCTTTCTTTCTGGCAAGGGCAAAGGCCACATTCGCTCCATACATTTAAAGCACCGTAGTACCATTTCTGCGCCCTTAGCAAACTATAGCTCCCAGGATCCTTTGGGAGAAACCACGACTGCTTAAACGGGTACCAAAATAGTAGGAAGTAGGCCCTGTGGAAGAATGTGCCTCCTTTTGATCTCTCCAAAGGCAGGCGATGAACCTGCTCCACCCGTTTGTTTAGCCCCTTGACAACTCTTCTAATGACCCTCCTTCTGCCCTTTCAGGCATGGGGGTGCCCACCATCACAGCCGCCCGAATCTACAAGGGCCAGCTGGCCGGAGGCTCCGGGGAAGAGAGCGTGCTGGCAATGGAGAGATTCCCCTACGTCGCCTTGTCCAAGGTGGGAGCCTGTGCCAAGGAAGAGAATGCCGCTGCACGCTGCTGTGTTCGCCCTCAGCCAGTTCAGGGATGGGAAGTTCCCAAGGAGGGCCCAGCCTGCCTATTTTCCAAGGCCTCCCTCCCATCAAGCCTTTACCTGGGATTTTCTCCCAGGTAAGTGTGCCTAGGAATTGCAGCCTTAGCTCACAGAATCATAGGGCTGCCGAGTTGGAAGGGGCCCCATGTGCCATCTAGTCCAGCCCTCTGCAATGCAGGAATGACAGCTAAAGCATCCCTGACAGATGGCCACCCCACCTCTGCTTAAGAACCTCCAAGGAAGGAGAGTCCACCTCCTTCCAAGGTCACACCTGGAGTGTGGCCACACCCTGACCACACCTGCAGTCCTGTGTCCAGTTCTGGGCTCCACAATTTAAAGAGGATGTTGACAAGCTGGAAGGTGTGCAGAGGAGGGTGACCAAGATGGTCAGGAAACCAAGCCTGATGAGGAACGGTTGAAGCAGCTGGGTATGTTTAGCCTGGAAAAGAGCAGACTGGGAGGAGATATGATAGTCATCTTCAAATATCTAAAGAGCTGTCACATGAAAGAGGGAAGGAGCTTGTTTTCTCCTGCTCCAAAGGGTAGGACTCGAATCCATGGCTTTATGCTATAAGAGAGGAGATTCCGCCTAAACATCAGGAAGAACATTCTGACAGTAATAACTGTTAAACATTGGAAGAGACTCCCACAAGAGCTTTTTCCTTCCTTGGCACTTTTAAAGCAGAGGTTGGATGGGCATCTGTCATGTCTAATCTGGTTGAGATTCCTGCATTGCAGGGGGTGGGACTAGATGACCCTCGAGGTCCCTTCCAACTCTGATTCTATGATCCAATGAACAGTCATGGAGCATCCTGGGAATTGTAGTTTGTTAAAGATGCTGGCCTAATTGAGCTGCCATTCCCAGCATCCTTAACAAAGAAATATCCTCCCAGACAGCTGCTAAGCATCCCTTTCCTGTAACATTTCTCAGGATGAGCCCCTTGCTACACGGCCGCCTGCCAGTCTTCTGCCAGGCCTCCCTGAATCGCAGCATCTCTCCATTTCTATCTGCAGACGTACAATGTGGACCGGCAGGTGCCTGACAGCGCTGGAACCGCCACTGCCTACCTGTGCGGGGTGAAGGCCAATGCTAAAACCCTGGGCCTGAGTGCTCGTGCCACCTTGGGCCAATGCAACACCACCTTTGGCAACGAAGTCCACTCCGTGCTGCATCGGGCAACATTGTCAGGTAGGAGCTGAGGGAAAGAGGGAGACATTGTGGGTCGGATGGGAGGGCACTGACAAAGATCAGCCTTCCTCCAGGGCTGGAAGCTCCTTCTCCATGTAGTTGTTGTTATTATTATTGCTATTATTATTATTATTATTACCTGCCCATCTGGGGTAAAATAAAAGCCACTCTGTGCGGCTCCCAACAGAATATTCGAAACACCATAAAACATGGGGGAGAGAAATTTGATTTGATTTCCCAAATACAGGAACCGAAAAGCAACTGCCCGCTAAAATCTGCATTTCTCTGAATTTTGCAATGTAGCTCTTCACGTAAAAAAGCGTGTATATTATTGGAAAGCAGGCATAAACTCCTCCCCGCTGGAGTGCTGGTCCAACCCGCTGCTTATTTAGCTTTCCCATTTCCACGCCTTTCCCAATGACCCTCCTATGAAGGAGACAGATGACAAGAGTCTCTTTTAAAGGCATGTTGGGTCACACGGCAGGACTACTCCCTGCCGCTTTAAACCCCTCAAAGGTTATCTCTCCTCGGTGTCTGACTGTCAGGAGTGTGTGCAGGAGCCAGGCCCTGTGACCAGTAGGACTTTGCAGGACTGGGGCCCTCCTAAGTTTGTTCTGGAGAGGCAAGGCGCGGCCACACAGGTGAGGCCGATTGGTAACTCACAGCACCTGGTGGCAAGAGCCGGGAAGGGATATAAGGTCAGCATTTCCCTTCGGCTCTTTGTCACAGCAACACGTTTCCTGCCTTGCTGCGTTTGGCTCCTTGACCCCTTGCTTCCTGACCCTTGGACCCTTGGCTTATTGACTCCCGGCTCTCTGACCCTCAGACTCTTGGCTTCCTGACTCCTGACTCCTGGACTCCCGTTCCTGCTCCCACCCCACCATCTTGCCCCGGTCCCAACGTCCCCAGCCGGGCCTTCGATCACCCGTGAACCGGATCATGACACTGACCCAATGCATGCTGGCATGCCAATGGATACATCGCTCTTTCCAAAATGGCAGTTTAGAAGTGTAAAATTGTAGAGTTGGAAGGGACCCGTAGAGTCATCTAGTCCAACCCCCTGCAATGCAGGAATCTCAGCTACAGCATCCATGAGAGATGGCCATCTGACCTCTGCTGAACAACCTCCAAGGAAGGACAGTCCACCACCTCCCGAGGGAGACGGCTCTGCTGTTGAGGTGGGGTGAAGCACAAGAGACGGCGCCCCAACCGGCAGCAGTGGGAATGGTGGGGAGAGTGGAGGGGGAGCCCCATTCCTATCCCCCTCTTTCCAAGCCTGCCTCCCACATGCCCTCTCCTCCTCACAGGGAAGTCTGTGGGGATCGTGACCACCACCCGTGTGCAGCATGCCTCTCCGGCTGCCGCCTATGCCCACTCGGCCAGCCGCGAGTGGTACGGCGACGTCAACATGTCGAAGGAGGCCGCCAGCCAAGGCTGCAAGGACATCGCCTACCAGCTGGTGCACAACACAGACATCAACGTGAGTGGCTGCACAAGGCAGGGCGGGGAGACCCATTCAGGGGCCTGGCCGGAGCAATGATAGAATCATAGAATTGTAGAGCTGGAAGGGACCCTAAGGGTTCATGTCATAATAATAATAATAATAATAATTAATAATAATAAAATAAAAATAAAAAAATTAAAATACTCGGAGTCGAGAGTGGATTTCATGCTCTTTATTCAGCTCATAGTGGTGAGGAGGAATGGAAGTTCCCCCAAAACATCTGCTTTATATACATTATTTACACAATGGGCCCCATGTGATTGGCTAATTCCGGGATTCTCCTGTAGGCCAATCAGGTTGTGGATTCAGGAGCTGGATTGGGTGGCTCCTGTGGACCAATCAGACTGCTGCATTCTGGATCCTATTGTTCTAGGACCAATCAGACTGCTGCATTCTGAATCCTATCGTTCTAGGACCAATCAGACTGCTGCATTTTGGATCCTATTCACAACTCGGTACATAACAAATAATAATTTATTATTTGTACCCCGCCCACCTGGCTGGGTTTCCCCAGTCACTCTGGGTGGCTTCCAACAAAGATTTAAAATACATCAAAATGTCACACATTAAAAACTTCCCTGAACAGGGCTGCCTTCTCAATGTCAGGTAGTTGTTTATCTCTTTGACATCTGATGGGAGGGCGTTCCACAGGGCGGGCGCCACTACCGAGAAGGCCCTTCTCCAACCCCCTGCAATGCGGGATGAAAATTCTGAAGAAAAATAACTCTGTGACTATGAACTGCACTAGAGGTATGAGATGGTCAGAACCCTCCGAAGCATGGGAAGTCCCATTAAAAAATTTATAATTTGGCAGATTATTTGGATTATTTGATATGTATATGTATAATTTGGAATATTTAATGTGATTTGATTGGATTGTTATAATGGAAAATTTTAAAAAAATGAATTTTAAAAAAAGAAAAATAACTGGCGAGGTGGCGATGCTCTCTGAACAGTGACGGTGCCTTATTCACATTGGCAGGTGATTCTCGGAGGAGGGCGGAAATTCATGATGCCTAGGAACATGAGCGACCCAGAGCATCCGAAACAGAATGGGACCAGGAAGGATGGCCTGAACCTCATTGAAATGTGGTTGAGCAACAGGATGGTAATGGGAATTGGGGAAGGGCTGGGAGTCCAGCGGGATGGAGTGGGGGGCAGGGGCCAGGGGGAGAAAACCCTGGTTGTGGCTTAGAGAAAACATTCACTCCTCCTCTGCTCAAACTCTTTCCATTTCAAGCCTGTAACCAAGAACTGCTGCCTGCTTTCTTCTTCCTCCCTCCCAACCTCGTTTTCCTTTTGTGCTGTTCTTTTTAGATTTTAAGCCTGAAGGCAGAATCTGTCTTATTGCTGATCTTTGTAAGCCACTCTGGGAGCCTTTGTTGGGCTGAAGAATAGGGCAAACATGCTTTAAATGGTAATCATCACAACAATGGAAAAATATCCACTTATTGTACCTGTATAATGCAGCCTCCCCTGCCCTCTAGATCTTCTGGACTGCAGCTCGTATCAGTGGGAGTTGTAGTTCAAGACATCAAGAGGGCACCTGGTGCAGGAAGGCTGGTGTAATGAATATGCTGTTGATTTATGGCGTTTATGAACCCCATATTTGTTTCTAGGGAGCTCAGTATGTCTGGAATAAAACAGGCCTGGCCTCCGTCAATGAAAACACTACCAACCATCTTATGGGTAAGAGTACTATGGGGGTTTCCTGTTTCTCTCCTACTGGTCAGAGGAAGGGGGCAAACATTTCCTGATTCCTGGCACCCCGCAAGGGAATGTGAACTGTGCAGGGAGAGATTGTGTTTGGATACAGATAAACAGCAGACAAGATGAGCCACGAAGTTGGAATCTAGACACATATAGAAAAACACTGCGAAAATGCTTTTTTAAAAAAACGTTTTGAAAAATATATTGAAGTTGCCATTAGCTCACCATTGCCATCTAGTGTCACATTTGTATAATGCACATGAAACACACTTAAAACCTTATATTTGCAGCTGCATAGCTGAGTCCTAATTGAGTGTACTCTGCCTTTATTCAGCACATGGCTGTCAACTTTTCCCTTTTCTTGCGAGGAATCCTGTTAGGAATAAGGGAATTTCCCTTTAAAAATGGGAAATGTTGACAGCTATGATTCAGCATTTTATGCCCCATTGCCCCTTAGGAACATTACTTTTCAAATGTTTTTAATATTTGATGTTTTATTATGTTTTTATATGTGCTGGAAGCCGCTCAGAGTGGCTGGGGAATCTCAGCCAGATGGGCAGAGTATACAGTCGTACCTTGTTTTGCGACCGGGATCCATTCCGGAGTCCTGGTGGCTAGCCGAAATGGACGCAGGGCAAAGTGCCGCACCTGCGCAAGCGCGCAGAGTGTTTTGCGCTTTTGCGCATGCACAAAGCATGATTTAGTGCTTCTGCGCATGCGTGAGCGGCAAACCCGGAAGTAACTCGTTCCGGTACTTCCGGGTTTGCCATGGACGTTCGCCAGAATGGACACTAGACAAGGCGGATGTTCATAGAGGTATTACTGTAAATGATAACATTATTATTATTATTATTATCATTATTATTACTTTAGGGTTTCACACCCCCAAAGTTATTTGTAGGAAGGAAAAGGTGAGTCATAGGAGAAATGATAGATAAAACTTTGCATGGTATGGAGAAAGTGAGGGGGGGGAGCTTTTATCCCTTTCCCATAATATGGGGACTCTTGGACAATGAAGCTGAATGTTGGAATTAACAACAACAACAACAACAACAACAACAACAACAACAACTTGTATCCCGCCCATCTGACTGTGTTGCTCCAGCCACTCTGAGCAGCTTCCAGCACATATAAAAACATAACCAAACATTAAACATTAAAAACTTCCCTATACAGGGCTGCCTTCTGTATAGTTCTTTATCTCCTTAACATCTGATAGGAGGGCATTCTACAAGGCGGGCACCACCACCGAGAAGGCCTGGTTCCATGTAACCTCACCTCTCGCAGTGAGTGAATCGCCAGAAGGCCCTCGGAGCTGGACCTCAGTCCACAACCCATAGGGCTTGTCCACACTCCCACTTGTCCTGTGCTGAGAGCACTAAATCAAAACAAACACCAATCTGGAGAAAACCCAATTGGCATTTGCTACGATTCGGTGGTAAACAGCAGGTTTCCCTGGGGGGAAATGGTGGGACAAGCCGAATCTTGATTGAGCCCATAGTTGAACTATGGAACTCCCTGCCACAAGATGCGGTGATGGCCGCTAACTCAGATGGTTTCAAAAGCGGATTAGTCAGATTCATGCAGGGTAAGGCTATCAGTGGCTACTAGCCACAAGGGAAATGTCCAAGCCCACTGTTGGAGGCAGAATCTGCCTAAATGTCAGTAGCTGGGAATCGCAAGGGTGGAGAGAACTGCTGTTTGTGCTCAGGTCCTGCCTGCAGGCTTCCCAAAGGTGTCCTTTCATTAATTTCCCACTCAATCAACATTAAACTGAAATTTCCTCAAGGCAGGGAATCATCTCCCTCTCTCTCTCTGCACTTGTTACTCTGCCTAATAAATTTCTCTCTGCAGCCGCCTTCCCCATTAACGCCCACTCTCAAAAAAGAACAAAAAACCGCAGAGCAATTTTTCCAACCTAATTCATGGGCAGTAGTAGCCAGGGGTGAGGAGAAGCCATGGACCATATCAAAGGGGCTGCCCCATCCCTAATGTAAAATAATATCAATAGTAATAATAATAGTAGTAATAGTAATAGTAGTAGTAGTAGTAATAATAATAATAATAATAATTTGCATTTATTTTAAATTTATTAAATGTGCATACTGCTCTCCATCTGAAAGTCCCAGGGTGAAGGAGCCCAGGAAAGGAGTGCCAGCTTTGTCCCACGACTGTGGGTGCCCAGGGCTGTGGGTGCCATGCAGAGTGCATGGCCCCGAAATTTGTGGGTCCTCGGCCCTTTCATGGGGAATTTTGTGGGTGCTCAGGCAATCAGGGCCCCAGGGAGTTGGCACCTATGGCCCAGGGTGACAAATGCACCATATATATATATATATTCTTAAAACGGTGAGCAACAATCACCTTCTCACAGCCCATGTTTGAAGGGTTTCCAGGAACATTGTCTTTCTCCCATCAAAATGCCTGGGTAAACAGGAATGTTTTCAGATTCCTCCCAAAAGTTGATCATGAGAGGGACAGGTGCTCTTCACCCAGGGAAGGAATTGCACAAACGGGGAGCCACCACCGAAAAGGCCCCGCAGGGATCAAATGCCAACTGGGCCCACGCCCCAATCTGAATAGCCAGTGATAATGAAAATGTAATCTTCCCTCGTCTCTGTCAGGCTCCTGCCACAGCGACACTCACTTTCTCTGATCCAATCCGCTAGGTCTCTTTGAGCCGCACGACATGGCGTATGAGCTGGATCGCGACAATAACACGGACCCCTCCATTGTGGAGATGACAGAGAAGGCCATACGGATCCTGCGCAGGAACCCCAACGGCTTCTTCCTCTTTGTGGAAGATGAGTATCCTCGTTCTCCGCTTCTCTCATCTTGAAAGGGGCAGCAGAGAACCCCGGGGATGATATGGCGACCACTGTGCTCTGTGAGGGAACCTGCACTGGCTCCCATCTGAACCGAGGAGGGACTGGCAGGCCTCATGTTGGCTAGCGCAGCGAACCTGCGCAACTCTGGCTTGCAGCTTGAGGCTGACGTGACTGGGTGGTCCTCCGAAGAAACAAAATGGTTCCCTCCGCCTAGAAAATGAGCACTTCAAGCAGGTTACGCTAGAGACAGGAGCTGCCAATCTGTGGGCACTTTCTTTGAATTTTGAGAGAGTGCTAGGGCAGGCAGTCACAAAATGGCTGCCATGGAGGGCCTGTGGCATAGTATAAAGTGGCAGCTGTGAGGCAGGGCAGAACACAAGATAGCCGCCATGCAGAGCAGGTGCCATAGCACAAGATGCCCGCCATACAGAGCAGGTGGCATAGCACAAGATGGCCACCATTCAGAACAAGTGGCATTGCACAAGATGGCCGCCATACAGAGCAGGTGGCATAGCACAAGATGGCCGCCATACAGAACAAGTGGCATTGCACAAGATGGCCGCCATACAGAACAAGTGGCATAGCACAAGATGGCCGCCATACAGAACAAGTGGCATTGCACAAGATGGCCGCCATACAGAACAAGTGGCATAGCACAAGATGGCCGCCATACAGAGCAGGTGGCATAGCACAAGATGGCCGCCATACAGAACAAGTGGCATAGCACAAGATGGCTGCCATACAGAACAGGTGGCATAGCACAAGATGGCCGCCATACACAGCAGGTGGCATAGCACAAGATGGCCGCCATATAGAGCATGTGTCAGAACACAAGATGGCAGCCAAACAGAACAGAACATGTGGCAGAACACAAAACTAGAGAGACAACCAGCCTGGCCACCTTATGCTTACTATGGGATGTCAGATATTTCCTGCTGGTCCTGACATACAGAGTTCACACCCTGCTGCTCCTGCTCCTAATAGCAACAGGGAACATTGTTTGGTACCAGGAAAAATATACCACATCGTTCTCATTCCACTTCATAGGTTACCTGCACATTTTACCTCATAACTTTCTTTCTGGGAGAGCTAGAGGCTCACTTTTTGAAAATGAACGCTCAGAGACCGGGTCACCTGCTCTGGGTGGGGCAGCACTGGAAGCCTTGACGGGTGCCAGGCTGCCCATGAGCGCTGGCTTGGCGACACCTGCGCTAGAACCTTTCTCCCTGACACCCTACTTTTCATGTTTGGGGGAATGTTCGGTCATGAGCTTGAAACAGTGTGGTTGGTGTCTCTTGCGGGGAGAAAAAGGTCTTGATATGTTGCCCTTTTCTCCTTTACGAGGCAGGATTGACCACGGGCATCACAAGGGCAGAGCCAAGCTGGCCCTGAGTGAGACTGTGATGATGGACCGGGCCGTGGAGAGAGCCGTGGAGCTGACCGACGCCTCAGAGACTCTCATGGTGGTCACAGCTGACCACTCGCACGTCTTCACCTTAGGCGGCAACACACCACGGGGCAACAACATCTTTGGTAAGAATAAGCTTCTAGGCCCTTTGAAGAGCGAGATTTTGCTCCCTTTCCCAGAGGCAAGGGGCAATGCAGAGAAGCTTTCCCACCTCTTCTGGAAGTCTTAGTCTCAAAATACTCTGAGCCAGCAGGCTGAGAAGTCATAGAATTCATAGAATTCAACGGATTGAGGCTGAATCCTGACAAGACAGAAGTATTGTTCTTGGGCGACAGGGGGCGGGCTGGTGTGTGATCCTGAATGGGGTAACTGTGCCCCTGAAGGATCAGGTGCGCAGCCTGGGAGTCATTTTGGACTCACAGCTGTCCATGGAGGCGCAGGTCAATTCTGTGTCCAGGGCAGCTGTCTACCAGCTCCATCTGGTACGCAGGATGAGACCCTCCCTGCCCGCAGACTGTCTGGCCAGAGTGGTGCATGCTCTGGTTATCTCCTGCTTGGACTACTGTAATGCGCTCTAAGTGGGGCTACCTTTGAAGGTGACTCAGAAACTGCAATTAATCCAGAATGCGGCAGCTAGACTGGTGACTGGGAGCAGCCACCGTGACCGTATAACACCGGTCCTGAAAGACCTACATTGGCTCCCAGTACATTTCTGAGCACAATTCAAAGTGTTGGTGCTGACCTTTAAAGCCCCTTAACAGCCTCGGTCCTGTATACCTGAAGGAGCATCTCCACCTGCATTGTTCTGCCTGGACGCTGAGGTCCAGCTCTGAGGACCTTCTGGCGGTTCCCTCACTGCGAGAAGTGAGGTTACAGGGAACCAGGCAGAGGGCCTTCTCGGTAGTGGCACCCGCGCTGTGGAATGCCCTCTTAGCAGATGTCAAGGCAATAAACAACTATTTTACTTTTAAAAGACAAATGAAGGTGGCCCTGTTTAGGGAAGTTTTTAATGTTTGATGTTTTATTGTATTTTTAATATTCGGTTGGAAGCCGCCCAGAGTGGCTCGGGAAACCTAGCCAGATGGGCGGGGTATAAATAATAAATTATTATTATTATAGAACCGTAGAACTGTAGAGTTGGAAGGTACCCCAGGGTCATTTAGTCCAACCCCCTGCAATGCAAGAATTCTTGTGGGTGCGAACCGCGCTAGGAATCACATCGCTTCTGAGAAACAGAACTGCCCTTTTTAAAACTTGAAAGCATATGGTTTCCCAGAAGGGGGAAAAATCCCAAAAGGGCCCAGTTTCTGTTAAACCTTTTCAGCTAATGACTTGTGTAAGGGATTGAATTTTAGCACACAGATAAGAACGTAAGGAAGGAGGCGAAAGGCCCCTCTAGCACAATTCCCAGCGTAGTTTGAGAATCATAGAAGTGTAGGGGTCCCCAACGGTCATCTAGTCCAACCCCCTGCAATGCAGGAATATCAACTAAAGTTTCCATGACAGATGGCCATCCAACCTCCGAGAAAGGAGAGTCCACCACCTGCTATGGCAGTCTGTTCCATAGTTAAATGGCTTTTAGCGTTGTTAAATTCTTCCTGGTGTTTAATCAGAATCTCCCTTCTCTAGAGCAGGAGAAAGCAATAAACCCCTCCTCACAGGGAAGTTGGGAAATTGTAGCTCTATGAGGGGGAGTAGGGCTATCCTAACAACTCTTAGCACCCTTAATGAACTACACATCCCAGAATTCCATGGGGGAAGCCACCATGGCTGTTTAATGTGGTTTCACTTCATTTTATATATATGTTATAAATTTGGCCTCTCCTGTCCTCAGTTCTGGAAGCCTCTCCCTCTGAGGGAGGAGAGTTGACTAAGATTAGCCAGACCAGGACATCTGCATTCTTTTTTGGGGGGGAAAACAACAGTGAGGGACAAACAGATAAATCAGGTCTTTTGGATTACAACTCCCGTTAACCCCAGCATCATATAGCTGTTGGTACCGTAATTGTAGTTCAAAACATCTGGAGGGCACCTGGTTTGGGGCAGGGGCTGAAATAAATGCGCCTGAGACCCTACTAACATTGATTCCATTTTACTTTAAGTGTGTCTGACTCTGGTCAGGTCAGAGCCAGCACTGAGCATCGTCTGTGTTTCTCCACAGGCCTGGCACCCAAGCAAGCGAAAGACAAGCGGGCATTCACCAGTATCCTCTATGGGAACGGACCTGGGTACAAGCTCAGGAATGGCAGCCGCCCAGATGTCAGCTCCGATGCTATCGGTATGCAGAGCTTTTGGATGAGGAGCTCAGCAGAACCACCTCCACTTATGGACTGAGGGGCTGCAAAAAGAGGGGGCGGCCTAGGAAGGGGGGTGCCGAAGAAAGCAGGGGTGTGCAAGGCGGGTGTGCAAGGATAGGAAGGGCGGTAGTGTCATAGCAGGGCAGAAGCTGAAAAAGGTTCGTAGAAGTTAAGACGTGTGGGACAGGGAAGATGCATCTGGTTAACATTGGGGTGGTCTGTGTGCGAAGGGGTTGCGACAAAGGAGGAGGGAGAAGTGAAAACAGGTGCAGAATAGGAGAAGCTGGGACTCTTTCTCGATTGGGAAGACAAGAAAAGGGTTTGGTAGCAAGTTGAAAATGCAGGTGAGAGCAGATTCCACCTGCCAGTATTACACAGAGAAAACATGGATCCCACTGCTGACACCAGTGTTACAGAGGTTGCACGCCACCCCCAATCTCTGCTGAGCAGTGCACAATATTCCAGGGGATTCCAGGTGTCTACCTGTAGTCGTGTTTCCATTGGGAATTCAGGCATGTCAGAGACTGTAGTGTTTTAAGATATATGGTTTATTTTACACCTATCTACACCTGGAGGGTGTGGAACATTATACCACAAGAATGTCTCTCATTCCCCCTCTCATAGCTTCAGCAAGCTTGGGTCCAAAGCAGCAGTCAGTCATGGCTCCCGGTCTCTCGGTTCAGACTCTTCCACCCATGAAGTTCTGCTCACGTCCTTTTTTTGTTCCCAGAAACTCCTTTAGATTTCATAAAGGACACATTTTCCTGTGACAGAACCAGGGGGGAAGGACAGTTCATTATGCCTCAGTACCTGGCTCGCCGTTGTTCCTTAATGGCTCTGCACTTAGCTAGCCCGGTCAGGCTGGTTTGCAGAAGCTAGTCCAGGGTATCCCAAACTTGGGTCTCCAGTTGTTTTGGGACTACAACTCCCATCATCCCTAGCTAGCAGGACCACTGTTACGGTATATCAGTATTTGCCAGCATCATTTCTTGCATTGGCTGAGTGTGGATTCAAACATGGATCATTCTATCGTACCTTCCCTCACATCCTGGGCCTAGGAGCCCTTCCCTCTGAGGACTGACCCACAGCCTGAGGTTCTGCAAGCAACCATCCCTGCCCCACAGTGCTTTGCCCAGTCGCAGATTGTTCTCCTAGTTCCTTTGTCCTAGAGCAGCCATTAATGCTTACTGTTTTGAATTCCATTTGCGCTGTTATTTTCCTTGGCGGGTCATGCAAAGAGTGCTTTTTATAGGGTAGAGGGCACTGGAGATGAGTTTTTGCAACCCAGGGGCTGGTGGCCCACAGAAATTTGGGAGCCGCTACAGTGGTGTAGAATGGGGGTGCTGGAGGGCCGTTGCCTCATGTGCATTTTCCCAGGGGGTGCATCCAGGCACCCCCACTATAGCTCCCTCATCGAGGGAAGCTGCAGCCGGGCTGGCCTTCGAGGCTGGGGCATGGGCACGCCAGGTGCTCACAGGAACGAGCTCCATCAGCCCTGACCCCATGAGGTGTTGCGACCAAGAGAGCTTGTTTCTCCTTTGGTGCATGGGGGTACTGCGGTGGGCTCCTTCACCGTCCATGCCCCACTCCCGATAAGCCCCATCTCAGTGCTCCCTGGGTGTCATGGGCTCACGCAGTGCCACCGAGCCACTGTCCAAAAGTCTAGACTGACCTCCTGCCTCTCGCCCATCCAGAGGACAAGGACTACCGGCAGCAGGCAGCTGTGCCCCTGGACATCGAGACCCACGGCGGAGAGGACGTGGCCATCATGGCGCAGGGACCCATGGCCCATCTCTTCCACGGCATCCAGGAGCAGAACTACATCGCCCATGTCCTGGCCTACGCAGGCTGCATCAAGCCATATGACAGGCACCCCGACTGCCCTGAGCAAGTCCGGACTGAAGGTTTTGGATCACCTGGCCTGGGTGTCTCACATCGCCCCTCCTCGCTACCCCTCTTTGCACTCTGGGCCTGCCTTTTCTTGCTGATGATGTGACACTGAAAGACACACACACAAACAAACACACACACTACTGGAAAGCTCGTCTTCAAAAGACCTCTCTGGGCATCACCTGGGAGGTTGCTAGTGTCCCCGGACGTTCCCAAAGGAACATCAGTCTTGTTCATTCATTTGTTTGGCTTCATTGCATACAACTGTATATTAATGGATGGTGATGCTCTCCTTAGCCTCAACTTTCAAAGAATAAAGCGTGATGTTGTTTTCTTTATACCTGTATTGTTGTTGTTGTTGTTATTATTATTATTATTATTATTACCTTTATTGTACAACCTTTCCTTGTACAACCTGTGTACAAGGAAAATAACCGAGCCTCCCTCTCCCCCACACAAACACTCAATCTCATTGCACTCTGTGTGCTTGTCGCACAACACACCAACCCTGAAAGTCAGTTGCACTATATTATTTTCCGTTCAGCAGCCTAACAGCCCACGGACAGAAACTGTTTTTTAACCTGTTGGTATTTCTATATCTCCAGCCCGAGGGTAGAATATTAAAGGTTGTATAAGGTTGCAAGCTTTTACTTCCTGCAGTTCAGAGCTAAGGTGATGGAGCAGGTGGAGCAAAGCCACAGCCTGAGACATTGGGGGGTGGGGGGGAGTGCCAGAGGTCAGAGTTTACTTATCAGTAAAGATGATAGATTCAGTTTGCATTTCAAGGTGAACTCACCAAATTTGCACTTTCCAAAGAATACATTAGGTGGAGTGCAACCTTGCTTTGAAATTCGCCCTCCTCCAAGGGGCCAATGCAGTTCTATATTTGAGTGATGGATACAAGAATGCATAGGATGTTTAGCACAAAGTGTGCATACAAATGCATATATCAGTGAAGACATCAAACAGAAACACTTTATATCTGGGGAAATGGCTTTGCAAAAATGTACAATTAGGGGAGATTTGTTCTAAAGTGCTGATGAATTTTTGAGGCCTATTAAAAAAAAAACCCTGAAGGGAATTTAGGATTGGAAAGAGAAACAGATTCCCGCATCCCTCCAAAAGGACCGGTCCTTTTGCTGGGCATAGCAAGGGTGTCCATGGGTCCTCCTTCGGCCAGAGGACAGTCCTCTGTTGGAAGACATCCTCTACTGGAGGGGGGTGCAATGTCGCTGCGCCAGCCCTCTGGTTCCCTTCCCTCAGGTGAAATCCCTAATGGAGAATGAATCACGAGCGACAGTGGGTTTTTCTTTTGGGAAAACAGGTTGCAAACAAACTTTATTATATAAAGCCAACATTCTGGGGGAACTTCCTTTCCTCCTCACCACTATGAGCTGAATAAAGAGCATGAAATCCACTCTGGAGTATATTTCACCTCTCCAACTGCCTCCCTTGGAACTCTGGCCAATCAGGAGCTCTTGCTAGTTAACTGTTTGCTGGCGGGGGGGGGGGGACACACTCGGTGACTCAACCTGCTCAGTAAACAAACTTTTCTGTTGGGTGGGGGTGTCAAAGTCAATTTCAAAGATTAAGGAACCTTAAGAAAGGAAAGTGGGGGTGGGGCAAGGGAGAGGCTTGAAATGGCTGGCCCATCATTACTGTCAAGACAAGATGGGGGAGAATCTTAAAAGTTTGGAAGGAGGAAAGACAAGTTACCTTGGCTAATAGGAGCTGTTCAAGATATTAAAGGTAAAGGTACCCCTGACCATTAGGACCAGTCGTGACCGACTCTGGGGTTGTGGCGCTCATCTCGCTTTACTGGCTGAGGGAGCCAGCGTACAGCTTCCGGGTCATGTGGCCAGCATGACTAAGCCGCTTCTGGTGAACCAGAGCAGCGCACGGAAACGCCGTTTACCTTCCTGCTGGAGCGGTACCTATTTATCTACTTGCACTTTGACGTGCTTTCAAACTGCTAGGTTCAAGATATTAGGAGCATCTACAACAGAAGGCACAGGAAGGAACCGGCCTGGGTGAAAGCAGGAAAGTTTAGGCAGAGCCCAAAAAGAGTGAGAACAAGGCAATGAAAAGAAACAATGGAAGAGGAGAAACCGTTGGGGCCAGAGAGAAAGCACACTTAAAAAGTGAGGACTGGAGACTTGAAACCGGTGTGGAGGTTGAACCTCTGTCATAAGCCTTGGAACTGGCTTGATGACCGCACCATTGCACATTTCCTGTTGCCAGCAGCAGTTGTGAAACTCCCCAGGGTGGGGTCTGGTGAAGGGAGGAATCTTGGTGCCACTAATGATGGCTTGCAGCTGTCCAAGTGTCCAAAGGTCTCCCTGGGTTTAGTCTTATAAGTCACAGAGCTTCCTGAAATCTCTCCCGCTCGCCCTGAAACAGCTCCGCTCCATTTGCAGCAATGTGGCTCTCCGGACTGGCTCTCTGCCTGGGGCTGGCATTCGCCGGTGCCATCATCCCAGGTAATGTGGCAGGGTTGTGAGGCTTGCGTCTGCCCATCATCCACTCTACTGGGTTGGTACCAGAGCTTAAGGAGATGGACATGACCAGGGTGCTGAAAGATTAGGGTGTTCGGGTCATGCCCAGGGTCTCCTGGGGTGTCCTCAGAATGGGCAGGTTGGATCTATCAAGAGAGATCTCTCCACCTGGGATTTGTGAGGAAAGTTGCCCCACTTGAATTATTGCCTGGTGTGTACTGTGAAGTTCAGGGGCGCTGAGCGACTTTGGAGTGGGTCTCTTTTGTAGATAAATTTTTATTGTTTTCATCATGTAGTTCTTTTTCCAACAATCCTTATTATCACATTATAATCCCTTTGACTCTGCCGAGTCCTGACTTCCCTCCCTCCCAACCACTGGTATATACATCACATACTTTTTCCGTATATTATTATCATAACTCTACTGTTTTACATTGAAGGTGTTATTCCAGTCCTGCTAGTGTCTTAATATTTTTGTTGTTCTCCTTTATATATTCAATAAATTTGTTAAAATTGTCATTGTATCTCTGGTCCTCTTGGTCCCGGATCCTTCCTGTCAATTTGGCAAGTTCCGCAAACTCTTACCATCTTCACCTGCCACTCCTGGATGGTTGGAAAATCTTGTGTTTTCCATCTTTGGGCCAGTAAAGTTCTTGCGGCGACTGTGGCGTACATGAACAAATTCTGGTCTTTTATTTTAATTTCTCTTCCCACCAGTGGGTCTGTTTTGTTGCAGTTCCCATCTGCTATGGAAACCCCTGAAACATGACCCAAAGTCATTGAAATACATCAGAGTGGACTCACCTTCCTTGTAGGTTTTTAAGCAGAGGTTGGATGTCCATCTGTCACGGATGCTTTAGCTGTGATTCCTGCATTGCAGGGGGTTGGACACTGAGGTCCAGCTCCGAGGGGCTAGTGGCAGTTCCCTCCCTGCAAGAAGTGAGGTTACAGGGAACCAGGCAGAGGGCCTTCTTGGTGGTGGCGCCCGCCCTGTGGAACGCCCTCCCATCAGATGTCAAGGAAATAAACAACTATCTGAATTTTAGAAGCCATCTGAAGGCAGTCCTGTTTAGGGAAGTTTTTAATGTTTGATGTTTTATTGTGTTTTTAAAATTCTGTTGGGAGCTACCTAGAGTAGCTGGGGAAACTCAGCCAGATGAATGGGGTAGTAGTAGTTGTAGTAATAATAATAATAATAATAATAATAATAATAATAATAAACAGTTATTATTATTAGATGACCCTCTGGGTCCCAAGTCTACAATCCTGATTCAATGCGCTTATGTAATCACTGTATACAGATCAGCATATTTCACCCCTTCCGATAGAACATAAAGGGTTCTCCGTTTTCTTAAAGTATTCTTCCATCGCTTCCCTTCCCCAATCAGTATGTGGAACGTGGAACTGTCTTTCATGTCGTTTATCTGGTCGTTCATTAATAGTAGTGATACACTTGGCTTCTCTCCAATATGTTGCATATCAAGTTCCACTTGTCGAGGGTTTACAGATAAATAATTTCCTTATCAGATACTGGGATATTCTGCTGAATGTCTGTTGAAAAAGAGGATAGGCTCTAAAATTGAAGCCACAAGGTGTTTATCTATTGTAACTTGCATTTTCAACTTCAAACCAATATGTCTGTGTTACTGAGCATATCTACTGCGCATGGGGGACGGGACTTATTTTATTTTAAACATTTCCATACTGCCCTCCAGTTGAGAAAGTCTCAGGGCAGTGTGCCAAAATAATAATAATAGTGAAGATATTAACACTGCAAAATAAAACTGCGGAAGTACCTATTAAAATTGGGGGAGGGGACATGCTTGCACCAATGGTTCTGACTCAGAACAAGGCAGCTTCCTATGTGTAAAAATACGTCTCTCTAATTACTACGCACAGCTAAATCAGCTTATGTGTCTACCTTTCTGTCTAAGAGTTCTTACTTTGGAATTATGCTCCCAGCCACAGAAATAACTGAGACAATTGCACATTCCTTCCTTGGTTTCTCCTGCCTCCCATCCCCTCAGGTGTATTGAATTTTGAATTGTAAGCTCCTTGGGGCAGGGGCCTCTTGTACTCTGACCTTATAAGTGTCATGTGCACTGATTGCACTGGATAAGTGATAAAGAAAGCCAATTAAATTTCACTCTCTATAATCATCCTAAAATAGACACTTGTTTTGGCTGCCAGGCAAAACATCTTGAGTGTAATAAAATTTATCAAGGTTCAATAGTGATTGCCTGGATGAATCGGTCCAAAGTCTACGGCTCCATTTGGAGCAGGTGTTTGAAGTTGAAATAAGCAAGTTCTATACCTGGAGCAAGTTCTCCGTTCACTGTGTTTGTTTTTAGTATTTGGTTGAAAGAAAAATGTAGGTATGGTAAAATAAAAAGGAGAATTCCCTGGTTGCCTAGATCAAGGCTTGTGGCAAGTACTCTTTGGTGAGAGAGCCCCAGCAGAAATTTAAAATCACAAAACAGGCAGCAAAGTAAAATGTGGAAATATAGGCTGCTCGACCTTTAAAATATCCCCTTCTAAAGTTGCTTCCAGAGTTCCTCTTCCCTTAGCATAGAAAGAGACCACACATTTGGTAAGTTAAAAATGGTTTACTTACAAACTCTTCAAAGGTCAGATTCATGTGCTTTTCCATACAGCAGCAAGAAAAGACAGGCGGTATAGCTTTGGTTCCAAAATGGTAAATGTTTCTCAATTATTTGTACAGAAACACAAAGATGGCTTGCTGAAGCCACACAGTCGAAGCTTGGAGCATCCAGCTTAGACCTCTTACTGGTAGGGTTTGTATGGTGGAAGAGTAGGAAGTGGGAGAACAGAGTTTGGTAAACCAAGGTGAGGGGAAGCGATCAAGCTAAGCCTGGCAGGACAGCTTACTTTATGGTCTTAACCCCTTCATGCAGTAATGAGACTTGAGCATGTTGGTTATATGAGGCTGATTTATCCCACACACTGTTCATTCCTGGTTCTCCAGGCCTCAACACTCCTCGTTTTCTGGGGATTTGATACGCAATCTCTCCCTCACCAGTTATTTGCAGGTTGCATTTGCTTACTAAGATTGCTTCCAGGCTTCCAGTATTTTGCAGGAGGAATACGAGCACATACTAGACATTAAGGTCTGTGCAGTTAAAGTGGCTCTGCTTTCCTAGGGCAACAAATCCACTTTTTAAACAACAGCAAACTTTGTGCAGTTTGGAAACTGACAAGCAAGCAGGTGTGCTGAAAAGTGTGTGGTCAACAAATGTTGATCCACTTCTGGGCACCCCAGTTTAAGAATGATATTGACAATCTGGAATGTGTGCAGAGGAGAGCAACCAAGATGATAAAGGATCTGGAAATCAAGCCATATGAGGAGCAGTTGAGGGAACTGGGTATGTTCTGTCTGGATATGAGGAGTCTGAGAGGAGATATGATAGCCATCTTCAAATATCTAAAGGACTGTCACATGGAAGAGGGAGCAAGCTTGTTTCTGCGGCTCCAGAGGGTAGGACCCCAACCAATGGATTTAAATTGCAAAGAGGAGATTCCGACTAAACATCAGGAAGAATTTTCTGACAGTAAGAGCTGCTTCACAGTGGAACAGACCCCCCTTGGAAGGTGGTGGACTCTCCTTTGGAGATTTTAAGTAGATGTTGGATGACCATCTCTTGTGGATGATCTAGCTGAGATTACTGCATTGCAGGGGTTGGACTAGATGACCCTCAGGAATCCCCTCCGATTCTATGATTCTATACTTCTATGAATGGGAAGGTGTATATCCTCCCTGCAGACAAATCAATACTAACCAATCTATCCTTCATGTAGGCTTTGTGGAAGCAGATCAGGATGAAGTTCAATAAACCAGTCATCTGGGGGAGCCAATAAGAAAGGTTTGCACTGCCAACCCTAATTCCTGGTTGTTGTTTTCTGTTCCTCAAGCTCAAGAGGAGAAGCCCTCCTTCTGGAACCAGCAGGCTCTCAAGGCCATCGAGCAAGCCCTGAACCTCCGTCCCCGGCACTACAAAGCTAAGAACCTCATCCTCTTCCTGGGAGATGGTAAGTGGGCAAAACGCTTGGGTTGCGCTCCCCTGTCTATGTAGCATGAGCAAGAATAAATTATTCTCTCTGTGCATGCAGAACTAAGCGCACACAGAACAATGTGAGCCCCAGTGTAGAACCAAGTCAGCACTCCCAAGCCGAGGCTTCCCCAACCTGATGCTTTGCTGATGTTGTTGGGCTCCAGAATGCCTGGAGGGCACCAGGTTGGGAACAGTGGTGTAGCATGGGTTGCCAGATCCTGGGGCAGCACGGAAGGAGAGAAACAGACAGAGTACGCTTGCGCATTCAACTGCCTAATGCAGTGATTGCCAAACTTGGCCCTCCAGCTGATTTGGGACTACACTTCCCATCATCCCTGACCACTGGTCCTGTTAGCTAGGGATGATGGGTGTTGTAGTCCCAAAACAGCTGGAGGGCCAAGTTTGGCTATCACTGGCCTAATGGCTTCTGTGTCACCCAGGAGATCATAGCCACAGAGATAAGAAAAGAAAAACCATTCCGTTGCCTGGAGAGGTCACTTCCTGGTTCTAGGAGAAGCTGTTTTCAACGGAGCCCAGTGATAGAAGCACGCACCTGTATTGAGGCAGCACAAGGTGTTGGGATTTTGCGCCCCTAACAATTTTGTGCCCAGGGCAACTGCCCCGTGGCCTCCCCCCACATGTTACGCCACTGGTTGGGAAGGCTGCATAGTCAAACAAGCTCCTTTCCCTGAGCCTTGCATTTCCAAGAACCAGCCCCAAGGATGCAGAAGCTTGCTTTCCTCTCCAGGTTGTGTTTGATGCTGATAAACCGATTTGGACAGGAGTCCTATATCAAGGGAAACGCTATCGGTGCATTAATGGCTCTCATTAACTGGCATTAAATGTTCAGAAGGTGTGTGCCATAATGATTTGCTGGTCGTGTTGCCAATAGTCTTCTTTGGACTCTTGACGTGCTTGATAATTCAGGGAAACTCTGGTTCCAAAGTCAGGAAGGCAACAATTCCGGAGGCTGCGAAGATTATGGGAACTGATGGTTATGCAAATTAAGTGAGATAAATTAATAACGTAAGAAGATCAGGCCAAAGTCCCACCTATTTCAACAATCATTTCTCACACTGGCCAACCTATGGCAAGCAGGCCATGAGTGCAACGTCAATGTGTCACTCTTTTTTAATAATAATAATTTTTATTAATTTTCAAGTACAATCCAATAATAGCCTCATTATAACAATACCAAAGTATAATACAGTTACTAATACCAATCATTCAAATACCGAATTATATAATTTAGGTGCCGCCACCCCCACCCCGCATGCTAGAATTGATAGTTTGATTATTTTCTTTATTTCTGCGTTCCAAAATCTTATTAATTTCAATTTCATATCGGTCAAAGTAATAATCTCTTATAGAACAACTGCAATATTAATATCTTCTATTCGTATTGACACATTAAGTGATTTATAGAACTACCAGTGAGGCACTCTAACTATAACCTTGTTCTTCCTGTGTGTGGCAATTATTCTGTCCGTGGTGTTTCTTCCTGTCCTTGTAAAATGTTATGTCTATCTTTTCCTGTTTGTTGCTGTTATCTGTCATGCTTTGGGCGAAGCTGATATCCCATTATCGTTTCAGAAATTTCTCCGTTGCTCTGTCCCGTGCTTTGTTGTTTTGCAACTTTAACAACAGCTGCAAAAATCACTCTGTCCCAATAAATAGCCTGTCACTCATGTTCCCCAGCTTTGTTTCCCGTGAATTTGCTAAGGAGAGCCTGCAGGGTCAAGAAAAAAGTCCCATCTAGTACAGTATCTTGTTCTCACTATGGTCAGCCACACACTCCAATGGGGAGTCTGCAGTCAGAACCTGAGTGCAACCTCTTTGCCTCTGGTCAAAAACTGGGGTGCAAGCAGTGGTGGACCTACATTTGGGGCCTCCTGAACTGTCACAGGGGCCCCTTCACAGCCAGCAATGAGCTCTGGGTAACCTCTGTCATCTTCTTCAATTGGGTTGGTCCATGACAGATCTCCACAAATTTTCCACGAGTTTGCGTTTTTTGGGATCCACCTGAGGACTTGTGTGAACTCATCGTTATTCCTCTTTGTTATGACCTCTGTTTAAAAGGGGAGGGAAGCATCAGCCGCAGCAGAACAGCCAACTTAAACACAACACTCCACCTTTACAACAGCGGTGCTTCTGACTCTGAAACCTTGGGATTGTTGAAATATATACCAAAAACAAATTAATCAATTTGAGTCATGCAACTCAAATTGGGGACTCAGCTACATTAGTAAAAAAAACAAAACAAAAAAAACCCCAGTATTTGGAATGTGTTATAAACATGCAATACCAGATGGCAATGAAGAGCAAAAAAAAAATAATATTTGTGATTTTCCACAGTGGTCCCCCCCCCTTTGTTATAACGGTTTAATTTCTGGCTTATTTATAGCATTTTATTCCTGTGTATAGATCCACCCTGGGTCTACTAGACCCCACTTTTGTAAGCAATGTAGACTAAAGCTGCTTCTGGGGGCCCTCTGGGATTGGGGGCCCTGGGGTATAAGCTTCATTAGTTTCATAGTTGATCCAAAGCACCAGTCCCTCTTTCAAACCATCTTTCCTTCTGCTGCCTTAAGCTGGGTTATTTTTTGTTTTGGTGAAGTCAGGGAGTGTGAAATACCGTATTTTTCACTCCATAAGACGCACCTGACTGTAAGACGCACCTAGTTTTTAGAGGAGGAAAACAAGAAGAAAAAATATTCTGAACAAAACAGTGGATGTATGATTTTTGTGGTTCATGCTGTGGCCACACACATGTGATCTGATGGTGAATTTGGGTGACCCAATGCAAAAATCCTGAGGATCCATGTGGATCCGTGCTTTGTAACCATGTTTTTGCACCATTGTGGCCCCAGGAAACAGTGGATGCGTGATTTTTTTGGCGCAAGCTGTAGCCATGGACATGCTATGTGATCTGATGGTGAATTTGGGGTGACCCAATGCAAAAATCCTGAGGATCCATGGGCTTTTACCTCCCCCCTCCCAGGCAGCCTCCTCTAGGTCCCTTATCTCTCTTCTGATCCCACCGATCAGCTGTTTCCTTTCAATACTCCCTTCCCTCTTGTTTGCCTTAGTGTCTTTTCCTTAACTGGAGCAGTTTTTTGCTCCTCCTTTTCTTCTAATTTCTCTCCTTATTGCTTTAGTCTTCCTGTTTCCCCCTTTTGCAAGTTTGCTGTCTTTACCTCCCCCCGACCAGGCAGCCTCCTTTATCTCTAGCATCCCTTATCTCTCTCCCCGATCGGCAAACGATCAGCGGCTTTGTTTCAACACCCACTTCCCTCTTTAAAAAAAAAAAAAAAAAGGATGATCTGCTTTTCGCCCCTGGGCAATTTCACTCCAGGGACCACGCATTTGCTCCATAAGACGCACAGACATTTCCCCCTACTTTTTAGGAAGAAAAAAGTGCATCTTATGGAGCAAAAAATACAGTAGATGTCGTTTCTCTGGGAGGAAACTGCTCTGGGAACACTGTGTATTGAGGGGCATAAGAGGTGTTTGTGTCAGGATCCTGTGGGCTGCAAACCTTCTCACTCTGTCTCCCTGTCAGGCATGGGCCTCCCCACCATCACCGCCACCCGAATCCTGAAGGGAGAGATGAAGAACCAGCTGAGCCCCCAGTTGCCTCTGGCGATGGATGCCTTCCCTTACGTGGCTCTTTCCAAGGTGCCTTCCATCTGTGCTTGTTCCTGCAGTTTGGGGTGGGGGGGCAAATGGCTTTCAGGGAATCGTGCCTTTCTTTCCACTGAGAAGGTTCTTTTTCTCTACTTGAGGCCAATCAGGCAGTAATTCAGCAGGTGAAGCCTGTACTGACTGCACCTTCTTTGGGCGAGGCTCGTAGCTCAAGCTCTCACCTTGCATGCATGCAACTGCCAAGTGCAGTCTTAACATAGCTGTCAACTTACAGATTTGAAAATAAGGGACCAGCAGCCTTGAAAATAAGGGATCAGCAGCCAAAATAAGGGATTTTCCAAGCACAGGTATGTTCAACTTCTGAGCCCCTCCGAGCCAAAGGCAGAAAGCCCAGCCAGCAGCCAAACGAAGCCTCAAGCGGTGGTTCCCACAGCACAGCAACCCAGCAAAGGGGATGCAGCAAGGAAAACCACCGTCACCTCTCTGATGGGAAGCGCTGAGCAAAGGCGAGTCCCCAGGCAACGTGGCCGATTTGATTGGCACAAGGCATGCAAGCTCCACCCCCCAGTCGTTCTTAGACTCCTTATTGGGTGAGCAACGCAGCCAAGCAACACAGTTGGAGCCTCCCTCCTTCCTGACTGGCAGGGAGAGAGGGAGAGACAGGAGCCGCTTCCTTTGAAACCCGGGAAATTTAAGGGACATCATCAATAAGGGACAGCAGCAGGAAACAGCGCTGGGATAAGGGACTTTCCCGCCAAATAAGGGATGGTTGACAGCTATGAGTCTTAAGCAAGTTGGTTTGGGGAGCATTGCTAGAAGAGGCAGCAGAGAGCCAGTAAAGGACCTGTGGCAGCTATATCACATTTTCCCATTCATTGGCCATGGAAAAGCATCACATGATTGAATTTTCACCTGCTGTCAAGTGTTGTCTGCAATGACTGGTAACCTCTCTCCAGGGGTTGAGAGAGGGGTTCTTAACTGGAGATGCTGAGGATGGAAGCTGGGACCTTCCTCCTCATGCAATGCAGATGCTTTGCCACTGAGCTACAGCCTTAGTCAAGGTGTGATTGAGGAACCACAGAGAACCCACCATCAATGCAAGTGGGGCAAGTGTGGGAGACATTTCCCTTGGGTGTTCAAGTGCGGAGACTCACACCCAATTCCTAATTAGATTGTATTCAGTAATGCATTACCAGACGGAGTCCTAAGAGTCTGCCAGAGCTTACCAGTGGCATACACACTATAGTGGAAAAACATGTCACCTTGGCTGTCTCATCCTCTTCCAACCACCTTACGGCCACCCCATCACCCCACAATTTCTCATCCAGCCACAGTCCTTGGAAAAACTTACTCAACCCACTTTTTCAAACTCTACGTGCAAAACCCTCCATGCACCTTACCTCAGTTGTTTTTCACTTTGATGGTCAGCTGTTAGCTTCCAGCCATGTGGTTTTGCCATGTTCCTGCGTACGTGACACTGTTCTCGCTGACAGAAATGCCACGTCACAAGCAATTTTCTCATGTCTTGTTCACGGGCTGCAGGAAACGGCTGCCTACCATTCCCTTACCCCAACAGTAGGGCCGGCCTCCCAACAGCTCACTGGAGGGTGTGAGAGGGCAGCCTTTAAGCTTCTTCCCAGCCATGTCTCCTTTGGTTTTGGCAGACGTACAACGTGGACCGGCAAGTGCCCGACAGTGCTGGCACTGCCACCGCCTACCTCTGTGGGGTGAAGGGCAACTACAAAACTATTGGGCTGAATGCAGCTGCCCGGGTCAGCCAGTGTAACACAACAGTTGGCAACGAAGTCGTGTCTGTGATGCAGAGAGCCCGTGCAGCTGGTAAGATGGAGGGCACAGATGGAGAAACAGAGTCTCATTCACACAAGGGGTGGGATTAAAGCACGTTTATTTCCTCACAAAGAACCCTGGGAACTGTAGCTACTAGCGGGCGCTGGGAGTAAACTACAGTTCCCAGGATTCTTTGGGGGAAGCCATGTGCCTTCAATGTATGTTGTGTCCAACACCCGGCCTGCTAGGTCTTCTTGATGCTTTAAGAGAAATGTTTTGAGTCAGGATAAGGCCCCTGGGTCAGAGCCTTCTTGGGCCTGGAGGTGGAGCAGAGCAGTTTGTGGCAGATCCATTTGCCCTAGACGTACAGCTAAAATGAACATCAGAGGAAGTGGCGTTCAAGGATTGATGGAATCAATTTGCCACCCCATGGTGGTTGGCAACCATTTTTGTAGCCATCTGGGTGGTTTGTCTGACTAAAGCTCTCTGATGCTTGTAAGGAGTCACAACACCTCCAGGCCACCAGGGGGCAGCACCCCAACACTTGGTTACAGAAATGTATTGTGTGTGTGCCCCCCACCAACTTAAGGTAAAGGTAAAGGGACCCCTGACCATTAGGTCCAGTCGTGGCCGACTCTGGGGTTGCGGCGCTCATCTTGCTTTATTGGCCGAGGGAGCCAGCGTACAGCTTCTGGGTCCTGTGGCCAGCATGACTAAGCCACTTCTGGCAAACCAGAGCAGCGCACAGAAACGCCGTTTACCTTCCCGCCGGAGCGGTACCTATTTATCTACTTGCACTTTGACGTGCTTTCGAACTGCTAGGTTGGCAGGAGCAGGGACCGAGCAATGGGAGCTCATCCCGTCACGGGGATTCGAACCGCCGACCTTCTGATCAGCAAGCCCTAGGCTCTGTGGTTTAACCCACAGCGCCACCCGCGTCCCTCCCCCCCCCAACTTAGTTACGTCTTATTGGGCTCAGGGTTTGCCCTCACACTTGCAAACCCTTAATCCCAGAGATGTAGATGGTAAGCATGGTCCTTTCATACTTAGGGGAGGCACTCAGTACATGCCCAGAAGCATTGTCTTCTCCTTCCTCCAAGTTTCTGATCAAAGATGAAACCCCAGTTCAATCTCTTGCCTGGCCCAGACAGTCCCTCTTGCAGACAATCTCTCTCTCTGCCCAATTTCAGGAAAGTCTGTGGGGATTGTGACCACCACGCGAGTCCAGCATGCATCGCCCTCTGGGAATTATGCCCACGTGGTGAACCGGAGCTGGTACTCGGATGCCGACATGCCTGCCTCAGCAATTTCAGAAGGCTGCAAGGACATCGCTCAGCAACTTGTTAAAAACGTCAACCTGACGGTGGGTTGTGGAGAGGGAAAGCAAACCTCCACCTTTCTGGGCTTGCAATCCACTCCTGCCCTCTCTGCTCTGTTATCCTGCTTAGGGTAAGCTGTGGGGCAGCTTTTGCCAACCTGGTGCCCTCTCCCCACTTGCGACTCCCTGCAGCTGTAACACTGCATTCTTCCTTCCTGCCTGGGCGTCCCCCTCTTCCCCATCACGCTTCCAAGCTGACCACTGTTGGTTTCTATTTCCCTCACTGAGCAGCAACTGCAGTCACAAGACATTGTTTTACATTCCACAGTCTGTACTGTTGGGTTTTCTCACGGGAAAGGGAGACTGGATGTGACGTACACTGGTTTCCTGTTTTTTTCACTGTGTGATTCTCTCCGAGCTGAGAGAGGAGAGAGGATGCATTTTCTGCTCTTGCAGAGGCAAGATGTCTTTCTGTAATATACCAGCTTTGAACTGTAAATAAAGCAATATGGAGTATGTAACACATTTTCCTCATCCTTCCGCTGGGCACGACAGACTCTGCTTTAAATCAACACGTGGTTATGGACTCCAGAGGTCGAATCGGAGTGCCGGCAAAGGATCGGATTGCAGAGGGACGGATCGGAAAGGAATCTGCTCTGCGCGTAGAAGTGATTGATGAGGTATGTGCTACTGCTCCGGGCAGCCTGCCAGCTTCAAGATAATGGCTTTATGGCTGGACTTTGAACTTTTAAAGCCGGTTTTGCCGGGAATAGGCAAAAGGCTCCCAGGCACAAGTCACTATGCTGGGGAAATCGTAGTAACTTTTAAGTGTGCCTTTGGATAAGGCAGCTGCAGCAGTGACGCAGCAAGATTTAAAGCAGCATATGACGCTGAAGGCTAATGCCAGAGTCATGATGGCCCTTCAGGATGCTTGTGGGATTCCTAAGCTCAACAAGAAAAATTACAGCGACTGGGTTCAGTATGCAGAGGCAATTCTGCGGAAAGAGGGTTTGTTTGAGGTGATTACAGGAACCCCCAGTTCCAGTTACAGATGCATGGGAAGCTAAGGATTCCAAAGCAAGGGGAACTCTTACATTGATAGTATCCCCAGAAGAGCTCTGTCTATTGCGTGATAAGACCTCAGCCAGAGAAATTTGGGACGCTCTGAGAGAGGCTCATTTAAGGACAGAAGCTGGATCAACTATGTTTTACTTTAACAAGCTGCATAATATGGCTCTTGCTGAAGGTGGAGATGTACGTTTACATCTAATGGAGATGCAAAATCTGAGACATGAGCTGCAGCAGAGAGGACTCAACTTTCCAGAGGCTGTGTATTCTTTCATGATACTACAATCTTTGGGTTCAGGTTGGGAGTCTGTTGCAACCCAGATTGCTGTGCAACCAACAGCTCAGCTGACAGTGGACTTTGTTACTGCCGTGATTTTAAATGAAGCAGATCGCCGGGGTGCAAGCTGCATGGGCAAGGGGGAGTCTTCACAGACGTCATCCCATAGTGCAGTGGAACCACCAGATGGCGCCAAAGCTATGAAGGCAGTGAAATGCTACTCGTGTGGACGTCTAGGCCATATGAAGAGGGAATGCAGACATCCCAGGGCCAAGACAGAGCAGCGCAGCGAAAGCTCATCGCGTGGAAAAGGCCGAGGCAAAGGCAAAGGTCCGGTGTCTAGGACAACGCAGCACAAGGCTATGGTTTCACGCTTCACTCCAAAGGTTGCAGAGGTCCAGAAGACGTCTAGATCTTTCTTCGTTGTTGATTCAGCGGCCACCCACCACATGTGCAACGATAAGAAACTGTTTGTGTCTTTTACACCGCAGGAAGGTGCGATTCACCAGGCGGATGACCACACTATTCCCAGTAAAGGCTACGGAACTGTTGTTCTTCACAGTTTGGACTTATCGATACAGAATGTGCTTTACGTGCCAGACGCCAAACATAATCTGCTCAGCGTTGGACAGCTGAATGAGCGGAACATTGACGTTTCCTTCAAGAACAAGAAGTGCATCATCACAAAGAAAAATGATTATGTATTGCATGCAGAATATGTTGATCATTTGTTTGTTTTGTATTATGATGATGTGGTGCAGGATGACACTTGTTGCATTGCAGGTTCTAACAAAAGTTTGCATGCAGAATGTATTCACGATTTTCATCGCAAATTTGGTCATTTGCATTTTGAGGCAGTATCTAAAATGCCTGCCTTGGTTGAAGGTATGACTATTAAACCCTGCAGGTACCACATGAAGTGCAAAGCATGCGCAGCAAACAAAGTGAAAATGGCTGCGAAAGGTAAGGTGTCTAGTAGGAAAGCTACAGAACCATACCAGGTTGTTCATGCTGATTTGGTTGGACCACTATCGCCCTCTTTGGGTGGAAATAGATACTTCATGGTTCTCATTGATGCATTTTCTAGATATATTTTTGTGTACAATCTCAAGCAGAAATCGGAGGCTTTTCCTAGGTTCAAGGAATTCTGTGCTTGGTTGGAAAATGTGCATGGTAAGAAGATAAAGACTCTTTTCAGTGATCGCGGGGGGGAATTCACTTCTCAGCAGTTTGAAGCTTTTCTGACTGAGAAAGGAATTCAACACGATTTGTCTAGTCCTCGCTCGCCATGGCAGAATGGACTTGCGGAACGGGCAAATCAGACATTGCTTCAAGGCTTAAAAACCTTGCTGCATGATGCCAATCTTCCAGAGAGTTATTGGGCCGAATCTCTCTCGTGTTTTGTTTACAGTTACAATCGCAGATTATCTTCAGCGATTGGTTGTACCCCCTATGAGAAGATGTTTGGCAAGAAGCCATACATCAAACACATGTGGGTTCACTCACCACAAAACTCCAAGTTAGACAAGCGTGGATTGCATGGTATCTTTCTAGGTTATCAGAAAGGGTCTTACAGAATAATGATGACTGACTCTAAGACAATTAAGCTCACGAGAAGTGTTGAGTACAATGCAAAGTGGGGGAGAATGTGGGAATTTTCCAATGTTATCCTGATGACGGTGATGAGACTGAGGATAGTCAAAAGCAACCACAACAACCCACACCCACTGATGAAGGTTCTGAGTCTGAATCTGAAACTGAATCGGGTGATTCAGAGGATTTCAAGAGTGCGAAAGCCTCTATGCGACCCTCTGAAAGCTCTGATCAAGAATTGGAGGAACCATTGTTCACAATAGGTCGTTTTTCTCCTAAGAAGGAAGAGGAGAGTGTTGAAGACTTAAGGCTAATTCGTAGGTCACAGAGAGCCACAAAGGCAAACCTCCAAAGAGATTTGCTGATGAGTTTGCTAAGATAGCAGTAACAGCTGTTAAAAGCTCCAAGAAGGTATTTGAACCTTCAAGTTTCCAAGAAATCCAGGGTTTGGATTCAAAGGAAGCTGAGCCATGGTTAAATGCCATGAAGGCTGAGCTTGATTCCTTAGAAAGGAACAAAACATGGGAGCTAGTTCCAGTAGTTCCAGGAATGAAACTGCTTGGAAGCAAATGGGTCTTCAAAGCGAAGACAGATCAAAATGGCAAGATAGTCAGACACAAAGCCAGATTGGTAGCCAGAGGTTTTGCACAGGTACCAGGTGAAGACTATCACGAGACCTATTCACCCACAGTGAGATATGAAAGCATTAGGCTTATGCTCAAGCTAGCTGCAGAGGAAAATCTACACATTAGTCACCATGATATTAATACAGCTTTTCTGTACGGATCTCTAGATGAATCACTTTATATGCTTCCACCTGATGGCGTACAGGTAAAACAGGGATTTGTTTGTGCTCTGAAGAAATCCCTTTATGGTCTCAAACAAAGTGCACGGTGTTGGCACACAAAACTCACTGAAGTATTGTTTTCTCTAGGTTTTCAGCAAGGAAAGCTGATCCATGTGTATTTGTCAAAGAGGAGGGGCAAAAGAAACTGTACTGTTTGTTTTATGTTGATGATTTATTATTCTTTTGGAAAGATGTCGCAATGTACAATAGCGCCCTAGCTCAACTGAAAGAGCACTTTGACATGAAAGATCTTGGTGAGGTAAACAACTACCTATCTCTGGAAATAGAGAGAGATCAAGATGGTAACATTCTAGTACACCAGTCACGGAAAATTGCTGATGTGTTAAGCAAACTAAATATGATGGATGCTAACCCTGTAGACACACCGATGACAACAGGTCATCAGGTAGATGACACTGAAGAAGCATTTTCTGACACTACACTGTACAGGAGTGTGCTAGGCAAGCTAAACTTCATTGCCAGATGTTCAAGACCAGACATTGCTGTTAGCTGTAATTTGCTAAGCAGACAAGTCAACAATCCTAGTGTCAAGGATTGGAAAGCTCTGAAACGCATAGCGCGGTATTTGAAAGGCACTATGCATTACAGACTGAGATTTAACAATCAGAAGTCTGGTGGTCTTGAGATATTTGCAGATGCAAGTTTTGGAAGTGACGCTACAGACAGGAAAAGTACGTCTGGAGTTTGCTATATGTACAATCAGAGTCTGTTTGATTGGTCATGCAAGAAGCAAACAACAGTTAGCTTAAGTACTTGTGAAGCTGAACTGAATGCACTGTCTTATTCACTTAAGGATTGTGAATGGTTAGTACAATTGTGCAAAGATATGAAAATTCCTGTCAAATGTCCAATCCAGGTTTACCAGGACAACAAAGCATGTTTGGCTTTGCTGAAGTCTGAAGGTTGTAAGCAAAGCACAAAGCACTTACAATTAAAGTTGCAGCATGCTAGGGAATGTATTCAGAAGGGACTCGTAACGGTGTCCTATATGCCAGGTAATGAAATTCCTGCTGATGTATTGTCCAAGATTGTATCAAGGGATCAACACTGTACCTATGTGCAGAAGTTGGGTTTGTACTGATATTGTGCGAACACGCTGCCCAGTGATGTTCACAGAAAGGGGAGGATGTTGGTTTCTATTTCCCTCACTGAGCAGCAACTGCAGTCACAAGACATTGTTTTACATTCCACAGTCTGTACTGTTGGAGTTTCTCACGGGAAAGGGAGACTGGATGTGACGTACACTGGTTTCCTGTTTTTTCACTGTGTGATTCTCTCCGAGCTGAGAGAGGAGAGAGGATGCATTTTCTGCTCTTGCAGAGGCAAGATGTCTTTCTGTAATATACCAGCTTTGAACTGTAAATAAAGCAATATGGAGTATGTAACACATTTTCCTCATCCTTCCGCTGGGCACGACAGACTCTGCTTTAAATCAACAACCACACATTCTGAACTTACATTTTGTACTTTTGTAACTTAGATAGTAGTTATAAACCTGCCCTTCCATTTTTCTGCCATAACTGCTGCTTCAAGACCTAGATTATGTAAGTAAATACTACTTTTACTTCTTCACAAAACAATGTTGTTTTAAATGGGAGATACCAGGGAAACCCACCCTGTCTTAAAAAAGCATCCTGGATTATTGCTTCCAGAAGGTTAAATCAACCTTGTTTTAGCTTCCAAGTTTAAGCTGCAAAACATGGTATTCTGTTGATCTCACCCACTTGAGCAAGGAAGGATAATAACTATATCATATATCTTCTCCCCGTGCCTGTATAAATCCATTCCTACAGTGCACCTCTCGAGGTGTCCTTGCCCTGGGTCCCTTCAAACCTGGGAAATCTCCTGCCAAGATGGCTCCCCTGAGTGCTTGCTTTCGCTTGTGTGCACATTCACACAACCCTTCGTACGACGTGTGACTTTCTTGACAGGTGATCCTGGGCGGTGGCCGGAAGTACATGACTCCAGCGGGCACTCAGGACCCCGAGTACAACACCAACTCCAGCAAGGGCATACGCCAGGATGGCAAGAACCTTATCACAGAGTGGCTTAACTCCTCACCGGTAAGCTTATCTCACCCAAATGCTTTTGCTTTTGGAATTGTGGACTTGACACGAGGATGGTGTAATAAATGAAAATCTGCCCTTATTACCTTATGCAGGACACAAGAGCCCTTATAGAGTGCTTTGTAGGTTCTCCATCGGTCGGAGAAAAGAACAGAGGCCAACCAGAGAATATTGAGAAGTAAAGCAGCTCATAAGCCTGATCTTTATTGATCTGTTGCAACAGGGTGCTCCCCTCACACGCAGGAAAGGAGGAGGAGCCAGAACCAAGGTGTGCCCACCCTTATATAGACATTTTAATTTGCCCGCCTTGGAGTCCAAGACCACCCCCAGAAACATCATACCCCATCACAGAAGGGGTGTAGCTCAAGACCACCCCCCTCCAGATACATCATACCTACATCACAAAAAGGGCGGTCTACAGCAGAAATCTGAGTGCGTTGTTTACCTCCTGTCATTGTTTATCTCCTGTCTGGCAGGTTACCTGTTAATGCTTACCCTGGGGAGCCTGGCTAGTCCTTTGTAGTAACAAATACCCAGTTCCTGAGCCAGGCCACAGGCTCACCCCATTCATACACAGATATACCCTTAAGACAGGATTTGTGAAAGAAAAGACAATGGGGAGGCTTTTCCATTTTCCTTTGACCTTGCAGAGAAAACATTTGGTCAGTTTGAGAGCCAAAATGGCTCCAGGACTGCCCTCCTGCGCTGCTTCAGACATGTGGTTCACATATTTATGTACGTGTTGTACACCTCTGGAGCATGTTTCTCCTCGCAAAGATTTTCGGGCACCATAGAGTTACAATTGGGCCACACAGCCTGCCATCAGGGGAGGGATTGCAACTCAGCAGAAGATTTGTGCTCATGCTTAAATTCAAAAGATGCCAGGTTCAATTCTTGGTACCTCCAGTTAAAAGGAGCACATGACAGAGAGCTCTTTCTGCTTCAGAGTTTGGAGAGTGGCTGCCAGTCATGTGGGGAGAATTTCCCCTTGTGGGTTCAAGTATGGAAGCTCACACCCAATTCCCAACTAGTCAGACTTTATTCAGCAATGCATTTCTGGACGGAGTTCTAACATTCTGCGAGAGCTTAGAATGCTCTCTGTGTAGGAAAAATATAGGAAAAATATCTGTGTAGGAAAGAGCCAGTGTGGTGTAGTGGTTAAGAGCGGTAGTCTCGTAATCTGGGGAACCGGGTTCGGGTCTCCGCTCCTCCACATGCAGCTGCCGGGTGACCTTGGGCCAGTCACACTTCTCTGAAGTCTCTCAGCCCCACTCACCTCACAGAGTGTTTGTTGTGGAGGAGGAAGGGAAAGGAGAATGTTAGCTGCTTTGAGACTTCTTCGGGTAGTGATAAAGTGGGATATCAAATCCAAATATGCAATCTTTGCTATTTCATTCTCTCCCCATCCACCTTCTGCCACCCCGTCACCCCACAATCTCTTATCCAACCACAATCCTTGGAAACACTTACTCAGCTCAATCCTTTTTACTGTATGCACAGAGCCCTTCTTGTGCCTTATCTGGAGCTGTTTTTCACTTCAACAGCCAGCCGTTATGGAACTCTAAAAGTAGCTCTTACCAGTCTTCTGGTCAGGTCTTGTTTCTGCATACATGATGCTGGCCTAACTGATAATGGGTTTAACAAAAATCCCACCTCACAGAGGGGACAATATTGGAGTAGACAGGCAAATATTCTCCAAAAGGAAACACATTTTAAACTGTGGTGGATATAGCAAGCTATGTTGGGCCTGAGAGGCGTAGAAAATATCCCCTCAATTCTTTGTGTTTCTTCCTAGGGTACCAAGTACGTCTGGAACCGAACACAGCTCCTGAGTGCTGCAGACGACCCAGCTGTGAGCCGCCTCATGGGTAACGGGTTCAAATCCCCATTTGCCTCCCAGTTTCTTCATCCATGGTGTCTTAGGCAGCTTACAGCTTTAAAGCACATTATTTCCCTCAAAGGGTTATGGGCAATGTAGTTCACCCCTCGCAGAGTGACAATTCCCAGCAACCCTTAACAAACTACAGTGCCCAGAATTCTTTGAGAAAAAGAATATGCTTTGAATGTGCTTCAAAGGCACACACAGCCTTATTCAGCCCTGTCTTGAAATGCATATCACTCACCGCACTTCCCTGTTGCAGCGATTAGAAGTGTTTTTCTCAGAATGCATTTCAGACCAGTTTATATGCACAGGAGAATCAAGCAGAAATCCTGGACCGAACTGCTTTGGGCTGCAGATTTCCCTGTGTCTCTCTTCACGTGTGAATGTTTCCTCATGTAGGGAGTGAGGGAAGCCCCATGACATGTGTAAAATTCCAGGAGTGAGGGTTTTGTGGCACAGCCTTCAGACCAGCACTTCTCTCCTCTCACGAGTCCCACCTGCACCCAAAATGGTGCCTTCTGGGAAAAGCTGTAACCCTGGGGTGGGGAGCCATTTTCAGCCCCGGAGACAAGCTGCTGGGGCCTGTCAATCACCTGACAGCACAACAACCTCAGAGCTCCCGAGGGCTCCTTTGCAGCCATCTCTTTTCCTGCCCCACACCTGGCTTCACATATGATGTCGAGGTGGATGTGGCTTGGAGAAAACTGTTCCGTTCAGAGTCCCTCAAGGCTGCGAACAGCGGGACTGCTGTGGCGTCCAGTCCGCTTCCACTGTGCCAACCTGCTTCTCCCGGCTACAGCAGAGAATCTTGCGCAGTGGTGTCCCTGTGTGGAAGGAATCTCAGCCATGCAGTAAAACTCTCGTACAATGGCTTCCTCTATTCTATGATGCGTTCATTGTACAGCAGGAAAATGACAACAGCCAGGGGAAAGCGAAGACATGCTTCTCCTGTCGCAGCCGAAACAGAAAGTAAAAACGTTCACATAATAAAGATGCGAACACACCCCAGTGACAGGATGCCATTTCCCTTGAGCTGTTAATCCTGTAAGCTCTGGGTATCCTCACAAAAGCAGCCTCACAGGTCAAAACAGGACCCTGGATAGTTCTTATTTAAGCCAAGAGGCCGGAGGTTGCCCAGCTCTGCTGTAGCACTTGGTTCTGCCAGATTGTGTGAACTGTGGCTTGGAGCGGGCTAGGAACGCATTCTTTCTTCTGACAAATCCTCTGTCTTGGGCTGGTTGGATGCAGAGGAATGGTGGGAGGAACCAGCTAGGGAATCACCAGGGGAAGAAGACTCAGAACCCAGGGAGTGGTGGTGGGATGACAATGAGTGGACAGACGGAGAAGAGGGAGAGGAGTGGGAAGAGGAGGTGTCGGAAGCTGAAGAGGTAACAGGGCTCAGTGAGCTGGGAGAGTCTGTGGCAGAGAGAAGTCTAGAATCAGAGACAGAAGCTGAAGCAGAAGAGGCCAAGAGGCAGAGATGAGTCAGGCTGCTGAAGAGTCCCAGGTGTCTCCTACTCGTCCTGTGACAAGCTCCCCTCTTGCCTGGTCTCCCAGAACTAGGAGAGGCATGAAAAGGGCGGAGGAGAAAAATAGTGTTGCACAGGTGAAGTCTCAGATCGCTTGGGGAAAACCCTGGAGAGGACTTAGACAGGAGCCTTCAGTCTTGGCAACTGCTTCATGGGGGCCAGACCCACGGGGATGAGCTGCTGTGCTTATTAGGCCTGACACTCAACCAAGTCTGCAGAGATCATGTTATTGCTAATAAACACTTAACTCCAACTTTGAATGGTGTGATTTACTGCCAGCTGACTCTTGGACTTCCTCTCACGCTTCACGCCTCAAAACAGTCCTTTCTCCCATGATGCACTTAGAACAGGCTGTTGTTCTCTCTGTCATCCCCAGGCCTCTTTGAACCTGGCGACATGAAATACGAGCTGGTCCGCAACAATCAGACTGACCCATCTCTGGCGGAGATGACTGAGGTCGCCTTAAAGATCCTCAGCCGCAACCCCGAGGGATTCTACCTCTTTGTTGAAGATAAGTTGGGGCATCTTCTGGGCTGCGTTGACCAGGGTTTGGGTAGAAAGCAGACTGGGATCTTGTAGTTAAAAATTTGTAAACAGCTCAGTGAAAGGGGGATCCATTAACTGGGGCGATTGCAGGTGTTTCCCCTGATCTCTCTCCTTCTAAGTTGCCCTTTTCTCCGCACGAGGCAAGATTGACCTGGGACACCACAACGGCATTGCCAAGCAGGCTCTCACTGAGGCAGTGGAGTTCGACAAAGCTGTCCAGCGGGCAGGGGAGCTGACGCAAGAAGCCGACACCTTGACCGTGGTGACCGCTGACCATTCCCACGTCTTTGGCTTTGGCGGCTACACGCTGAGAGGCTCCTCCATCTTCGGTATGGGGCTGGTGATGAACCCGTCGGTTCTGGTTCTGGTGGGCTCAGCTGGAAGTGTGTGTGTGTGGGGGAAAGGGCCGTAGATCAGGGTTAGAACACCTGCCTTGAATGTAGAAGGTCCTGTGGGATCTTCACATAGGACTGAGGAAGCCCATTCTGAAGCACTGGAGAGCCGCTGCCTGTCAGTGCAGACAACGCAGAGCTACATGGACCATTGGCCTGACTTAGGATTGTAGAATTGGAAGGGACCCTGAGAGTCATCTAGTCCAGTCCTCTGCAGTGGGGATATCTCAGCTAAAGCATCCACAACAGATGATCATCTAATCTCTGCTTTAAAACCTCCAAGGAAAGAGAGCCCACAACCTCCCAAGGGAGTCTGTTCCACCATTGGTCCGCTCCTCATGTCAGAAAGTTCTTCCTGATGTTTAGTCGGAATCTCCTTTCTTGTAACTTGAAGGCCCTTGGTTCAAGTCCTACCCTCCAGAGCAGCAGAAAACAAGCTTGTTCCCTCTTCCACGTCACAGCCCTTGAGATATTTGAAGGTGGCTCTCCGATCTCCTCAGCCTCCTCTTTTCCAGGCTAAACATAAGGCAGCTATCTATATTCCAAAGGTCTTCAGAACTGTGCTCCAAACCACAGCCGCTGGAAGAATATGGTGGTAACAGTGCAGTGAGGATGCACAGCCTCTTGGGCTGCATCCAAAAGGGCCATGGCTTAGAGAGCAAAGCCTGTGTTTTGCCTGCCAAAGGTCCCAGGTTCAATACCTGGCATCCCCAGTTAGGGGGGAAAAAAAGATGTTTTCTAGTAGAGTTGAAAAATACTTCTGCCGTAGATCTTGGAGAGCCTCTGCTGCTCAGAGTATTTTTTTTTTTTAATGATATTTATTAATGTTTCAAAAAAAGGATACATAAATAAGAGAGAGAAAAAAATAAAAAAAGAAGAATACAAAATACAAAAAAAACAATTAAAAACAATTCCATCTTTTCATCACTTCTCTTTCATTTACTTATTTCCCGGACCTCCTCATACCTCCCTTTTTTGTATTCCAGTTCAATTTATTGGTCCAACAATTCCTTTCCCTCCTTTTTAATCCTAATCTTTAATCTTAATATATTATAGCATTGGTTTTTTACGTATTGAAAGTCCAATTTTTCCATATTCTTTTATACCGTTACAGCTAGAAACCACTTAACTTCAATCCAACATCATTCTAACATTCATTAATTTTACAATATTTCTGTAAGTAGTCTTTAAATTTCTTCCAATCTTCTTCCACCGACTCTTCTCCCTGGTCTCGGATTCTAGCTGCTGCTCAGAGTATTGAACTAGATGAACTAACAGGCTGAGTGGCCCTCCAGGGATAAAATCATAAAATCGTCAAGTTGGAAGGGACCCCTGAGGGTCATCTAGCCCAACCCCGTGCAATGCAGGAATCTTAGCTAAAGCATCCATGACAGACAGCCACCCAACCTCTGCTTTAAAACCTCCAAGAAAGGAGAGTCTACAAGCTCTGTCTGGCCCTCCTCATCACCCTCTCCTTGGGTCATGCCTTTCAGTGGCTCTGCTTCACACCATGGGTGTTTTTGCCTGCCTGGAATGTGCCCTTGAACTCAAACCATGCCTCTCGCTTGTCTGAATGGGGGTTAGGGGGTGTGTGTGCAAGTGTGTGTAGAAAGCAGCCTCCCACACAAAGGCAGAATGGGCATGCCCTGCTCCACCCACTTTTGCCCTTGGCCCCGCCCCCACTGGAATTCGGCCCTTGGGAGCTTGCCCAGAAAGGAAACTGGCCCTTGGCTTGGAAAGAAGATTCCTCACTGTCCACTACGCTCCCTCCACAGGCTTGGCCCCTGAATTAGCAGCAGACAGGAAGGCGTACACATCCATCGTGTATGGGAACGGGCCGGGCTACCAGATCACCAGCCAGGGCCGCCCCAATTTGACCGAAGAAGAGAGCGGTAAGAGGGATGGCGCTGCTGAATTGGGGAGGCCTGGGGAGGGGGAGGCTGGACAGGGTGTGTGGTCAACATTCAAGGCTAGTTTGACTCTATGGCAGGGATTCCAAGGCCACAGCAGACGTCACCCAAGGGTGTTAATTGAGACGGCAGTGGTTGTGGTGTTTAACCCTCCCTATGCCATTTTCCGGGACGCGGGTGGCGCTGTGGGTTAAACCACAGAGCCTAGGACTTGCCGATCAGAAGGTCAGCGGTTCGAATCCCCGCAACGGGGTGAGCTCCCGTTGCTCGGTCCCTGCTCCTGCCAACCTAGCAGTTCGAAAGGACGTCAAAGTGCAAGTAGATAAATAGGTACCGCTCCAGCGGGAAGGTAAACGGCGTTTCTGTGCGCTGCTCTGGTTCGCCAGAAGCGGCTGAGTCATGCTGGCCACATGACCCGGAAGCTGTACGCCGGCTCCCTCGGCCAATAAAGCGAGATGAGCGCCGCAACCCCAGAGTCGGCCACGACTGGACCTAATGGTCAGGGGTCCCTTTACCTTTATGCCATTTTCCAGATCTGAGGTTCAAACGCCTCCACCCACTTATTGTTGCACCAATCCACATTAAACGCTTAACCCTCCACTCCATACTTGCTTTAAAGTAATACCCACACATTCCCCAAAACTAAGGGAGATCCTGTTACTGATCTTCCACATTATGTGTGGCCTGGACCCTAAACCTGTCCAGTGTCCTTCGCAGTCGTAGGCAGTAATACTTCTGAAAACCAGTTGCTGGAAACCACAGGTTTCCACCAGGCATCTGGTTGGCCTCTGTGAAGGGCCCTTGGCCTGATCCTGCAGCCTCTTCTTATGTTCTTCCATTCCTCTCCCTAGAGCGTGACGACTACCACCAGCAAGCTGCGGTGCCCCTTGACTCGGAAACCCATGGGGGCGAGGACGTAGCCATCTTGGCAAAGGGCCCCATGGCTCACCTATTCCATGGGGTGCAGGAGCAGACGTTTGTTGCCCATGTCATGGCATACGCCGCTGGCATAGAACCATACCAGGAGAATGGCCTGGACTTTAACTCTGCCAGGTTGACAAAACCCACCTTGGTGACTCTTCTCTTGGCCTCCTTGCTCCTTTGGGCCTGTTAATCCTCCCCTGGACAACAACTCGGGGTACATCTCTCTCCTCTTTCTCTCCTCTGGACATTGCTTCCAACTCTGATGCCACATAGAATGCACCCTCAAGAGCTTTGCTTCTTAAGCTAAACAAGTGTTCTCCATCCTGTTGAAGGCTGAATCAATGAATGTCTTCCATCTTGTTCCACCAAAAGTGGGGTTGGCAGTTCCAGTCATGGTGTGAACATGCAGGAGCACACGCAGGGGTATCCCTCATTTCAAGGAAACATGAATTCCACTTCTGACACCAGTGTTGCACACTACCCCCCAATCTCTGAGCAGTGTGAGATTCCAGTGATTCCAGGTGCTTAGGAGTCGGAATGAGGAACAGCGGAGACTGTGGTGCCTCAAAAGAGGGTGACATGCTCACCTTCAGACCCGAGAGCTGCTCTCCTACCTAGACCTGAACGGTGGGTGGTAGTGAACCAAAAGCATGCTGCCATGAATGCCACAGGGAGACCATGCCCAGCTTCTAGAATGCCAAGCAATGCTCAAACCCTGCAGTGCCCAAATCCTCCGTTTCTCGTAATCATTGTTACTAGCATTGATAGGTAGAGGCTGGAGCAGTGTGTGTGTGTGTGTTGTGCAGTTTGAAAGGAGAGGTTCCTTGGGCAGCTGACAGGCTCCTTCCCATCAGCTGATTCTTCACTCCATGCCAGTTATCATGGAGATGTGACATGATGGTTCCTAACCCAACCATCACACTTCCACCTGGATTTGCCATGTCTGACTGGGAATGGTCTCTTAAATAACCACCTGTGCTCCAGATCAGGACCACAAGGGAGCTTCCAGGGACTGTGCTGAGGAGGGCTTCACTGAGGAAGAATGGTGGGAGTCACCCCCTCTTCCTGATCCTGAATCTTCCCAGGAGCAGGAGGACAGTATAGATTTGGAACAGTGGTTTGCAGAGGGGCTTAGTTCAGAAGGCAGAAGCTGGGAAATACTGGATGGGGAACAGCTAGCAGAAGAAACACTAGAAGAGAGAGAGTCAACAGATTCACGGTCTCTGGATAGTATCCACCCCCTTCCCCCAAAGTCCTGGAGAGCTCAGAAAGTGTCAGAACAGAAAACACAGAGGCTCCAAGCTCAGATTACAAGATGTAGAAGTGATGTAGATTAATAGGGACGGATCAGGGAGTGAACTTAATTGGGAGCACCACCATTCTAGTCAGATGCTTTTTTTGTGTCCCTTATTAAAGAAACTAACTGGTAAGAACTCTCTTTCGCTTGATCTGCTCATTTATGGCCACGGGGGGAGGAAGCGGATTCCCTGAAGCCTGACAGGAGCACAGAGATCGGCTGTTTTGGTTTCTGATTGGCTGCGCCTCCATCTTGGAATTCTTCCTCCCAGAGAATCTGAGCCCAAGCACCTTCTGGAAGTGACATAAGTGATAAGGCTCTCCGTGGCCACTAACCTCAATGGCTGTGTTCTGTCTCCACTGTTGGAGGGAGCAATTTTTTGCATACAAGTTGCTGGAAACCAGAGGAGGGGAGAGTGCTATTGGGCTGATCCTGTGTACAGACCTGATCCTGCGTGCTCTTCTGATGTTCCTAAGCAAGACATTTTAATTCAATTCTGTTAATTCATTAAATTAAATTAAAGGATGAGGTAGCACAGATAGCAGGTTGGCGTCTCCTTCAAGCCCTTGGGAAAGGGAGGGTTGCAAGAAGCCCAATGAATAAATCACATCCCTTTGCCCATGCAGACAAAACAGCTCTGGCCTTTTAATTCGACATGATCAGCAGCAGAAAAATACAGCGCGACATTTTCTGTACAAAGAGCCACTTAGCCCTACAGCCCAGACAGCGCCACCTGCTGGCTAGGAGTGTGTGTGGAGGGTTTGGGAGGTTGGGGTGGGGAGGCGGGGGGCGGTTGGCCACACAGCTGACCATGCCAGCCTGCCTCCAGACTCTCACTATTCTGCAGACAGGAGTAGATCGCGTATCGGCAAACTCAGGTTGCATTTGGGCTGGCCTCCTTCCGCAATGAATCTGTCCCCATCCAAAAAAAAAAAAATTGACCTTTTTTGCAGCAAGGGGAAATGTGCTGGAAAGTATGGGATAGCAATCGCTTGACACGATCCTGTATAACCTCCCCGCAAACAGATCAAAATAAAGGCTCGAAGGAACGGGGGTGCCGTATAACCTTCCCGCGACTTTTGTGTAGGCAGATCAGGATGAGTGCTTGCCTAGAAATCAGCCTGGTCCTCCCCCCCCCCCCCAAATATCTACATGCCCTGCATTCCCTGGTGTGCTTTTGCTCAGGGGAGAAGGGGGCAGGTGGCGCATGGCACGCCAGGGTGGGCAGCCTGTGGGTGTCTCTGAGCCACAGCTGCCCCTTGCCAGGCCTACTGACTCTGCCCATTTTAGAGAAGGCCCTGATCAATAGTTCAAGCACCCAAGGATAGTTTAGGAATGCTCTGGGCTTGAGAGATGTGGAGATTTGAGGGGAAATTAGGAGGCACCTTGGTTTGGCCTCGTCCGCCATCTTGTTTTGTTTTGTTCTCCCAGATTTGGTTGGAGAAACAGGCCTCAGGTTTGCCACCTCCATCTGGCTTGGCTGTAGTGTCCTCTCTTGGGTGGCCTTGCCTGAGTTTGGCAGTTCCTCTCCCAACAAGCAGCGACACAGGTGTGCACAGAGGTCTGTGTGAGGTCTTGGGGAGAAGAGAGCCCAATTTCTGCAGGAGTCGGTCCATCCCCACCTCCCAAAATAATGGCCCTTGTCTGTCAGTGTGCACGTTGGTCCCTGAGAACGGGGCCAGCTCGGAGCAACAGGGTGTGGTTGTGGTGTTGTGTGTGTGTGTGTGTTTCCCTCATTTTTCTCTGTCCAGCCGGTGGGCAACGAGGTTTAGAGTGGTGGCGAGTGAGCCCGGCCAGCGTTTTGGCAAACGCCAGGGGTGGGTTGGAGCGGGTGGCTCTTTCACCAGACGGAGCATTTGTGAGCTGGGTTCATGGGCGAGTTCTTGGGGCAGTGGAAGACCCGGCCGAACTCCTCGAACTGTGAGACGCTGCCCAGGACCCTACAGGGGAGAGGGAAAGAAGAGAGGAATAACGCAACGGCAGCCGCAAAAGCCTGAGAAGGATTGTTGTATAAAACAAGAAGCGTAGGACTGCACCTAAGATGCCTCCCCTGTTTTGCAGCCCTTGATTCCTCACGTGGAGGCTGGCTGCAGGGGCTTGGTAGAAAGAGGGAAGCACTTTTCACATGCTCAGATTCACTCTTTGCTCCTTCTTCTCAAGATCTGGTGGCTGCACCCTGACCGCTGGGAGGGAACGGCTTCAGATTTAAGCCCCTGGCAGCTCCAAAGAATTAGAATAATAGAATCATAGAAGATTTGGAAGGGACCCAAAGGGCCATCTAATCTATCCTATCTAATCTAAATTTATCATTACCGTATTTTTCGCTCTATAAGACGCACCAGACCACAAGACGCACCTAATTTTTGGAGGAGGAAAACAAGAAAAAAAATATTCTTAATCTCAGAAGCCAGAACAGCAAGAGGGATCGCTGTGCAGTGAAAGCAGCAATCCCTCTTGCTGTTCTGGCTTCTGGGATAGCTGCGCAGCCTGCATTTGCTCCATAACACACACACACATTTCCCCTTCCTTTTTAGGAGGGAAAAAGTGAGTCTTATAGAGCAAAAAACATGGTAATTTAATTCCATTTATTCCCCAGCTTCCATCTGACTCAGGTATGAAATCTCTCATAGGCTTTCACCCCTCTCTCTGTGTGTCATTCCCCAAATCAGTGCATCTCTCAAATCAGAATCCAAAACACGCCCATTTCCCTGGCTGAAGCTGCTGACCTGAAGGTTTCTCCTGCCTCCTTCAATATGCAAACACACCATGTCCCAAATTCGGATACTGGCCTGCCTGCTCTTAGAGCAGGCATCCCCAAACTCAGCCCCTCAGCTGTTTGAGAGCCAGTGTGATGTAGTGGTTAAGAGCGGTAGACTCGTAATCTGGGGAACCGGGTTCATGTCTCCGCTCCTCCACATGCAGCTGCTGGGTGACCTTGGGCCAGTCACACTTCTCTGAAGTCTCTCAGCCCCACTCACCTCACAGAGTGTTTGTTGTGGAGGAGGAAGGGAAAGGAGAATGTTAGCCGCTTTGAGACTCCTTCGGGTATTAAATCCAAACTCTTCTTCTTCTTTTGAGACTACAACTCCCATCATCCCTAGCTAACAGGACCAGTGGTCAGGGATGATGGGAATTGTAGTCCCAAAACAGCTGGCGGGCCGAGTTTGGGGATGCCTGTCTTAGAGGAAAGGCTGGTCTACCAGGGATGCCCCCAGCATGGCAGGGGAAATTTGCTGAGCAGTCAAGCAAGGAGACCACATAGGGCGACCGTCAACCGTGGGTTGGCAAGCAAGGCTCTCGGAACATGAGAGTGTCCATGTTTTATTTATTTTGTATCAACAATCTGTGCTCTACTTAATCTCAGCAATGTACAAGAGCCATAATACAGTAGGCATAAAAATGAGTCAAAACTATAAATTCAGAACTCAGTTTTTAAAAAGCCTGCTGGAGATGGAAAGAAGAAAAAGCCCCTAGAATGGCAGATCAAGTTGATGGTCTATGCCGAAATAGCAAAAATGACTCAGAAATCAGGAAGACCAGAATTTTAATACGGAATGGGGAAAATTTATGATCTATCTTAAAAACCATTGTAAGCAGCTAAAATCGTTAGTGGGATTGGAATAACACCTGTAGTTTAATGGTGAATTTTGGACATAATGGAGATGCAAAGGATTTGGATTATTATAGAAGATGCAGGAGGAAATGATTAACAATAGGAGCCACAGAGGAGGGAAGCCCAGGAGATTCTGTGGAATCTTGTTTCTATATTGTAAATTGTTATGTTATTGTAAAATTTTCATTTGAAAAACCCAAATAAATAAATTTATTTTTAAAAAAGCCTGCTGGAATGAAATGAAAGTCTTTAGGAAGTGCCGGACGTTCAACAGAGAGGGGACCTGCCTGATCTCAACAAGAAGGGAGTTTCACAAAATTGGGCCCACAATACAAAACACAGAACTCCTGGTAGATATGACCCATTCATCCAAGCAGGGATTCCTGCAAAAACCTCAGAGGTCAAGCAGGAATATAAGGGATGGGATGGTCCCTGGGGTATTCTGGACCCAAGCTGTCTAGGACCTTGTAAATTACCATATTTTTCGCCCCATAAGATGCACCTGACCATAAGACGCACCTAGTTTTTAGAAAATATTCTGCGCAAAGCATGTAAGTGGCTCTCGCTTTTCTTGCTTTAAAGCCACCAAAGTGAGAGCTGCTTACATGGCTTCTCTCCTGCTTTGCGCAGCTCTCACCTTGCTTGCCCATCCCTCCTCCCGCCTCGCTGTAAAAGAGGAGGAGACACCGGGACAGGTGCTTTGCTTGCTTTACAGCGAGGAGGGAGGAGGGATGGGCAAGCAAAGTGAGAGCTGCGCAAAGTAGGACAGAAGCCATGTAAGCGGCTCTTGCTTTGCTTGCTCCCGTCCGTCCCTCCTCCCGCTTCACTGTGAAGCCAGCAGAGCAAGCTGCGCAGCTATCACTCTCGCTGAAGCCAGCAGTGCAAGAGCGATAGCTGCTGGCTTCACAGCAAGTGATGGACGGGAGCCATGGCTCCGGCTGTGGAGGCATCCCTCAGCTCATGACTGCAGTGGTAGCCAAGGGATCCCTCTGCTGCCCAGTGCATTCGCCCCATAAGACGCACAGACATCTCCCCTTACTTTTTAGGAGGGAAAAAGTGTGTCTTATGGAGTGAAAAATACGGTAATGAAAGCACCTTGAACCTGGTCCCATAGCTTATGGTCAGCCAGTGCAAGCCAAACCCAAATGGCATCCCTTAGCCGGCCCTTCTCCTTCCTGTCCCCTCCTCTTGCACACAAACACGCATACGCACACACCCCCAGGTACCTGTAGTGTTCAGGGGCGTGTTTGTCGGTCAGCACCTGCAGGTAGATGGATTGTGAGCGCCGTTTGATGCACCAATTCTGCAGGGAGAAGAAGCGAGAAGTGGGAGACTGAATCTGTCAGAGATTGGGGAGGGAAGGTCCAGTCTGTGGCTCCAAGGTGAGGCTGCCTGGGAGGGCCCAGGGCTCTTAGCCAGTGTCTCAAGCCTCTTTGCCTTAGAGATCAGGCAGCCCGCTCCAGCCCTCCACCAGAAACGCCTTTGTGTGGCACAATGGTGGTAGCAGCAGGGGTCTCTGGCCAACATTACGAAAGGCAGGAACAGGTGCGCATGAATCCCTCCCCTCCCCTTTGCTATCAAAGTGATTTAGTTTGTTCTTCATTTGTTAAAAATTGCATTCGCTTTTGATTCCTCTTCCCTTCCTCTCTTCCTTCTTAGCTTTTTGCTGCTGTCTGTGGCAGTTGGACGGCAGCCATTTCACGTTGCCAGAATGCCCTCAAGCTAAAGGTCATTAAAACTTACACACACACCCCACACCCATTTCAGTCTCCAGAGGCTGAAAACTAGAACAGTAAAACTGTTTAAGCTCTTTGCAAAAGCTCTTTGCAAAAGCACACTTTGCACTTTTGCAAAAGCTCTTTGCAAAAGTGCTCTTTGATGCAGCCTTCTCTCCTTTAAACATCACACCTGTCAATTTGGCTCACAAGATTGATCCTGATAAGGATCTGGGCCACCCCTCCTGTAAGCTGCTGAGTATAACCTTTCCTTCACCAGCCTGGATCTCAACCAGATGGCTTGGACTCCTGGCTGGGGCTGATGGGAGTTGTAGTCCAGAACATCTGCTTGGGAGCCAGGATGCTGAAGGGCGCATTAGTGAGTTGAGAATGCTTTGGAGACGCCTCAGTCTGATGAGACAGGGCAGCAGCCTTTGGGGTCTGATCCAGGAACCCCAAGTAATCATTCCCCGGGCACGCAGGCCTTACCTGGGCAAAAGCGATGAAGAAAAGTTGTTCGTGGGTGTATTTGAGAGGGTGGAGAGGGTTCTCGGGACCGTTTTCCCGCACCCACTTCTGATAGGCCTGCAAGAGAAAGTCTTGCTCAGCAAAATGAGGTGGCCACTCCCCAACCCTCCCTGCAGGACCCTCCCCAAAGGTGAAATTGCTAAACGGCCTCGGTCCAGTATACCTGGAGGTCCGTCTCCACCCCCATTGTTCTGCCCGGACACTGAGGTCCAGCACCAAGGGCCTTCTGGCAGTTCCCTCACTGCGAGAAGCCAAGTTACAGGGAACCAGGCAGAGGGCCTTCTGGGTAGTGGCACCCGCCTTGTGGAACGCCCTCCCACCAGATGTCAAAGAGAAAAACAACTACCAGGCTTTTAGAAGACATCTGAAGGCAGCCCTGTTTAGGGAAGCTTTTAATGTTTAATAGACTATTGTATTTTAATATTCTGTTGGAAGCAGCCCAGAGTGGCTGGGGTATAAATAAATTATTATTATTATTATTATTATTATTATTATTATTACTATTATTATTATTATTACTATTACTATTAAAGTACCCAAAGGGCAGAGCTTTTGAGTCCTAGTTTCTCCCCCCTGTGTTTTTAAGGCATTCTTATTTGTTGTCTGTAAGACGCCTTGAGTCCCTGACAGGGGAAAAAGCAGGGTATAAAAATCTTAACAATTGTGTTTCTTATACAAATAGTGAGGAACACGGTCCTTCGGTGCCATCTTATCTGCAAACATCTGGCTCTTTTAAGACTCTTTGCTGTTATTTCTTATCCATTATAATTTAGTAACGATTTGTCATAATGGTTGAGAGTGAAATTCTGTTAAATAATTACCTGCCAAAGTTTTGAGAGTTAATTTTATTGCATACGTTTACATTCTAATGGACGATTGAGTATTCCTTCATTAGGTAGAAGTTGTTTTGTTTTATAGTCCTTTTTTTTTTTTTACTACGGGTTATTTGTGCTGTGCATAGACTGCTCTGCCATGAATCATCTAATTCTCTTTTAAAGCCCTCAAATTTGGTGGCCATCACTGTGGGAGGGAGTTCCACAGTTAACTAGACACTGTGTGAAAAGCACTCTTGCACGGGTCTGTCAGCCAAATTGAGCTTGGGCAGATGTCAGGCAGACACCCTGTTGGGTGGACTTTGCACATGTGACTGGGAACTCCTCTTCCCTCGGGGGACTTACATAGTAGGCGAGCTTAAGTCCCCCCATATCGGCAATGTTCTCCCCAAGGGTATGCTTCCCATTCACCTGTAAGAGAGACAGACAGACAGACAGACAGACAGCTGAGTTAGGATTGGAAATGCTTCCTTTCCACCATCCCACAAATCCCCAGTATTCAGAACAGAGGTCCTCAAACTTGTTTCTCTGGGCAGCACCAATTTTTTATCGATTAGGAAAACACTGGGAAACAAAAAGAATCAAATCCTAGCAGTGCTTAATTGATAGCACAGAACGCAACTGCTTTATAATAGGATCATGAGATGCCCAGAGAGTATAAAACAATGCAGCAACTTAAGAACACAAACTCTTCCCAAAATATAAATCTTACATATGCACCTGAAGTATGTACAGTCATACCTCATGTTACGTCCGCTTCATGTTACGTTCTTTCAGGTTATGTCCCGCGGTGACCCGGGTTACTTCCGGGTTTCGCCGCTCGTGCATGTGCAGACGCGCAAAATGACGTCACACGCATGCGCAGAAGCGGTGAATCGCAACCTGCACGTGCGCAGATGCGATGCTGCGGGTTGCGTTCTTTTCATGTTGCGAACGGGCCTCCAGAACGGATCCCGTTCGCAACCAGAGGTAACACTGTATATGAACTCAATGGGAGGTGTGAGCTTGTCTTTGCTGGGTAATCTCGTTTATATCTGGTCTAATTTGAGACAAGCAAACTCTCATCTCATCAACACAAAGAAACCTTTCTCTTTCCTGGTCTTTCTTATTTGTCAGAGTTGAAAATCCCTGTTTCTTTGCCCTCGAATCTCATCACCACTCTTGTCAACCTCTCCTGCCTCACCCTTTGAAAATGCCTCGCCCAACCCCTGTTCCTCCCTCCTTACACTTCACCCAACACTATGTGTTTATATAAAGGCTTGAGTGCCCCTGCGCAGGGCTTGAGTGTGCTCCCACACATCCCCAAAGTTGGATTGCCACCTTTTTACTGCCTGGGGCTCCCCTGCCTTTAACAGCTGGGCGTTGGGCAAACATTCAATTGCCCCTTTCCAGGGCTGGCATCCAGTGCTGATTGCTGGGTGACCCAGATGTGACGTCTAGTTCAGCAAATGCAGCCACTTTGGAAATTAACAGCTGGCACCAAGATGCCAACTTCCAAATGCCATGGTAACTGTAGAACTTTGTTCTGCCACTGACATGGTACGATATGATACGATAATCTTTATTGTCATTGTCCCATACAGAACAACTGGGCATTTGCTTCTTACTCAAAAGCCTGTCTATATGATGTTGTTGTTTAGTCGTTTAGTCGTGTCCAACTCTTCGTGACCCCCTGGACCAGAGCACACCAGGCACTCCTGTCTTCCACTGCCTCCTGCAGTTTGGTCAGACTCATGTTTGTAGCTTCGAGAACACTGTCCAACCATCTCGTCCTCTGTCGTCCCCTTCTCCTTGTGCCCTCCATCTTTCCCAGCATCAGGGTCTTTTCCAGGGAGTCTTCTCTTCTCATGAGGTGGCCAAAGTATTGGAGCCTCAGCTTCACGATCTGTCCTTCCAGTGAGCACTCAGGACTGATTTCCTTCAGAATGGAGAGGTTTGATCTTCTTGCAGTCCATGGGACTCTCAAGAGTCTCCTCCAGCACCAGAATTCAAAAGCTTCAATTCTTCGGCGATCAGCCTTCTTTATGGTCCAGCTCTCACTTCCATACATCACTACTGGGAAAACCATGGCTTTAACTTATATGATAGTAGGCCAAAATACAGGTCCGCCCTCCTTCAGGGGCGGCGTAACCCTTCCTCTTGCCCATTGACTTATAATTTGCCACGGCTGCCTCCTATAGCCTGGCAAATAGAAGGAAGGTACTAAGGGCACAATCCCTATTCATCTATTCTGTTTATTTATTATGACATTTGCACCCCGCCTTTTCTCCAAGGTGCTGAGGGTGACTGGCACACGCACCTGTCTCCCCCCTCTCCATCTTATCCTCACAACAACCCTGTGAGGTAGGCCAGACGGAGAGGTCGTGACGGGCCCAAGGTCACCCAGTTTAGCTCCATGGCTGAGTGGGGATTTGAACTCACGTCTCCCAGGTTCTAGTCTGATATTGTAATCATTACAGGCTCTCCAGTGGACTCCAGACTTTTGACTGTCCCAAGAGGACACGCCTGGTTACAGCGATCAGAGCTGTAATAAATTTGTTCCTCGAATTCTCCTCTGCAAATTTTCATTATCATTAATTTAATTGATTGTATTAAAAATACAATTTTTAAGTGGGTCCCATCAAATTAAGTGGGTCCCATCAAATATTCTCTAGTTATGTGAACGCATGCCCAATATCTGTTGTTCATTTTCAGAATATTTGATATCCACCTACTGATAACATTATTTGATAGCCATGCTGTGATAGTATTGAATATCGAAGTGGATTTGAGTGATGATGCACAACGCCATTCAGAATTTTGACAGCTTCTGGAGCGGGTTGGTTGGGTGGGTGTGTTTGAGATTTGATGCCTGCCTTAAATAACAAGCCGATATTTGGATATTGTGGGGAAATGTCACAGTCAAAGGGCAAATGCAGATGCGAGGTCCCAAAATTCAATCTTTTAAAAACATGGACAGCATATTTGCAAACACGGGTTTCGGGTTCTATGGCGGACTCTTTGCAAAGGAGCTCTTCCCCTTCTGGGTAAAGGTGGCATTGCACACCCCGGCTCACCCTCTGGTTGTAGACCGTGAAGTTGTCGTACAGGTTGACGATGCACTCTGCCTTCTTGAGGAACTTGCTGTAGGACGAGTCGGTCCACCAGTGCATCAGGTTGCCATGGCGATCATACTGGCCTCCTGCAAAGCGGGACAGATAAGGGTCAGTCACAAGGGTGACCTCAGAGATTTTGCTGCTACAGGGGGAAGAGGCTGCACTTCTATTGCGGTTTGACTGCAGGAGTGTTCACATGTTATAAGCACTCGTGCGGGTTATCCACACACAACGTTCAACAAGTGTACGCTTTGTGTACCTGTGCACACAAGAGCCGAGCTGCGTGCCTCCACAAAGTGTCCATTCTTTCAAAGAAAACCCTTGCACGTGTGTAGAGAAAGCTTGTACCTGGGCTCAGTGTAACGTGAGAACAAGCATCAAGAACGCTCAAGTGTTTACGGAAATAATTCATTGGTTGGCCAGGTGTTTGCCAAGGGAGGGGGAGCTCAGATAAGGCTTAGAACAGACCTAGCCATGGGACATAAACATATTTTTAAATATTAAGAATATAGGACGTCGCTGAGTCCAGAGGTCCATGATGGGCATATTCAAACTTAAGTTGAAAAAAATGAGGAGGCAAGGATCAACAGCTAGTTCATACAGGGCTCATATTTATGAGTGAGGGAAAGGGTTTTGTGTTTTGGGGGTGCCTGTTCTGTGCCCCATTGTGCAGATGAAAGAATGAAAACGGATGGCCTCTGGTACACATTTGCAGTCTCTGTGGGAGCAGCTGCGAGGCCTCCCTTCAAACCAGGCCAGGACCGGCCCTACTATGAGGCAGAGTGAAGCAACCGCCTCAGGTGGCCGATTATTGGGGGTGGGGGGCAGGCAGCCTTGGCAAGGTGTTTCAAGGACAAACCTGTGGGTTTCCCACCATGATCCTTCTAAGCCAGGGTTTCCCAAACTTGGGTCTCCAGCTGTTTTTGGACTACAACTCCCATCACCCCTAGCTAGCAGGACCAGTGGCCAGGGATGATGGGAGTTGTAGTTGTAGACCCAAGTTTGGAAAACCCTGTTCTAAGCTAACCTGCTTCCCTCAGGTGTGAGAGGATGGTGCCGACCCACCATTTATTAAAATTCATTTATGAAACCATTTAATGCTTTAAAAAATCTCTAGGAGGCCCATCAGCAATACTGAAGTAATATTAAGCCGTCCGTCTGCTTGGCTTCCATAAAGTGAATTGAATTGGAAGCTGAACGTTTCTGCCTCAAGCAGCAAAATGTATCAGGCTGGCCTGGTTATTAGGTTTTGGGAAGGTTCGGGGAGATGATTATCAGGCCCCGAAATAGGTTTGGGGAAGGGAGGGGGGAGGGGGAGCTCACCCCAGTCATCGTAACCGTGTGTCAGCTCATGTCCAATAATCGTTCCAATCCCGCCGTAATTCAGGGACCTGTAGGTGGGAGATAAAACGTCGGGGGCTATGGGGTGGCAGTGAAACAGGGGGTTGGAGGGTTGGGGAACAGGTGAGAGCCCAGATTCCGCCAACAGATGGAGAATTTTAGGCTGGAAATCCGCGAGGGGCTAGAGGGGCATGATCCAGGTCAGCACTGTCTTCTGAATCTGCCCCAGGCTAATAATAATAATAATAATAATAATAATAATAATAATAATTTATTTATTTATACCCCACCCATCTGGCTGGGTTTCCCCAGCGACTCTGGGCAGCTTCCAACAAAACGTTAAAATACAGTGCTCTGTTAAACATTAAAAGCTTCCCTAAGCAGGGCTGCCTTCAGATGTCTTCCAAAAGTCTGGTAGTTGTTTTTCTCTTTGACATCTGGTGGGAGGGCGTTCCACAGGGTGGGTGCCACCACCGAGAAGGCCCTCTGCCTGGTTCCCTGTAGCCTCACTTCTCGCAATGAGGGAACCGCCAGAAGGCCCTCGGCACTGGATCTCAGTGTCCGGGCTGAACGATGGGGGTACTTTCTCTTCAGAACAAACGTGGCCACTTTCCAGCACATTTTTCGAAGAGCACATTTTTACAGTTCATTCACCCTCCCAGAAATGTGTGGTGAAATAAGCAGAGCCCCAGCGTTCCTATGAAGGAAGGGATTCCTTTCCAGGGACGGGCCATCATCCCCACAAAACTTGGCCTAAGAGAACAGAAGGGTTGGACTGAAACCCGCCAGCCCACAATTTTTCAGCCATGGGCTGCCTAGACGTTGTAGGACTACAAGTCCCATCATCCCTGACCACTGCCTAAGCTGGCAGGGGATGATGGGAGTTGTAGTCCAACGGAGTCTAGAGACACAGGGTTCAAGAGTGCTGCTCTAGCCTGAATCGCCACCAGCAGAACCACACACAAAGCGCCCATTTCCCTCCCAGAAGCCCATGGTGCGCTCCCAGTGTGCGGAAAAAGCACTTACTGTGGAAACTCTGGGTCATACAGCGTGGGCTGAAGAATTCCAGCTGGGAACACTGAGGAGAAATGAGACAAAGATGGTAAGGGAACAGAAATGCTCAGCAAATATGGAGCCTTCGAGAAGCTGCCCTGCAGAACGGCAGACGGCAAATATCTTGCGAGGGAAAAAGCTCTGCATTGATGGTGATTGCATAGGTCATGTAGGTGTGGAGCAGCCTTGCCAAATAAAAGTAGGATTCCTAACTCCAGTGGAGAGCAAGATTTGTTGGCTGCTATGCTGAGATTTTGAGATTCAGTCTATAGCAGTCTAACTATGGAGCCTGCTTGGGTGGGATTTCAGGGGAACGGGGCTCGTCAGTCCATAGCAGGGCCGTGGCAATGCAAATTCCTGACTCTCGCGCCTGCAACGGGCGAATGAAGGAGGGGGGATGAACGCCACTGTGCGACTTCCTTTTCCCATGAACTATCCAGTCCCACACGAGATCGAGAAATGCAAATGTGTCCGTACCCATTTGGTTCTTGTTGGGCAGGTAGTAAGCGTTCAGTGCCTGAGGCGGCAGCAGCCACCTGCAACGAGAAAGCACACCTTGATCAAGAGAGGTCTGTTGCAGCACAAGGTGAGGCCTGCTTGACCCAATAACTGTTAGGTGCAGAAGACAACTTCTGTCCGCACAGGAATGAGATGGGGTCTCTTATGTCCTCCAGAAGGCAGAGAACACACTGAATTTCTTTTCTGTTACTACAGGTGAGTCAAGAAAGGGGCAGGAAGTATCAGTGCTGGGGCAGGTAAGGGATGGGAGACTTGGACTCCAGTTCCCATCAGTCCCCACCAGCATGACCAGTGCTTGGGAATGGTGGGGGTTGTAATCCAACAACAGGTTCCCCAACCCTGTGCTAAGGGAGCAGGAAGCAGGTGCTCCAAGGGTTCCTGTAGCAGCTGTCAGAAACAGGTACAGGAATACGGAGGCTTCTGCCTGCATGGAAATTCATGAACCAGTCCTCACAAAATCACTTCCTTCGTTCTCAGAGCAGTGTTTCCCAAACATGGGTCTCCAGCTGTTTTTGGACTACAACTCCCATCATCCCTGACCACTGGTCCTGCTTGCAAGGGGTGATGGGAGTTGTAGTCCAAAAACAGCTGGAGACCCAAGTTTGGGAAACCCTGTTCTCAGAGCAAGCCATCAATCTTGGATGAACTCAACACCTGCTTGTATGTTGCGTGAAGAACACTGGCTGGTTCAAACATACTTTTCAACAGCGGGTTTGGTTCAAAGGAGGCAACGTCCCTGCGCTGTTGCTGCCAGCCACTAGGGGTTGCTCAAGCCTGGGGAAATGAACAGACAAAGAAAGGGAAGAAAGAGGAAGCAGGTTGGGGGAGACTGGGGTGTGTGTGACTCCCAGGCTGTCCCTGTTTCCAAGAGGGATTCCATCATCACGTACCAAGAAATTCCGATTGCACAATTGAGATGGATCTGACACTCCTGTGCAGCAAACACACGTCAAAAAAGAAAGAAAAGCCGGAAAGACAGAGATAGGAAAATACACAGAAAGTGTGGGATGATGCTTGATGCAACAGTGTCTGACCTCCCCACAAGCAATCAGTAGCTCAATCAGTAACAAATGTCTAACCTCCCTGCAAACGAATCAGGACCAATGCTGGAAGTACCACCAAATTCAGACTTCCACAGTAGCTTTCAGGAGAATTTATGTGCAATATTTCTAGGCTCTCCCTGCCTGGGATAACTCAGGGTGCAGGCTCTCCACAAGCCGGCCTGAGCCGCGCGCTTCCTGTCAAAAGGAGGGATACCTACGCCGACTTGTCCACTTCCTGCCGGATCTTCTTCACTGACAGCTTAATGCTGAATTTGATGCTGTTGAGGATGTTCTTGAAGTAGGTTTTCTCGTGGACCTCAAACTGTGGAAGGAGACAAGTGAAATTAGGCTCAAGGATTTGGGGAAGGGTTGTAGCTCAGCGATACATGCCAAAAGGTCCCAGGTTCAAGACCCCTGTTGCAAACCCCAGAGAGAAGCAAGCTGCTCATGTAGGCAGGACTGAGCACGGTGGGGAACCACTCAAAAAGAAAAAGAGGGCACAAAAGGTGCATAAAATGTGCATATGCTCACCTCCATGCACACATGAGTTTAGGACTAATTATTACGATTTAAATAGAAATACACCTCGCCATAGCAGGAAAGGTTGTAACCAGGTGAGCTGTATTCACCTGCAAAGGGCTCGTCCACACTTGACCCATGCCTAGAAAGTATGATTCCAAGAGGTTTTCCATTTGTCTCATGTTTTCTAGGCATGGGTCTGAGAGGTTTTGCCACTTCTCCCTGGAAAGCCTGCTCTTTAGTGCTAAATCACAACAAATGGCAATCCTCAAAAAGAAAAAGACTGCCATTCATTCCAATTCAGCTTGCATTAATGTGGAATTTGTGGCAATGTTTCAAACTTATTCACAGCTTTGCTTTTGGGAACGTAAAAGCAGCAACAATCTGATTGTAGGATATGGCTTCACAAGCTATAACAATTATACTAAAAGCAATGATTCTTCAACATCAACTTCGTTGGACTGGTCATGTTGTGTGGATGCCTGATTATAGTCTTCCAAAGCAACTACTCTATTCTGAACTTAAAAATGGAAAGCGTAATGGTGGTGGTCAACAAAAGAGGTTTAAAGACTGTCTCAAGGCAAATCTTTAAAAATGTAGTATAAACACCAACAATTGGGAAACACTTGCCTGCAAGTGCTCCCATTGGAGAACAGCCTTTACCAAAGGTGTCATGGACTTTGAAGACACTCAAACTCAGGACGCAAGGGAGAAATGTGCTAAGAGGAAGGCACGCTTGGCAAACCCTCACCGTGATCAACTCCCGCCCGGAAACCAATGTCCCCACTGTGGAAGGACGTGTGGATCCAGAATTGGCCTCCACAGTCACTTACGGACTCATTATTAAAACCGTGTTTATGGAAGATAATCTTACTTGGCTATGAGTGATCACCAAAGAAGAAGAAGACTAAAAGCATAAAGGTTAAGCAGTGTTAGGTACACTGAACGATGAATGTTTCTGTTTTATTCACAATAAATTTTGGCAAGCATCAGAGGGATCGCTGAGCTTGCATTTTGCCAGTGAGTTGGCCTGTGCAGGCTTAGATGGTTGTCAGACATACAATAAAGATATTATTATTTTCATGAAGCAAACTTCATATTACCCTTGGCTCATCTGTTCACTAATCTTGGCAGCTGATCCAGTGACAGTTTGCCACAAGCTGCTCGTACAGGGAGTTGTTTTTAGTGGCTATTACACCTTGCATTGGAAATGACCTGTAACAATCACTGAAAACAACATGTGGAACTGTTACGAGATCTGTCATGAGCTGCCAGAGAGAGGTTCCCAAGGGTTAAAATGCAAGACTCAAGCCTTCCTGTGTCTGTCAAAGCAGCAGCCAGCGTTATAATATGCCAGCAAAAAACAAAACAAAACTGTAAGAGGCATTTATGTATAGGTTGGGGGGGGGGGTTGCCCCTCCAGCAGATATCATGCACATGCAGCCCACTACCAAAATCAGCACAATCGCTTTTGTGACTTGTCCCCACAAAACACTTCATCACAGTTTCTTCCTGTCTATTCAAAGGGGCTTTGCTGCATGATACGAAATGTAACAATTCACTGATAAATATATCTGTGTACTGGCTCACTGGGAAAACATTAGAAATTCATATAGACACGTGAGCTCAACTACTCATCCGCCCCTCTGCCTGAGTGATAATCCCTGGCATCCTGATACCTGAGGACCAGACAGGTAGCCATTCCAGAAATAACAAACCCAGATGAAGACAAAAGGGTGGGATGAACTTGGCTGGGAAACAGGGAAATGTAAATATCTCATTACACTTGATGGGTATTTGGTGGAGGGCAAGAAGAACCATGGGGCAGGGTCCAGGATGCTCAGATTACTGCCACCAGTCCTCCCCTTTCATGATGTAACCATGTTGTATTAGTGATGTAGTTTGGGGGGGTGTAACATGGGGATTAGCAGCTAATAAAAGTTTGGGGGCTCTTTTGTTTGGGGCTTCCATCTTGTTCCACCTGGTGGCAGGTGGCAGTCCTGTCACGACAGTCTTCAATAAAGACCAAGCCTACTGGCTGCTGTTTTGCTCCGGTATTCCTGGCTGGTGTCCTTGTTTTTTGTCCAAGGGAGCCCTCGGATTTCTCCATTAACAAAGTCCTTGGGGTTAGTCGCAGCTGCCGCCCCTGATCTCTGAGCTGCCCCCCCCCCAAAGAGAAGTGCCTCCTCACACTGCCCCACAGGGGCCTGGGAAGCACCCTCTGGCCAGTGCCAGAGGCACCATTCACTTGGGGAGCTTATAGCCAGGGCTGCTGCAACAAACAGCTGTGCAAGACTTTGGGAGGCAAAGACGCAAGAGGGCATCAGAGGAGGGAGGGAAGGAAAGAGGGACAGAGGCCAGTGTTGCCCATGGCACCCCTGACCATCGGCACATTGGTTGAAAACCACTGAGTCAAGGAGTAAAAATAACATTTACTTTGGGTTTACTTATAAACCTGTGTGATAGGAATTTTATGGTCTTAGATATATGGTAATGTTCATAAGCGTACCAACCAAGCACGTACATAGATCAGCACAGGAAGACCAACCTGGAACCATTTTGATTCCTAAACTGAGCAAATGTTTTCTCTGCAAGGTCAAAGTGGGAAACCTCCCATTGTCTCTTTCCTCACAAATCCTGTCTTAAGGGTATGTCTGTGTTTGAACAGGGTGTGAGCCTGTGACCTGGTCCAGGAACTAAGTATTTATCATTACAAAAGACTGGCCAGGCTACCCAGGAAATCCAATCAAGTAACCTGCCAGACAGGAGATAAACGACAGGAGAAAAACAACATTCAAATTTCTGTTTTAAGACAGCCTTTTCTGTGATGTAGGTGTGATGTATCTGAGGGGTGGTCTTAGGTTACACCCCTTCTATGATGTATGTATGATGTTTCTGGGGGTGGTCTTGATCTACAGGGTGGCAATTTCAAAGTCTTTATAAGGCCTTGCGTGCCATTTTCCTGGGTTCCTCCTCTCTCCTACGGTTGAGGGGAGCACCCTGTTGCAACAGATCAATAAAGATCAGGCTTACTAGCTGCTTTGCTTCTCAGTATTCTCTGGTTGGCCTCTGTTATTCTCTCCTACCAATAGGGAACCTATGTAAGGACGCTATATGGGCTCTTGGATACCCCATAAGGGAAAAGGGCAATTTTTATTTACGACACCTGCAACCCATTAGCACAGGCTTCGTGACCCCCTTGTGTTTTACAGGACTGTTTCCTGTAAAATAGGATACACAACCACATTACCTAGGCCAGGTGAGCTAATGTTGCAGCTCCCTGTATTTCTGTTTTTATTTATTGCATGCTGCCCTTCAGTTTATAATTACAAAGGTGGCTTCATATGATGAGAACAACAAATCCATTAGAAACACAATAAAAAAATCCATTAGAAAAATGCAATTGGGGGGTGGGGAAACCCAGTAATCAACAAAACAGCAGGATAAAATAGAAGCCGCTTCTTAAAACTCCTCTGATGTTAAAAGCCTAGGAAAATCAAAAAGGTCTTTGCCTAGTGCTGAAAACACATCAATGTAAGTGTTAGGTGATCTCCCTTGGGGAAAGAATTCTATAAACAGGAAGGCTCTTTCCTCACTTACCACCGGCCGTTATTTAAACACAGGTGATTAATCAACTGAAAACTCTTTAGTTGATTAATTGGTTGGGCTGCCACTCTCTGCCCAGGGAGGTTCCCACCCCACCCCAGGAAGCGTGGGCACGGGGCTCCTGGCATACTTGCCTCGTATTCCTTGTCAATCGCTTCTGGGTTGAGCAGGAAGTCTGGGTAGCCGATCATCACCATCATGTGCTGCAACTGCAAGAGAAGCAGGACTCAGATACCTGAGAGGCAAGACAGCTTGAGTGGCCTGCACAAGATAATCCTCAAGAACCCGTGAGCCGGATCAGCAATGCTGGGGAACCCACTGTTACCTAAAAGCCAGTTCCCCAATGCAATTGCACCTTCAAAACGCAGATCAGAGCTTAAAGTGAGGTCCCTAGAGATTCCACCTCTCTTTCACCCTGGCAGTGGAGGACAATAGCCCAGACCTACTATTGGTTTAGGGACGCGGGTGGCGCTGTGGGTTAAACCACAGAGCCTAGGACTTGCCGATCAGAAGGGTGGCGGTTCGAATCCCCGCGATGGGGTGAGCTCCCGTTGCTTGGTCCCTGCTGCTGCCAACCTAGCAGTTCGAAAGCACGTCAAAGTGCAAGTAGATAAATAGGTACCACTCTGGCGGGAAGGTAAATGGTGTTTCCGTGCGCTGCTCTGGTTCACCAGAAGCAGTTTAGTCATGCTGGCCTCATGACCCGGAAGCTGTACGCCGGCTCCCTTGCCAATAAAGTGAGATGAGAGCCGCAGCCCCAGAGTTGGCCATGACTGGACCTAACGGTCAGGGGTCCCTTTACCTTTACTATTGGTTTAGTGGTTAAGACTGGTGGACTAGGACCTGGGAGACCAGAATTCAAATCTCCACTCAGCCATGAAGCTCGCTGGATGACCTTGACCCTCTGAACCATTCCTCACCAGGCTTGGTTTCCAGACCCTTGACCATCTTGGTTGCCCTCCTCTGCACACCTTCCAGCTTGTCAACCTCCTTCTTAAACTGTGGTGCCCAGAACTGGACACAATATTCCAGTTGTGGTCTGACCAAGGCAGAATAGAGCAGTACTATGACTTTCCTTGACCTGGACAATAGACTTCTGTTGATGCAGCCTAGAACAGCATTCACTTTTTTCACTGCTGCATTGCACTGTGGACTCCTGCTAAGCCTGTGGTCCACCAAGGCCCCTCGATCCTTTTCGCATGTACTGCTAGCGAGCCAGGTGTCCCCCATCTTATATTTGTGCATCTGGTTCTTCCCTTCCAACTGTACAATTCTATGATTCTAACCCGACCTACCTCACAGGGCTGTTGTGGGGATCAGTGAGTAGGAAGACCATGTATGATCCTTGGAGAAAATGGTGGGACATAAATTCAATGAATAAATAAAAATAAGAGGGTTATAGGAGGTCTGTAGCTGAGTGGAGCATCTGCTTTGCATGCAGAAGGTTTCAGGTTCAATCCTCACCATCTCCAGATATGGGTGGGAGAGGAACCCTGCCTGAAGACCTGGAGAGCCACTGCCAGTCAGTGTAGACAGCATGAAGCTAGATAGACAGACCCATGGGTGTGGCTCAGTAGAAGGCAGCTCCCCGAGTGCCTACAATTTGAGGCACACCGTGCCAAACGCATCCCCACGGCCATAGCCAGGTTGCTTGAAGGACCACCTTGTCTCTTACACACTGGCCAGATCATCGCCCGGAGAAGCCTTCCTGACTGTGATGGCCTGGGACTCGGGCTCGGACTAGGAACAAGAGGGGTCTCAGACTGCACCGGATCCTTTGCCTCAGGCATCATCTGAACTATGTCTGGGGCCTGATTCTGAAGAGCCCCAGTCTGCACAGGTTCCCCTGCAACAAACACCAGCTGGGCCGAGTCAGGGGCCTGAGCCTGCCCTGGCTCCAGATGCGGGGATTACCTCGTTGCCTTCAGCTGGGCCATCACTTACAGCTGCTCCACTACCGGTTTGGTCAGGGGAGGCTGAGCCTCTGGGTCTAGTAGCCTACCGATGTCTCCCGAGCTGCAGAGACTCAGGTCTGAGAGAAGGAGAGACCTGAGTACTCGCAGGAGGAGGGCTCGCCTTTGGGCGAAACAGGGAGGTGAGTCGCCGGGGGATCAGGACCGGCTGCTACCCCGACAAAGATAAAAGGCTGTCGGACCCCGCCCCAGGTTGCGGGAGCAACACTGCTGTATGCTAGATCCTGCCTGAGATCCTGTACCTGTCCTTGCCTGGTTTCCTGCCTTGACCCTGTTGGACTGACTCCTAGAAGAACCCTTGGATTTGGGACCGGACCTGGACTGCGTTTCTCAGGTCACCCCCGGGGCCAGCACACTGACTGTCCCAACGTCACATCATCTTCATTTTGTTTCAAGGCACACCAAGGCCAAGCACCACCAGTAATTTGGAGCACATTCCCAATGAGATCAAACAGGCACCTCCCATGTTGATATTCCGTCAACAGCCATGAAAATGTTTTTGTTCCACCAAGCGTTTTTAGGGAATTAATTTGAATCAGCGTCAGTTATTTGTTCTCCTTTGGTGATTTTATACTTGTATGCCCTTCTGATTATTCTATAGTACACTGCCATGATAATTTTTTTTTAATGAGCTGGAACTGGCAGTTCATAAATATTCTTAGAAATCATAGATGGATGGATGGATGGATGGATGGATAAATAGTGCCTTCCTTTTGTGCCTCCTGGTTTGTGAGTGCAAAAGGTTTCTCAAAGTCATAGAATCCTAGAATCGCAGAGTTGGAAGGGGGATCCCAAAGGTCATCTATCCCAACCCCTCTGCAATGCAGGAATCTCAGCTAAAGCACCCATGACATATGGCAATCCAACCTCTGCTTAAAAACGTCCAAGGAAGGAGAGTCCACCACCTTCTGAGGGAGACCGTTCCACTGTCAAACAACTCTTAACACCAGAAAGTTATTCCTGGTGTTTAGTCGGAATCTCCTGTATTGTCACAAATCCATTAGTTCAAGTCCTACCCTCCAGAGCAGAGGAAAATAAGTTTGCTCCCTCTTCCATGACACAGTCCTTGAAGATGGCTATCATATCTCCTCTCAGTCTCCTCTGTTCCAGGCTAAACATACCCAGATCCTTCAACCGTTCCTCATCAGGCTTAGATTCTGGGCCCCTTATCATCTCACAAAGGAGCTGATATGCCTAGCCCTTTCTTGACCTCTAGGGCACAATGCTCAGGGTGTGGCTTCTGGGTCTGGGTAGAATCTTCTTCGGTCCCTCCCCACACAGCCCTGCCCCTCGCCGGTTGCCTACCTTGGCTCTAGCCGCCCGCCGTGTCTCCTCATCCATCCAGTCCAATTCTTCCAGTCGACGGTCCAGGATGTGTTTGATGTCTTCCACTAGCTGCTGCACCTGCTCAAAGGAAGTTGCCCACGGTGGCATGAGTGAACACGGAAGACACACGCCGTTCTCCAAGCAATTCAGGGCAAAGAGATGTGAGGAAGACCCAGCAACCCAAGGCTAGCCTAAGATATTTTGCTGGGACGTCAAAGCACAGCACAGGGGTTGCAATGAGCCCCACGCAGTGCTTCAAAACCCCTGAGACGTCTGCTTTACTCCCCACTGATGGGCAGTAAAGGCCAACAAAATCTGCTTTCTTTCTGCCAATGAACATTTACGAGAAAGGCAATAAAAAACAACAACAGATCAGTAACTACAGACCAATCAGTTTAATAGATAGCATTGTGTCTGAAGTGTATGCTAAGTTCCTTCTTTATCGATCAGAGGCTTAGGCCAAGGCAAACAATGTTTTTTCCAGAAGAACAAGCAGGGCTTTGATCATGGCCTTTATTGACTTGAAAGCTGCCTTTGATTCTGCCAGCAAAGATGGATGGTAGGCCATGTTGTCAAGTTCCAATTTAGATCTCGAATGCTTGCATACCCTGCCCATTTGATTGGGTTGCCCCAGCCAATTGAGGCAGCTTCCAGCACACACAAAAACTTAATAAAACATTAACCATTTAAAAACTTCTCCTTGACATCTGATGGGAGGGCGTTCCACAGGGTGGGCGCTACCACCAAGAAGGCCCTCTGCCTGGTTCCCTGTAGCTTCACCACTAGAAGGCCCTCGGAGCTGGACCTCAGTGTCCAGGCTGAATGATGGGGGTGGAGACGCTCCTTCAGGTATACTGGGCCGAGGTCATTTAGGGCTTTCAAGGTCAGCACCAACACTTTGAATTGTGCTCGGATATGTACTGGGATCCAATGAAGTTCCTTTAGGACTGGTGTTAAATGGTCCCGGCGGCTGATCCCAGTCACCAGTCTAGCTGCCGCATTCTAGATTACTTGTAGTTTCCGGTCACCTTCAAAGGTAGCCCCACTTAGAGCGCATTGCAGTAGTCCAAGCGGGAGATTACCAGAGCATGCACCACTCTGGTGAGACAGTCTGCGGGCAGGTCATTGCTACGCCCTCTTTGGGCCCCAGCCCCACCCCCCACTGGAAAGTGGCCCTCAGAAGGCTGAATACGGCCCTCAGGCTAGAAAAGGTTTCCCACCTCTGGAAACTCCCAGAATGCATTTTCCCCTACCCAATCAGAACCCTGCCTGCCCACCGTCCGCCATCTTGCGCTGGCTCCTACCTTGGCCTTGCTGGCAGAAGAGAAGTATTCCTCCACAAAGAGAGCGCCCAAAGCCATCCCGAAGTGCTTGTTGGCCTGGCTCAAGCACACTTTTCCCAGCTCCATCTGCTTCTCGGCTCCCTCCATCTCCTTGGCGAGTTCGTGGATGGCGTCTCGGAAGGGTGTCGAGAGATGTTCGCTCAGCACCACCGCAATGCGCCACAGCATGTAGTTGTGGAGGATCCTGCAGCAGAAGGAGGGCAAACCGGTTTAGCAGGGGGCTCGGACGCAGCATATCCTGGTCCGGTGGGGTGAGGGGAAGTAAGGAACCCATATAAGCCTCATTTCCCTCTCTTTTCCTCAGAGGCCCACATTTTCAGATGCGGCAAAATCATGTACGCCAGTCCCCGCCCCCCCCGGCTTCAACACCTTAGTTGTCCACCAGCAGGACCACCTTGCATGTAGAAAGCTAGCGTATCAGGGAAATGAGTTCACATCATTTGGAGAACGGTGGGGAGCATTCAGACATGGAAAGCCACACCCTGGCACTCTGAAGTAGCAGTGTGGAAAAAAAGGACTAATTGTTTTGTTTTGCTAAATGTATAATCTGGGCTTAGGAAAGCACAGCAAATTGTGGAAGAAAGGTTGATGCTAAAGGGATCAGGACAGCACAGTAACAGCCACCGTAATGAGGCTAAAGGTCCAATTAAAACCAGCAAAAGGAGTGGCCAGCAAGAACCACCACCAAACACCTTTTGCAAACTGGTGCGCAGTGGCGCACGGCATCCTGTATGCAGGAGATCTTCTGTGCATAGCCTAAGGCGACTATTGTCTTTCTGGGACTCCAGAGATCCAGGGTGGAGGGAAAACTGGATCCATGCAGTTTTCTGTGGGCATTGAATTGCAGCAAGGAAACTTCCCAACCAGTTAGCTTCACTCCCGTAGGTCGGCCTTGTGAGCAACAGCCCTATGAGGTAGGCCAGGCTGAGAGATAGCAAGCCGGCTTCCTCTCGGCCACATCCTTACCTGATAGGTGTGCTGTGGATAAGCTCAGACACCCTCTGCATGTAGTCTGTGGCCAGCAGAACCACCTCCTCATCCTCGGAAAAATTGTCATGGAATATTCTGTCAAGGAGCCTCTTCCATTTGAACTGGAGATTAAAAATAAGAGCTTCCCAGAATGTATCCCATTTCTGTCCTTTTTATATATATACTGTTTTTATCTATTTTCATGGTACGGAAGATAAATTTTGAGAAAACAATTGTTACAGCAGTAAACAACAAGTAACTTCTGTCCTTTTGACCAGTTCTTTCTGAGTATCACTGGGTTTTGTTTTTGTTTTTTTACTGTTCATTCTGTGCATGACGGGGATGGTGAATGTAGTCCAGATATTGATGGACTACAATTCCCATCATTCCTGCCACAGATTCCCTATCACTGTCATACGGAACAGGCAGCAAGCGGCTGTAACCAAATCCAGCCATTTTGGAGTTGATAGAGAGAGGAGCAGAGCTAGGACCCAGGGGAGCTTGGGCTCCTGATTGACTAAGGGGCGGGGCTATGGCATGGTCTATAAAGACTGTGTCAAGGTGGGTTGAACCCTCCAGTTAAAGAAGTGGGAGCTTGATTGTATCAGTCGTGGACCAGACCTCCATGGCGCATGGAGTGGAATGCATGACAAAATAGTGGAATGCATGGCCCATGTGTGGAATGCATCACCCATGTGTAGAATGCATTCCCTTTTGTGGAATGCACAGCCCATGTGTGTGGAATGCAGGACCCATGGGTGGAATGAACCAGTGGGGTCACAAAACGCCTCTCATTTTTTCCAACTGCTCTCTCCCGAAAGGGGAAAGTGGCCCAATACAACTGCAAACCTACATGAGGTGTGATGCGCTGTAGTTCTCCCAGGGTCACCTTGTTGTACATGGAGTTGATGTCCCTGCGCAGGTCGTCGTACTCGGAGACCGTGATCTGAGAAATGGGAGAGGAAACAGGAGGGGTGGTTCTGTATCCTAACTTACCTTGCAGGGTTGTCATTGAGGATAAAAGGGGGAGCAGGAAGAGCCACATACACTGTCTTGAGCTGCTTAGAGGGAAGGGGGGTATAAATGTAATAGGAAAGGAAAGAAACAGAAAAAAGCCCACCCCCAAGAATCCTGGAAATGGCAGCTAGGTGAGAGTGATGTTATCTCAGTCCTCTCTTTAGGGAGCTACATTTCCCAGAATTCTCTAGGGAAAAGAGATGACAGCTAGGTAGTTTGCATGTGCCAGTTGGATTGTGTTTTAATGCAAAACGCACACCCCAAACGCCCTCAGAATTGTCAGCTATAATCTCACGTTTTAAATGCAGGTAAGGAGAGCTTCAGAGTTTCACAGCAAATCTGAAAACCTGTGAGATACAAACGACTCAGCATCTTGCCCCATGCGACCCCCACATTCATCTCATTTCCCTCCAGCATGTGCTCACAGGAGAATGTTTAGGGCCGGCAGGTGGGAACTGCAGGTGGACAGGTGTAGCAGCTCCCCTGGGACAATCAGCATCCACCCAGGTGAGCTCTGTCCCTGCGACTCAGAACTAGGGGTGGATGAATCTGTCAATTTCACTCTTCATTTCTAACATTTACCATCATAAGTTCAAGCTTGCCATGTTTCTGCATTGGTTTGTGACCTTACTTTTAAAAAATTCTCATGAAGATTTGTCAGCATGTCCCCTGACATTGCAAGCAATTCCCTCCAAAATAATGCATATCTCCGTGCACTATTTTAATGGATAAATGAACATTTTAGGTATGCTTCCTGCTACCAGTTGCGTTTTCCTGCACGCTATTTGGCTGGAGAAGTGCGCTGCAAAATTCAGAAATGTGCAAATGCCAAAGGAACACCATGTTCCAGTTTGCACATTGTTTCAGAATGTGCAAATGATCGGCTAAGCTCTCACCGAAATGCAAATCAAAACGAATTCCTCCCCGATCCCTCCTCAGGACTATGAATTGCTCCAGAAGTTCACTGCTGGGGTATGATCTGATACAGACCGCCTCTTCCAGGAATGGCCAGCCCTGGACCCCACCCCTCATTTATTTTTCCTCTCCAGCCCTGCCTCCACCTTCAGAAAGGAGAAGAGGAATGGTGGACTCACGTTGGCCAGCCTTTGCTCCAGCTGCAGAATCTCGCTGGCTTTCTGCTCCACGTTCTCAGCGCCCAGCAGACTCAACAGCCTCTCCATGAAGATGCGATAGGCAGCCAAGATCTGCGAAGGGACGAAGGAATTAGCAGGCTGGGTTTGGTAAAACGGTCCTTCTTGAAAAGGCATTTGACAAACTAAATGGGCAGAGGTCGAATGGCCATTTTCCTGAGATACAGCATGATTTTATTTCTTATGCAAATATTGAGGAACACTGCCGTTCCATGCCACCAGTATATGGCGATGTCTGGCTCCAGGTCACGGGTTCGAGTTTCACGTTGGGCAAAAGATTCCTGCCTCGCAAGGGGTTGGAGCAGATGATCCTACAGTGTGCAAGACCTGCAGTTTTGAACCCAGGCACCCAGCCGATTATTTTGTTCTTTACCCACACCTGTGGGTCCACAGGGATTCATATATTTTAAATTCCCCCAGCATAATATTTACCTGTGTGTTGACACTTTTCACTCACCTTTTCACTCTCCTCATCCTGTCCCAGGTAGAGGGTCCTCTCAGACAACGTCAGACCATCTTGATCAATCTGTTGAGGTAGAGAGAAAATACATCAGGCACAGAGGAGTGAGGGGTCCTCTTTCTTCCCATCCTATGGCTATGTCCATGCAAAACTTGCAGCACATGTGAGGAACCTTCGGCCCTCCAGATATTGCTACAGTTCCCATCTTCCATTACCATTGACTGTTCTTGCTGAGGATGGCCGTGAGATGAATAACATTGCTTCTGGCAGAAGGGGAACTGCAGCAATATGGAAACGGTGCTGCAGGCAAGGAAGAGAAAAGGATTCCTTCTTTCGCCCCTAATTCATTCTGCCCAGGGCCGGTCCTACCCTTAGGCAGAGCGAGATGACTGCCTCAGGTGGCACATACTGGGAGGCGGCGGTGCCTCTCAGCTCTTCATCCTGAGTTCCTGGACCACAACTTTCAGTTGGAGAAGAGAGTTGTGTGTCATGCAACTTGCCCACAACTTTTATATCTACCCTATTACTAGCACTGAAATAGAATTTAGCAGTCAGTTCCGTTAGCCCGCTCTCTGGGAAATGGGTGGGTGGGTGCCATTTTGTTCTTTGCCTCAGGCAGCAAAATGTCTTGGGCCGGCCTTGATCCTACCTCTTAACAGTGGAGGGAAGCATCTTCCACTGGGTCTGGTGACATCTGACCAGCCACACTTGGAGCCCCCGGAATCCAGTTCTTCTTCTGGCCAATTTTATCATATCTAAGTGCCTTTCCCACTCATCTCTGTGCCCTTTGCCCTCTTTCCTCTCCAAGATATTTTCATTTCCTGTGCTCCAGCCTCTCGCTCCTTCTCTGCTGGTTGAGGGAGGTGCTTCTTGAGAGATGCAGAGATGGCTGGCCGCTGATGCTTAGTTGCTGAAAGGAGAGGTGCTGGGGTCTAAGCCCCTTGTCCAGCCTGCACCCAAATCCCAGATTTAAATGTGATCCTGTCCGTGCCCTATTTTATCCTCTCAAGGGCTCAAATAAGGACCGTGACAAATGAGACCTAATGATCACAGGCAGACGAGATTCTTAATAATCTGGTGGGAGAATGGATTGCAGGATCGGGCTGCTGAGTTTTTGGACAGTACTATAGATGGCGGAACGGTTTGCCTAGGGGTGGGGAGCATCTAACCATTGTGCAGGAGAAGGCACTCTGCACATGCTCAAGGTTTACCATTTCTTTGGGTGTGTGTTTTCCTTCAAATGCCTAGCACCCTTGCCAGTTTTTAATGGTGTAGCGGGTTGCATCTCATCAATGCACAGGGAAACGGCACTCTGCAAATGTTTGGAGGCTACCAGTTTTTTGAGTATGCTGTAAAAATCTACGGTCAAATAGTTTTGCACATGAGGAAGTTACAACTATTTTTTAAAATTTTATTTAGAAAGATTTATATACCACTTAAGCAAAATTATATCTAAGCAGTCTACTTAATGCATAGGGGAAAGCACTCTGTGCAAGCTCAGAGGCTACATCTTTTTTATCTTTTTTTCAAATATTCATGACTGAAATTATATAGTTGTTTCATAATTTAGAAGGGTTCCATATGTTAAGTTTATTGTGGAATTGATGCTACTCGTGAATGCAATGCACTTTTTTTGTTTTTTGTAGTAGCCACAGGACATTATCCTGATGAGAATGCCACCCCAAATTCTTGTTTGTATTTTTAATGTTAGATTTGTCCATTGAAATGGTACATCTGGATTTAATTGGGAAACTGAAATGGGAAGACATTTTGATGAGGATCGTGCTGTGTGGATGCTGTGGGAAAACTTGCATCCTGCACCAACTCCACAGTAAACACCCGTCAGGGCAATAAACACACTTACAGTGGTACCTCGGGTTACATATGCTTCAGGTTACACACTCCGGTAATCCAGAAATAGTGCTTCAGGTTAAGAACTTTGCTTCAGGATAAGATCAGAAATGGGGCTCTGGCGGCACGGCAGCAGCAGGAGGCCCCATTAGCTAAAGTGGTGCTTCAGGTTAAGAACAGTTTCAGGTTAAGAACGGACCTGAGGTACCACTGTATTCTATTCAGAGGAACACCTAGACCAGGAAGTCTTTCCCTCTAGTAAGGAACTCGAAAGGCGGATGTGTTCACCTGCACACAAAGGAACTGGTGGGGATCTCAAGCCCAATATTCCTTGCCAGCTGCCCCACTGAGCCCCCCCCCCACCTTCAAATCCTTCTCCCCCACCATGGGATGCTATTCAGACAAAAGCCTCTCCTCTCAAGAAACAATCAGCTAATGGTGGCGGCAGCTTGTTGCCAGGAAGAATCAATCACAAGACCAGTCAGATGCCCTGAAATAATTGATTTATTCAGATCGCTTTGTTGGCCTCACTTGCTTTGAGCTCTGGGAAATGAGGTCCTGGGGACTGAGAAGGGTCCTGGGTCCCTCTGGAGGGTTGGCGGTGAGACACCCACCAAGTGTCCCTGTTTTCCAGGGACAAACCTAGATTTACAGGAGCCATCCCAGTTTCTGATTTGATCCCAGAGGGTCCTGGTTTTCCTTAGCGTGTTCCTATTTTCAGTGTATTATGTTTTTATATGTGTTGGAAGCCCCTCAAGAGTGGCTGGAGCAACCCAGTCAGATGGGTAAATTAGTAAAGTTATTATTATAGAATGTGGGTATGCGGTGATTGTGCTTGCATGACCTTCACGGCTTAGGACCCTCGTACCTATGGGACCACCTCTCCTGGTATGCCCCAATAGCAACACCCTAGATGTCCCGGGCCCTAAGGAAGTCATATTAGCCTCAACCAGAGCCAGGGCCTTCTCAGCGGTGGCTCTGGCCTGGTGGAACGCGCTGCCTCATGAGACCAGGGCCCTGCAGGATCTGATTTCTTTCCGCAGGGCCTGTAAGACAAGAGTTGTTCCGCCTGGCCTTTGGCTTGGAATCAACTTGATCCCCTCCCCCTCTATCCTTTCTCCTTTCTCCTTCTGTGATGGAAGTCCTATTTGGGGACTTCCTTGGCTTTTTTCCTGGCCCACGTAGGACCAGTCTGGACAGTTGGGCTTGGTGAAGATTTGACGTTTTCATCCCCAAAAAGTTTTTGATTTGAGTTTCTACTGAAAGGAGGCTTCATTTTAATGTTGTATTTTAATCTTGTTTTTAAGTTGCATTTTAATCAATTGTTTTATACCTGGTGTTAGCCGCCCTGAGCCTGGTCTTGGCTGGGGAGGGTGGGGTATAAATTATTATTATTATTATTATTATTTATTACTGCAATTTGGGCCACATCACAGAACCATAGAATCGTCAAGCTGGAAGGGCAAGGCTTTTGTGTTGTCGCTTCCAGTTCTCTGAGAGCTTCGGCTGGGTTAAGGCCGCCTGGGAGCACTGGACCATCCCTCAGAGAACAACAGGTTCCGAGACTCTGGAAGCAAGCTGTTTTGTGTCAGTGTAGCCCAGAAGCCCCAGTTCTGAACATGGTTATTATCTACATGATATTTGAGAGAGGAGGGTGGGGGAGAAGCCTAGCCTGATGAGGAGCGGTTGAAGGAGCTGGGTATGTTTAGCCTGGACAAGAGGAGACTGAGAGGAGATATGAGAGCCAAATATCTGAAAGGCTGTCCCAGGAAAGATGGAACAAGCTTGTTTTCTGGAGGGTAGGACTTGAACCAATGGCTTCAAGTTGCAACAAAGGAGATTCCAACTAAACATTGGGAAGAACTTTCTCTCAGTAAGAGCTGTCTGACAGAGGAACAGGAGGTTGTGGATTTTCCTTCCTTGGAGGTTTTAAAGCAGAGGTTGGGTAGCAATCTGTCCTGGATGCTTTTGTTGATTCCTGCATTGAGAGGGTTGGACTAGATGACCCTCGGGGTCCCTTCCAATTCTGCAATTCTCTGATTCCCAGTAGCTCTCCACAAGTCTTGCCCTCCTCCTGCCCCCTAATATTTTCTTTTCTGTCAGAAATTTAGCATGTGGAACGAAGCTTGTCCCCTCAGCAGTATATCCCCCCCCCTTACTTATTTTTTGGCCTGCATGTATTGTCGCACAGTACTGCATGTGCGTGTCAGGTCATGTGTTTAAGTTCTGGGTAGCAAAGGACAGACAGATTTAGAAATTCGTGTCCATAGGTGTGTGTGACAAATTGCAGAGGGGTCATCCGGTTAGGCTGCAATAGATTGCAATGGATGCTTTGAAGTCATTTCGGCATCAGGTGTAGGGAGGAAATCGCCCACACCGCCCCCCCTCCGTCCTGCCCTGTATTTTGCTAGAACAAAGGTGGCAACCCAGGGCCTAAGTCTAAAAGAACAGAGCAAGGGACAAGACCGCCAAACAGCGTGCGCAAGGCTCCCCTCATTCTGAGGGGGGAGTAAAGGCCCCATGTCACTCATAGAAAGAAACTTTGGGCACCTCTCCTCTGCTCAGAATGGCAGGGGGGCTGAGTATCCGGTCCTGGCATCCTGCAATGCATTTCTGAAGCAGCATGTCCAAGGAAGGAGAGGCTGAGCGAAGAGCAAACAGGAACTGAACAGGAAAAGCAAACCTGCGGGTTTCTGAAAGAATATGGAGACCTTTCCCAGGTACCCTGGCAGGTACCGGCAGGTATACTGCCCATCCCGTGGGCACCACGTTGACAACCCCTGCATGGGTTATTGTTGTTGTTGTTGTTGTTTTGCAGGCCAACCTTCTACTGCTTCTTGGTGGGACCTCCCCTTTTCCTCTTCTGCGTGACCCACACAGCTACAGCAGCCTTCCTCTTGCCAGGCTGGTAGCGTTACCCAGTGGGAAGGGTCGGTAGAAGTGCTCCCTGCTTCAGCATATGGCTGTCATAACCCTGACAGCTGCCTGCATGTAATGGATGGTTTGATTCTCAGGCCCACTGCAAAACGTTGAATTCTCCGTGCAAGGTCAGAGGCACGAGCGCGGCTGATATCGCCGGGTAGGAAATGAGCCTGCAAGCTCCGACTTGGATCCCGTTCAAAATGTAAAAAGCTATGGAGGGGAGAGAACCAATATTATTCTACGAGGCTGTGATTAAGCCAGGAATGCTACAGAGACAGGGAGCAATCAGGACTAAGAGGCGTCCAGCCTGGAGAGGACAAAGGGGACACAGGTGAGGGAGAAAGGCAGAGAGTGATGAACGATCCCTGCAAAGTGAAAGAGGGTACAGATACCTGACAGGGGCTGACAGGGGAGCTTCCCCCCCCCCAATTGTTTAATCTCAAATGAGAAATTAAATCAGAGAGGGTTCCCCATGCAGGGGTCTTTGAATTATCACTGTTTGAAATTATCTGGGTTCACAGTGCTTAAGAAATTCTATCTCAGTTGCAAGGAGGGGAAGGGAAAAGTCACAGCAAGAGTGAACACTTTTTTGTACTTAAAATATTTCTCCTAATGCTTGACCAGGCCAATGACCCACTGGTCACCACTGCCTCCTGCGAGATTGAATCCCACAGTTTATGCGCTACACAAAGATGTACTTTCTTTAATCTGTCGTGAATCTTCCAGCATTCAGCTTCACTGATGTCCACAGGTTGTGGTGTTCTGAGAGCTGGGGGAAAACTTTTTTCTATAGACTTTCTCCCTGGCATGACTTCCCTCTGCTCACCAATCAGCCAGCAATACACCCCCTAAAACGTCCCCTCCCCACCCCATGCAACAGCCAGGTTCGCTTGTCCCCTTGCCAGCCCCAAATTCCAGGATTGTAACATGGCACTACAAATCCTCCAATGGACCCTGCGTGATGACAGCCTTACATTTCTATGTATATAGGAAGATAGAGCAGGCTTCTTAGCTCACTTGGCACAGCATGAGACTCTTAATCTCAGGGTTGTGGGATCTGACCCCACTTTGTTTGAAAGCTTCCTGCATTGCAGGGGGTTGGACTCAATGACCCTCGTGGTCCCTTCCAACTCTGGAATTCTGTGATTCTCCAACCTGGAGAAGCTCACCAGCTCTTTTGGACTAGAGCTCCCAATACCCCCAATCAGCACAGCCTTGCATGTATCAATAGTTTTTTTGCATACATCATCTTGCTGAAATCCTTACGCCATCCCTATAAGGTAGGTGAGCATCATATTGCAGGCTAGGGGAGGGGAGAATGAAAGTCTATTCTAAGGCTGCCTTGGGAGTCCATGCCAGAGGCAGAATCCAAAGCAGGCACCTTCCGATTTACAGCTCAGTCTCTTAACACTCCTGCCACACTGTCAGGCTGTAATAGTTGGTCACATCTCCCAGCTTAAGCAATTCAATGCCCTGCCCAGTAAAAGAAACCCCATGAAACACAGCGAAGCCGTGTGTCTGTCCATTATCGTCTCTAACAAAGGACTCTCCTTTTTCCTGTCCTGTGAATTGGAGTCAATTAATCTTGACATAAGGCTATTATGCCGTTTCAAGCAAAGCTGAGAAACCATCATCTAACAGCAACGATGATGGATCTCGCTGGCTGCAGAGGCGCTCGGATCCAGACAGCCAGGAAGCTCACTCAAAAGCCTTCGGAGGAGAGATTTGGAAAAAGGTGTCTTGACAGAGGCAGTGTTTGCCCGTGTCAGTCTGTCAGCGTGTGACACCTCATAGGGACAATGCAACAGAGACGCAAGCAAAGCCTAATCTGTTTAAAGCTGGAGTTATTTGCTCCAACCTCTTGCAAAGCCCAGACCTATTTCCTGGATTGCCAGCTTATTTAAACTGCTCCAGCTCCTGTGCATTTAACAGAAGCCTGGGATGAAGAAGATTCCCCAGCACTCATCTCCGTGCAAGGGAATGGCTTCCTTGCTGAATGCCTGTGGGTTGTGCTGCAGTTAAAGGCAAAGGAGCTTATCACTTCATTCTTTCATTTACTAAATTTATATTTCACGCTTCCTCCCCAAGGAGCTCAGGGCAGCAAACATGAAAATTCAAAACAAGGGTAAGGAGAGAGGGAGACACCCAAAGTTACACCCAGTGATCTGAGTACTGTATTTGAACTTGGGTATCCCCATCCTTATCTAACACTCTGACCAAAGTCTTTGGTACCCGGTTGATGTTGGCTGCTCTAACCAGAGACATCTGGTTGGCTTCTGCAGGGAACAGGATTCTGGATTGAATGGGCCAGCCAAAAGAGTGGGGTCATTTAGCGTCACCCTGCAGAACAGGAACAGCAACTCAATCTGTGATATCGTAGCTGTCTTCAGATATCTTAAGGGCTGTCTCATGGAAGATAGAGCAAGCTTGCTTTCTCCTGCTCTGGATGGTAAAACCCAAACCAATGCATTCAAGTTCCAAGAAAGGAGATTCAGACCAAATGCTTAAGAGCTGTTTGACAGTGGAATAGAAGGCGGTGGTGACTCTCCCTCATCGGACGTCGTTAAGAAGAGGTTGGATGGCCATATCTGTCAGAGGGTTGGACTAGATGACCCTCGGGGTCCCTTCCAACTAGATAGCTCTGTAGTTCAATCTCTTAAGATCCCTTAATGGGTGAAATTGTAGGCTGGCCAACATATGCCCCTATGCACGCCTGCATTCACACACGCACTGAGCTGCTCTACTCCAGAGGCTTTTATCATAAGCGCCGTGATTTAAGGAACGTTTTAAAAATCCTGAGATGGGCAATAAATCCAAGAGAAATCCAGCTCTCCTGTAAACCCAATTTCGGTCCCCCTTGGTTGGGTGGCATGGAGCAGTATAACATGTTGACACGTGCTCAAGGGACGTGGAGCGGAAGCAAAGAACAACCCCACTTGCCGGCCCCGTAAATCTTTGGATTTATGGCCATTTGGGGGCAGGCGGCCCTCTGCTTCTCCTCCCGCACGTTAATGCAAACAATCCAGGCAAAAAACCCCGCAGGCGCAGAGCTGTCCCAGGACACAGCCTCTCCCCATTTGCACATACACATTTCTCATCACTTGGGGCATGTCTGCACATCCGTGGGAAGCCACTGGGCAAGACGTTGTGCATCCCTTAAACACATCCATCCTCCTTCCACCTGGGAGGTGCCAGAGCGCTGCAGTGCACAGATGGCTGTGGACAGTTCTGTGACTGGGGAACCTGTTGCCCTGCAGATGACTCCAACTTCCATCAGCCCCGTCCAGCATGACCAGCGGTCTGGGATGATGGAAGTTGTAGTCCAGCAACATCCGGAGGACATCAGCTTGGCGGCTGCTACTCCTCTGGAGAATTTGTGGGCTCTGTCTGTCTCGAGAGACAATGGAGTGTGTCTGCAGAGGTGAAGCCAAACCCCTGAAGAATCACAAAGCCTGCTGTGGCTGCAGAGGCCGGCAACTCGTAATTGCTGCCTCCCGTCTTGTTTTTTTTGCTGTATTAGCAGTGCCAAAGTGACCTCACCAGGGTGCAAGTCTGGGCAGTGTGTCTGGAGGTCCTGGGATGCCCAGAGGACAGGACCCGCCTCTTGGCCTCGCTGATGGGGTCCAAAGGAAGGCAGAGCAAGACATTTGGCACCAGCTTTGCAGCAGGAGTTGCCAGAAGGAGGCGTACAAGACCCCATCCAACAACTTTGGATTTGCATAGGGTTACTCCTTAGCCTTCTCTTCTCCCTAAGATGTCCCACAAGGCAGAGGCCATATAACACCAGTCCTGAAAGACCTACATTGGATCCCAGTATGTTTTCTAGCACAATCCAAAGTGTTGGTGCTGACCTTTAAAGCCCCAAACAGCCTCGGCCCAGTAGACCTGAAGGAGTTTCTCAACTCAACGGACACTGAGGTCCAGCTCTGAGGGCCTTCTGGTGGTTCCCTCACTGTGAGAAGTGAAACCACAGAGAACCAGGCAGAGGGCCTTCTTGGTAGTGGCACCAGCCCTGTGGAACGCCTTCCCGTCAGATGTCAATGAGATAAAACATCTGCCTTACTTTTAGAAGACATTTGAAGGCAGCCCTGTATCGGGGAATTTTTAATGTCTGATGTTTTACAAGTTTTTATATATGCTATAAGCCACCCAGAGTGGCCGCGGGTGGAGTATAAATAATAAAATAGTTGTTGCTGTTGTTGTTGTTGTTGAGGATCAGGGAAGGACCTCAACAGTGGGTTGACATGACAAGAAAGGGGATTTGTGTGATGGTAGAACAGACCTTTTCTGTTGTCTTTGATTTAGCAAGCAGTTCAAGCTACTTTCTGAGTTCAAGTCAACCTTCATCAACCTGACAACAGCCACCAGCAGCTTCGGCCAGCTTAGAAGATGTGCACTCATAAGAATGTAAGAAGAGCCTGCAGGATCAGGCCAGTGGCCCATCTAGCACAGCATCTCTCAGTGCCCAACAAGATGCCCTGTGTGGAGCCCAAAGGCAGGACCTGAGCTCAACAGTGACTCTCGGCACCTGTGATTCCCAGAAAACCATACTCAGAGGTCCCAATGCCTTTGACAGCAGAAACAGGACATGGATCATTGTTGTCCATGAATTTATCTAATCTTCTTTTATAGCCGCAAAAGTTGGTGGCGATTCCCAGCAACTGGTATATTCAGAGGCACAGTGCCCCCAACAGCAAGACTCCTGATTGATCAGGTTAATTGATCAGGTTAATTAAAATAAATAAGTAAGTAACCCACGTGCTAATCATGGGCTCCATCTGAGAAGCTGCCTTGCCCTGTCTCACACAGCGGGAGAAGCCTCTTCCAAAATAACGGCATCCATTGCGACCTGCGCCTGCCCCATTTGGAACCAAAGGAAGCATTCCCCTCCAAAACTACAGCTACGGTCGCATGCAAATGTCGCCGTCTAATCTAGGGCTCCCAGATGTTCCCGGGGACAGTCCCCAGATTTGCAAATCTGTTCCTGGGAAACATGGCAGCGGCAGCCTCAGCAGCCCAGAGCCAGCCTGGTAGCGCAGTTGGCTGGCTTCAGGAGCTGCTTGCTGCTCGCTGCCACTGCCGAAGGTGAACCAGGGACGTCCGGCGGGACAGATCTCCTGCCCCCTTTATTTGACAGATTGGGGGAGGCTCAGGAGTCACAGGTGGGTGGCTGTTACCCAGGAGGGGTGCAAGGTGTGCAGTTTCTCTGCCAGGCAAGGTGCAAAGTCCTTTCGCACCCTGCGAAAGATAAATGTGGAGAGTTTTTTTTTAAAAACCTGGGCAACGGCTGCCTGCCCGTGACTCCCAAGCCTCCCCCGATCTGTCAAAACAAAGGGGGCAGGAGATCAGGGACGCCGTTGCCCAGTTTTTTTAAAAAACTGTGCATTTATGTTTCACAGGGTGCGAAAGAAGGGCGTTGCACCTTTATACAATATGCATGTGTGCTTGGGCCCAGGGTTCTTTGCCTCACCATCCCCACTACTGACTCCCTGTTGCTACTCAGCTTCAAAAAAAAATAAAAAAGTCTCCCCAGATTCATTGAAAAAAATCTGGTAACCACAGTCTAATCAATTAAAACTTGTTGGCTTAAGATTTCCTTAATTGAGTGGCAGCGGCTGTTAACTGCCTTGGGCAAGGAGCCATTTCCATGAGAAGATTGGCAGGCAGGGTGAGGGTGTGGAATAATTCTCCCTCTTGCGATCCCCTCCCGGGAAGTTCTAAGTGTGCCCAGGCAGAGGGGCCCTATGGTACCGAGGACAAACTTTTGTTTGAAGGCTGCTGCCCAGCCCAAGCCTGGCGTACAGGTGAAGCATCCTAAGGAGGGAGGGCGTGGTGGCAGGGGTGGCGCTTGAAGTAGCTGCCCATTTACAGTGAGCACCTGGGAAGCAGACCAGGCACACCCAAGTCTCCTGGTCACAGTCTTCAGACTAAACATCAGGAAGAACTTTCAGACAGCAAGAGCAGTTCAACAGTGGGATGGACTCCCTTTGGAGGTGACGGACTCTCCTTCCTTGGAGATTTTTAAGTAGAGGTTGGGTGACCATCTGTCAGGGATGCTTTAGCTGCAATTCCTGCATTGGGGTGGGGACAGGCCGTTAGATTACATTTTAGAATCTACAGCTCTATGATTCTATACCTCAGTACTGCTTACACTGGCTGGCAACAACTCTCCAGGGAGTCTTTTTGCAAGCCCTACCCAGAATTGAACCCCCTCCGGGACCTTCTGCGTGCAAGGCAAGTGCTCTACCCACTGAGCAACAGCCCCTTGCATCAGGAGAGCCTTCTGTTGCTGTCCTCCTGAACACATACATGGAGGCTCCCTCCATCCCTCTCCTCCTCCTCCTCCTCCTCCTGCCTTTGCGAATCCACCGCTAGTCTGGAAAATTGCCTGGTGTGCTGCTTTTGCTAAACACTGCAATTACGGGGAGGGAAATTGCCTGGCGAAGTTTCCCCTCCCGCCGAAGCCCCGTTAATTTGGGCATAAAAGAAGCGCCTCCACCATGCAAATGAGGGCCCTGGCGCCGCACACCCGGCAGCTCCTCGCGGGCCCGAGCAGGCAGTTGTTAGCGCTGGCGGCTGGTGGGAGAGCCGGCTGAGGCTCCCTCATTTTCCTCGCTAAGCCGTGCTTGGGCAACGGGCCGGAAGGCCAGACGGCAGTCTCCTTGTCCGTGTGGCAAATGTCAACACACACACACACACAAATAAATAAAGAAATATGCCAGGCACTTCACCAGGGGAACAAATTGCCGGGGTAATGGAACAAACTGTGCATTAAATGTGTGCTCTTTGCGTTGCTCACCAGCTTTGCACTTGAAAACCGGCTGGGTTCTTGGGGGTTGTGGAGGAGAGGGACTGGCAGAGGAGGAGGTCCCTGGCCGTCATGCTTACGGTCTTGGCCTTTCCAAGCTATCGATTAGCGCAGCCTTCGTTAGCCAGGCTCTGAAATCGTTCGTTTCATTTATTTTACTTTTCTGAACATGCACTCCCTCCCTCCTGGTTCTGGCTCTGAGGCCTTTTCCTTGGGGAGCTTCAGAGGCAAGAGAAACGATGGGCACATGTTCCCGCATCCTCACGACGTGGCCCTGGTCGGCAGCTTTCTAGCCACAACCCATTTCCTAGCCACCTCCCTATAATTTGCCCGTTGCGGAGCTTTTAAAAGCTCACACGCCCCGTCGGGAAAATTAGAGGCAATAAGAGAACACAGGCAAAATAGTACAGAGCTGGTTTGCCAATGACCCAGGTTAAGAGAGGCTTTGGCAGGGGCAGGATAGCACCTTCCTGTTTTGGCTCAGGTGGTGAGCCAAAAGTGCTCCTGCAAAAGTGTTCTGTCTCTGCTTCTTGTGGGAGTGAGTTCCACAGTGTAAGACTGCAATGTGTGAAAAAGTTCCTTTCTTTTATCTGTCCTGAATCTTCCAACATCCATCGACTTCTACTAGCATGTCCCATCTTCCAAAAACTTTTTTAAATCTACAAAAGCTATGAGAGGGGATCAAAGAGCTGGTGGCAGAGCAAGCACACCACCTGCAGAAAAAGCCCCCAGATTCAAGCTCTACAGTTAAAATGCAAAAAATGTGCAAAAACTCTTTCTGCATTGAGGGGGCTGTTGGGCCTCTTCAGACGTCCTCCTTATTGTGCATCCATGATGATTTGCACCCAGGATGGAAGAGAGCCCGTTATATGCAATTGGTTTGAACTCTCAATACCGTTCACACCTGCAAATATTCAAGGACAGACACTCTGTTTCCTTTCCACCCTGCAAATTCCTGCTGAAACCCTGGGGTCCTCCGCACTGCAAACATTGCAGAGTGTGCTTTTGTTGACCCGCTCTTATTGCTCTGTAGTGCGAGTGCCCCCCCCCAACCAAGACACAACAATACGGCAACACTGGGGAAGCATTGCAGAACAACTACTAAAGTGGAACGTTGTGTTGTGGACAGCCTAGTACAAATCCGGCACTAACTCACTACTATTTCATCAGTGGCAAATGGCAAAACACATCTGCAAAGAAAGACGCCAGTCTGGGCTGCAGTCAAATTAAGACAAGAAGGAGTTTCTGTGTTGCAAACTCGCCTCCCAATTAACTGATGGCTTGCTCAGATTTGCCTTTCTGCCTGGAAAGCAACCCAAAGTCAGGTTCCTCATTTGCAAATACACGTTGCTAATTGCCGCGGGAAAGCATCGACCCAGCCGCTGATTGTGATGCATTAATTACAAATCTGAAACCTCCTTTTCTTAAATTGGAGTGTTCTCCTGTGGTAGATACTGTAAGGTGATTTCTTGATTACTGCTGCGAATGTAAATTTTGGGGGAGGGTGGGGAGGCATATCCTGTCTTCCTGACAATATGGTAAAGGTAAAGGGACCCCTGACCATTAGGTCCAGTCGCAGACGACTCTGGGGTTGCGGCGCTCATCTCGCTTTACTGGCTGAGGGAGCCGGCGTACAGCTTCCAGGTCATGTAGCCAGCAGGACTAAGCCGCTTCTGGTGAACCAGAGCAGCGCATGGAAACGCCATTTACCTTCCCGCCGGAGCAGTACCTATTCATCTACTTGCACTTTGACGTGCTTTTGAACTGCTAGGTGGGCAGGAGCAGGGACCGAGCAACGGGAGCTCACCCTGTCGCGGGGATTCGAACCACCGACCTTCTGATCGGCAAGCCCTAGGCTCTGTGGTTTAACCCACAGCGCCACCCACGTCCCATCCTGACAATATAGCCTCACAATATTACCAGGAACTCAATAATCATTTGAACCAATTGACAGCCCTTTTTAAAAAACAGAACCCTCCCACTATTCTGCTCCGGGGGGCTGGAAGAACCCCCCCACAAGAGGGGTGCCAATGTGAATAAAATATGGGGGGGCAGGTAAGCTCTGCCCCACATAACTGATCACAAGACAGGGTGCATACACACACCAATTAAATGGCAATGCCCATCAACTTTGGGGTCCCTGGTCCCCTCAAATATTTTATGGGGGGGGAGGGACCTTGGCCCTTAGGAACTGGTTCCTGTGCTCCAGGAACAGTGCAATGGGGAGAAGAAGGGAAATGGTTCTGTTCGGTACGCAGAAATATTTGCAGTGATGGAACAATCATAATAGCACGATGGCAAATTCCCTCCAGATCTTCAATAATTGTTGGGAAAACTTTGGCCAGGAAAAGAGTGGCACGTACACAAAACAACTTCTTTCTTACCAGAGTGAAAGACTATGGAATAAATGTCACCCTCTGGTTTTCCATCCATATTGGCTGACCCACTCACTTGTCTTCGCTGCAATCAAAGCCAATTGCATAATCTTATGTCCATTTGCACAGGGCAGTAGCTGTGGAGGGACTGCAGCCACTTTCCTCCTGCTGGCCACATTGGAGGGGTTGGATGAGGCCGCCCACTTGCCCATCACCTGACATCACGATGATGATGTTGGAGTCCAGCTCATAAGAACCTAAAACAGAGCTCGGCTGCTGGATCAGACCAGTGTCCCATCTAGTCCAGCATCCTCACAGTGGCCAAGCAGAGGCCTCCATGGGAAGCCTATAAGCAGGACCAGAATGCAACAGTCCACTTGCGGTTCCCAGTGTGCTACCTCTGAGAGTGGAGGGAGAACCCCATATCACGCCTCATAGCCTCCGGTGGCCTTATAACCCTCCAATCCCCGTTAAAAGCAACCCAAGTTGGTGGTTGCCATCCCTGTGTCTTGTAGAAGTGCATTCCATCGTTTAACTTTGTGCTGTGTAAAGAAGTTCTTCCTTTTGCCGGTCCTGAATCTTCCACTGTTCAGGTTCACTGTTCTGGATGTTCTAGAGTATTGTGAGAGAGAAACCACCCCTGTCTCCACTTTCTCCATGCTGAGCATCGTTATCAAGCAGCTCTGTCGCGTCCCTGCTTCCTTGACTCTTTTCTAAACTGATACACACCCAAAATGTTGAAGGCTTCTTGCAGTGGCCAGCCAGACGTCCCAGGTTGCCTGCAAGCAAGACCTGGGCATGGCAGTCCTCTCCTCACCTGTGTTTCCTGGCAGCTGGTATTCAGAGGCACATTCTGCCTCCGGCCGTGGAGGGAGAGCCTGGCCGGAGAACTCCTAGCCGTCAGCATGGACAATTGCTGGTGGAAGTTGCAATGCAGAGGACCGCATCCGCCCTGCCCTTGTTTCTCTTGCCATCTGGTCCAGGAATAAGATAAGGCTCGCCTACACAGAGCTTCTCCTGCACAAGCACCCCTGGGATGAACCCCACAAACTACATTTGACCAGAGCCTTGCCTACCTTGCCCACCTCATCCCACTGCAAGATGGCGGCAATGCAGGATCCGCCTCATCTTTCAGAGATGGAACTGGGAGCAGGAGGTGCCCACCCCTGTTCTGATGCACCCCTCTCCATTCCACTAGGCTCCCTCCACCAAAGTTATTGCACATTTAGGAGAGAAAGAGCTAGTTGCCTGAATTCATGTGAACCGTTCATTGGTGTGAGGTTAATTTTAACATGGACAGAGGTAACTGTTTTGAGCAAAGTACACAGACAGTACACAGGTGGTTCCAGTGCAAATATGCCATTAACACAAAAGGAGTGCACAGGGCAGTCCATTTTTTGTTTCGACCTGTTTCTCATTTTTTGCCAAGCTTAAAAGTCCAGTTCTCCACATTTCCGGATTTTACATTTTATTTTACTTTATTGAAGCCCTCGCAGAAAACTGCCAGCATTTTAGTGTACTACCTTTTTCGACGCAATTTGTCCAACATATGCAATTTTTTGCAAGCAATCTTCTTTAATATAAAAGCATTTTTGAATGTTACTTCTGCAAATGTATGCATTTTTAAAAAAACAAACACATTCCCCTAATATGTATAGCTTTGTGCATATTATTTGCTTGGAGAACTGCATGACAAAATTTAGAGAGAAGTGCGGAATTTGAAGGATGGCTGTGCTACAGCTTGATGGTGTGTGGATGAAGTGGATTCTCTCCAAAAGGGGATAGGAACTGAATTTCACCTCTGTCCCTATAACCCCCACGCAGGTAATTCTGTCAAGTCTGAAGGACAGGACATGCATCACACAACACACACACACACACACACACACACACACACACTGCAACCCAAGAGCTTTACGTGATTGCCGCACATGCATCTTGATGTTTTCTCTTCTATGAAAGTACCATGCTGATAGATGGGTAACCAATGGCAGGGGAGCTCTGTGCTGGTGGCCCGTGACTCTTATTGACCTGCCTGCCCCCCAAGATCAGCAGATGAGGCCTTGGGGGTGCCTAGCCTGGATGAAGAACACGGGTGCTGTGAGCCTAGGAACGGGTCTTTTCAGTGGTGGCTCCTCATAAGTGGAACTGAGGTGCCTCTGACCCCACCTCACTTCTCCTACCTAGGCAGTTATCTTTCCACAAGCGCCAACATTGATGCCGAAATCCAGCATCGCCTGAGCTCTGCGAGTGCAGCTTTCTCCCGACTGAAGTGCAGAGTGTTTGAGGACCGGGACATTTGCAGGGAAATCAAAATGCTTGTTTACAAAGCTATTGTCCTACCAACCTTACTATATGCTTGTGAAACATGGACCACTTATAAACGCCATCTCCAACTCCTCAAAAGATTCCATCAATGGTGTCTCCAAAATTTTTTACACATCACTTGGGAAGACAGGCGAACTAATATCAGTGTACTGGAAGAAGCAAAGATCACCAGTGTTGAAGCAATGATTCTTCAACATCAACTTTGTTGGACTGGTCATGTTGTGCAGATGCCTGATGATCGTCTTCCAAAGCAACTATTCTATTCCGAACTTAAAAATGGAAAGCGTAATGCTGGTGGTCAACAAAAGAGGTTTAAAGACGGTCTCAAGGCAAATCTAAAAAAATGTAGTATAAACACTGACAACTGGGAAACACTGGCCTGCAAGCGCTCCAGTTGGAGAACAGCCTTTACCAAAGGTGTCATGGACTTTGAAGACACTCAAACTTAGAATGCAAGAGAGAAACGTGCTAAGAGGAAAATACGCTTGGCAAATCCACACCACGATCAACTCCCACCCGGAAACCAATGTCCCTACTGTGGAAGGACGTGTGGATCCAGAATTGGCCTCCACAGTCACTTACGGACTCATTGTTAAAACTGTGTTTATGGAAGACAATCTTACTCGGCTACAAGGGATGGTCAAAGAAGAGGAAGAAGTTTTAGTCGACTGGTTCTGATGCATCTGTTTTGGCAGGCGCTCGGCGGAGGAGGAGAGACCTGGTGGCCGCTGCCACTATTAGGAACTGCCCTTTTGTGATTTATTAAATGTTTTTCAGGGCTGCATTATTTCATGGATTTTTGAAATCCCATTTGTCTGCTGCAAACTGCCCATTGGCTTGTGTAGCAGCAGGTGGCATTTAAATTACACACACACACACACACACACACACACACACACATATATGCACAAGCACTGTGTATGTGTGTGTGTGCTTCTGTGGCTGACCTTTAGCCCATACACATTGCATGCACTGCTCAGTTGGCAGAGCATGAGACTCTTAATCTTGAGGTTGTGGGTTCAAGGCCCATGTTAGGCAAAAGAGTCCAGCATTTCAGAGGGTTGGACTAGATGACCCTCGTGGTCCCTTCCAACTCTACAGTTCTATGATTCTATGCCTGCTTCGTTTTCACAACAGCCCTGCAAGGTTGCTTGCATGATTCCATTTCCACGGGCTTTTGGAACAAAGGCTGAGAGATAAGAGTTTTGCATTATCATTGCAATGAATTCATTTGCTACCCTGAACTGCTTTGGGAAGAAGGACAGGAGATAAATTGGAATGATAACAATAGCACACATCAGGTGCTGTAAGATAAAGTGTCTGGGGGAGGGAGTGTCACCTGAAATCAAATCCATGTGCTTCTATTAATCTCTTACTTGGTTTTCATGAGGAGGTGTGGACAGTTTAGTATCTCTTAATGGCTAGAAAAACCATCGGTTGCCAAATGGCACAAACTGCCTGTACCTGAACACGACAGAATCTGGGGAATTGCTGGTACAGAACCATAGAATTGTAGCATTCGAAGGGGCCCCAAGAGCAGGGATATGGCAACCCTTAAGCTGAAGACAGGCTTTTTGTTGTCGTTCCATTTCGTACAAATATCGGAAGCTGCCTTATGATACTGAGTCAGTCCACTGGTTCCTCTACAATGACTGGCAGCAGCTGTCCAAGTTTTCAGGGTTTCGGGCAGGAAGACTTTCAACCCAACCCTACCTAGAGATGCTGTCAGGGATTGAACCTGGGGCCTTCTGCACTCCAAGCAGATATCCTGCCAGGAAGGTACACTCCTTCCAGAAGGTAGCACGGAAATCTTCCTGCGGCAACTTACCCCAGTCTCTCTTATGCTCAACAGGCTTAGCAGGTGTCTGTATTGCTGCAGAAACCGATTTGTCTAGAGCTGAGAGCGGGGCAGAAGAAATTGGTGTGTGGGTGTGCCTTGCCAGAGGAAGCACATCCTCTCGCAAGCCACTTTTGGCTGCCTCAGAAACGATTGTCTGACTTCAGCCTTGCTGAATATGTATGACAGAGGGAGCGGATAATGAACACTATGAAAGGGACGTCTTCCTTTTGTTAACTCTTGGAAGATGAGGTGCAATACAGCTGTAAGTGCATATAATAATAGTTGAATTATGTGCCTGAGTCCCTCCCCACCCTCCTCCCTGTGATCTGATGTTTCCACTGAAAATGCGTGGCTACGAAGCGGATAAAAGAATAGCAATGAATCCCAAAAGTACACTTGCGCAGCAAAAGTGCCCCTCTTGCAGCAAAGACAACAAAAGTGCCCAGCAATGCACACACAAAGGCGGGGGGTGGGGACGGGACACATGTGAGGTTGCAAAAGGAACAAGCCCACATGCAAACATGAACCACACATGCATCCGATCAGAGGCAGTGAACCAGATTCAGCCACTAGGGGTCGACAAAGCCGCACATGTAAATGGCTCCGGGCACACCCTGGAACAACGCTGAGACAGAAGGACCAGCGCTCCAATTCTGGTACGAGACAGCACCCCATGGCCCCTCCTGTGTGATGACACTCAGTTGGCTGAACATGAGACTTTTAAATGTCAGGGTTGTGGGTTCAAGCCCCACATTGGGCAGAAGATTCCTGCATTGCAGGAGGTTGGACTAGATGACACTCGTGGTCCCTTCCAGCTCTGCAGTTCTATCATTCTATGATCCGGCTTAGACCAAGAGGCTCAACTCAGTGTTGAATTTAGGGCCATTCCCCTGTACAGGCCGCTGAGCCAAGGGGGCACCACATTGAGAAGATCCATCACTGAGAAGATCCATTTGGGGGCACCAAATGTTGGCCTGGCTGAGGGGGCCAGGATACCAAAGATGACCCAAGTCTGCCCCCACTCAGTCTCATTTCCCACGAACAGCGGGGTCCGACTTACCCGGATAACGTAGCGCGAGGAGTTCTTGTCGTCCAAGTTGACCGTGAGGGAGAAGAAGACGGCCGTGCTGTAGACCCCCTGCGTCTTGTACAGGAGCTCGTTGAAGTCCCATCGCGCCTGCCTGGCCGTGGCGGCGGCCATGTCCCAGCCGCCGCAGTCCTCCAGGACGTCCAGCATGGGCCGGGCGCCCTGCTGGTCGATCTCCGCCATGTCCAGGCAGGATCGGAAGAATTCCTTGACCTTCCGCTCGGCCGAGGCCTGGTAGGGCCTTCGGATGGGCCTCAGCAGCAGGCGCCGCAGCTTCTCCTCGTTCTGCTCGCCGATGGCGGCGATGATGCCGTAGATGAGCTTGTCCTCTGGGATGGCGTGCCGCCGCAGCCAGCCGCCGCAGGCGAAGGAGTAGAAGTCCTTGCAGGGGTCAATGGTGTGGTCGATGTTGCCGGCGACGAAGCGTGACACCTTGACCAGGGCCTTGCGCTCCTGGCATCCCTTGAGGCAGTAGGCGTCGTATTCGAGGGCCACGTATTTCAGAACCAGGATGCAGCCGAGAATGACGCAGAGCCCCGCTGCGAAGACCAGGCCCGAGAGGAGGCAGATCTCGCGCCGGCTCCAGCGGGGAAGGCCGCAGCGAGGCTTCTTGGGCACCGTTGCGCCCAGCTGAAGGTTGAACCCGTTGGGCAGGGTGCCGCTGCTGCTGTACTTGCTGACATACCTCACCTCCTGGAACTCGTCGTAGTGCGCCGTCAGAGAGTACGTCTTCTCCATCTTTGCGGCAGCGGATGTTGGGCTCTCAAAGTTAAGGGGCGCCCTGTGCGATGCTAAAATCCAGCACTCCCTCTCATGCTTTGTTCTATGTCATGGTTGTGGTGCCCGGTGCAGCCAAAACAGTTGCGCTACCCTAAAACCGCCTCTGCTGGCAGGCCAGAGGAGAGCTTGGAGGGCTGGCTGGGGACAGGGGGACAGAGGTCACCAGGTGGCCATGATGGCGCTGCTGCAGGAGATTCCAGCAGGGGGCGTTTAAGGCAAGCGACCAGGCAGGCAGCAGCAGCAGCAGCAGCAGCAGCAGAAGTTCCTGATTTGGAAGCACCTCAGTCCAGGGAATCCCTCGCGGGACGGGGGCATCCACGCGCGCGGGGAACAGGTGGAGCCGCTTATTTTCCGCGGGGAGAGGCGGGGGCTGCTCTACAAAAAAATATAAAAAACAGCAACACACATAGAGTGAGATGTTTTAATTAGCGGGAGGGAAGAGAGGCGCCTCCACATTTTATAGCATCCTCGGGCGCGCAACGCGCAATAAGAGGCTAGTCGGGAATCGTTCCCCGTCCGCACAGGGAACTGGTGGGGCAGGGAGCGGGGAGAGGAGCCTGATCTCACGCCCCCCTTCCCGATCCAGCCCCGCCAAACTCTCCCCACCCTTCCTAAACTGCAAACTCCCTTCCCTGCTAAGGCCCATGAGATTACGCGCCCGCCAAAACTGCCCCCACCCCCACTCCGGGAGAAAAAGAGCATTTTTAGCGGGACAGACTCCAAGGAGAGGCATTGCCTGGGGCTGCAAGGAGAGTAGCAGCCAGCCCCCCCCCCCCAGCTCCCGGCGGGAAGAGACGCGCGCCTCTTTGGAGACGGGCGGGGGGCGCTTGAAATTGGGACCAGTTCATCGCGACCACCCTTGCCTTTGAATCATTTCTCCTTTCCAACTAGGAGATGATCCGTTGGGGTTTTTGTCTTTCGAGGAATGGGTCTCGCTATGGATGATCTAAGGGGTGTGTGGAGGCGATGCGCGCCCCCTCCCCATCTCTAAGACTCGCCGGCTTACAAAGACGCCCCCTCTCTCTTTCCGTCGCGGAACAAGGGGAAGGAGGCAGCGGGCGGAGAGGTCCGACCAGTCCTGCTACATCTAACTTCCCTGCAGCTCGGGTCGCCCCCATCCCATAACTTGAAGTGGGGGGGGGGGCGATACATAGATCTCCCTTCTGGGTTTGGGCACCGCCGATCGTCTCTTTTCGCCTCGTCTATGAAGGCTTTTCTGCCCTGCTTGTCTTTCTTGCCCGGCTGGTCATCGGGAGAGGCAGAGTGGGAGTCCCAATCTCCCGGGACCAGCGCCAGAAGCAATGGTTTTTTTTGGGGGGGGGGGGGTTGGGACCTCCAGCTTGCCAGGGCTTTCCCTCGCCTTCTCCTCCTCCCAGGCAGAGCAGGTGGCGATTTGCAGCCGATCCCAAAGGAGGAGTCCGGGGGGGGGGAGCTAGCGGGACCCCAGGACGACCGGCCAGCCATGCGAATTGGGGGTGGGGGGCACGCCGGTGGAAGGCGTGCCGGGTCCGCGCGGGGAAGGGAGCGATCCTCCAAGCCTCGCCGGCTTTCCAGCTCCTCTTCCTCCAGAATAAACTGGGAGGGGGGCGTTTAATTCGCGGGGCCCCCTCCGACGTGCCCCCTTCTTGGGGATGAGCGTGTGCGCCCACTCGCGGTGGGAGGGGGGCTAGAGGAAGAAGGTGGCGTGTGCCCACCCTCGGTCCCATTGTTCTTGGCCGCCTTCCCCCAGAGCGCAGCGGCTTCTTCTTGGCACAGCTTTGGGGGGCTCAACAGCCCCCCGTCCCTCGAACCGAACCCGACCCCCCCTCCCACTTTGGGACATGCCCGAGCACCGCTGCCCACCCCTCCCCGTCCGGCCGCCTCTCCGGTCCGGATCTGTTGCGCTCTCCACGGCGGAAAGAAAGCTAGCCGGGAAAGTTGCAGGAGCAGATCTCTGGCTCGGGATCGGGATAGCAGGGGGTCGGTGGGAGGCACGTCTTCCTTTCTTGAGACCCCCACCCCCTCAAAAAGAAAGCTTACCTCCCCAAAGACGAAACCAAGTTGCGCGGAGCAGAATCGGTGCGCCCCAGACCTCGCTGCCCAGTGACGGTCGCGCAGTGGCTGCGCCGGGAGGCAGAGCTGGGCGGGGGGAGCGTCTCTCGCGTCTCGCCCTCCCGGGTCCGATCCCCCCTCCCCAAGTACCTGTAGTCAGAGCCTCGGGTCGCCTGGCTCAGAGCTGCCGCCTGCCCGCCTGCCTGCCGGAGGAGCCGGCGGGGAGGAGGGGGGTGTCTTCGCCTCAGCCCCTCTTTGCGGGCTCCTCCAGCCCGACCATCCCCTCCCCCCTTGGAAGTGCGGGAGAGAGAGAGAGAGAGAGAGAGAGAGAGAGAGAGAGAGAAACCCGCTCGATGATTATTATGCAAATGGCCCGGCGGTGCCTGAGCTCCAAAGTCTTACCTCATCCCTGCCAGGGCTGGGAGAGGGAGGCAGGGGGAGCTGGGGGGGGGGAGAGAAGGGGACCACCTCCTCGCCCCTCTCTCCAGTGGGAGAGACCCCTGGGAGTGAGGAGGGGAACCCCCTGATTACTTGCAGGAGGGATGGGGGGGTCAAGAGAGACCCCCCCTTCTAGAAGAGCTGGTTGAGGACAAGCCCTGGTGAGTGTGAAGCGGGTGGGGGGTCATCGCCCCTGGACCTGGGCAAGGGAATGAGAACGGGTAAAAAAAGGGACCCCCCCAAAAAAGAATCTCACATATAGACTCCCTAGAATCTCACATATAGAAACCTTTTCTCTGCCTCTGGAGGGACTGGAGAGTTTCCCTTCACAGATGTGGTTGGAGGAAGCGCCAGATGTTCGTTTTTTTGTGGCGGGGGCAGTTTCGACCCAGACTGGGCGGGGGCGCGCGGTTCAGCTGGCTTCCTCCAAGCACCTGAAGAACCTGGCCCGCAGCTGGGGCTCTCTGCTTGGGAGTCTGGCCGGTTGCAAGGGGTGGGTGGGGTGGTCCCTCCCCTCAGGCTTGTCTGCGGGGTGGACCCGATGTCCTCTGGGTTCCTTGCCTCTACAGAACGGCATTCTTCAGAGCTCTCTCTCTGTGGTTCCACAGGGGGTGTTTGCTGGGGGGAACAGCTGTGTGTGTGGCAGTTCCACGCCTTTGCTGTGTGTGTGTCTGCCAGGAAAAGTAGAGATGGGCGTGGATAGGAGGGGTTGTATCATCCCTCCCTCCCTCTCCCCCCCACCCCACTTCCAATATCCAGATTGAATCCAATCGGGAACATAACGCTGCATTGCAGATGAATCCCCACCATAAGTCCGCCCTCCACAGCGGGTGTCGCCGGTGGAGATTTATAGCCCATCAATTACAGCGGGTGTCACTCTGATCTGGGTAAATCAAAAGGGTTTGAATATTTATAGGGGGCACATGACGCCACGCACCTGCGGCTACGTTGGCCCTGCTGGCATGCCGCAGAGGGCACGGTGGGCAGCCCCCTCCCTGAGGCCTGTTGGCTTGGCCTGGGAGGCATCTTGCTGGCACAACTGACCACCTGTGGCTGCACTCGCCTGCAGGCCAAGCCGCTCTGCCTGAAAAACATACCTGCTTGGCATTTTAGAGCGTCCCAGGGTGCATTGTTCCAAAGAGTCTCACGAGAGCCTTATAGGGTAGGCCATGATTATACGCACGTTTTACAGCTGTGGGGGCAGAGTCAGGGAGAAGTGGGCTGGCAAGTTTGGGGCGGAGGCACGGTTTGAAGGAGGAAATCCCTGGCTCATCGCCCAGTCTTTGCACTTGTGGGGTGGCGTCCAAATGTGGTCCTCCAAGTCCCTCTGCCATTGGAGCTCTCGCCATATCATACACACACACACCCTTCCAGGTCATGAGCTGGGATAGCTCAGTTGGCAGAGCATGAGACTCTTAATCACAGGATCGTGGGTTCGAGACCCACGTTGAGTGAAAGATTCCTGCATTGCAGGGGGTTGGACTAGATGACCCTCGGGGTCCCTTCCAACTCTACCATTCTGTGATTCTATGCTCCTGCTCTGCATTCTCCTTTGGCTAAGCTGAAATGTCTCCTGAAACTCAGATAATGCCTTCTCCTTGCCTGGAGGAAAGACAGAGACAGAGGCGGATTTAGGGCAGTGCGAATGGTTCCCTCGCACCGGGAACTGAGCTATGATGTAGTGCACATGCAGAATGGGAGGCAAGAGGCGGGGGGTGCCAAATTTTGGCCTTGCACAGGGCACTGCACTGCTGAAATTTGAAAGACCAAATTCTACCCTTGGTGTGTTTGTGTACGTGTAGAAACTTTTAAAAAAGGTAAACATAAAGGACCCCTAGACGGTTAAGTCCAGTCAAAGGCGACTATGGGATGTGGCGCTCATCTTGCTTCAGGACGACTAATCTGGAGTGGAGTCCCCAAGACAGTTGGATGGAGCCTTGTACGCCTCCTTCCAGCAACTCCTGCAGCCAAGCTGGTGCCCAATGTCTTACTCTGCTTTCCTTTGGACCACATCAATGAAGCTGGGAGGGGAGTCTTGTTGTCTGGTCAGCCCAGGACCTCCAGACAAACAGCCCAGGCTTGCACAAATTAATGCAGCAGTTTGATGTCACCCCCGGAGGCGTACTCCACTGTCTCTCAAGGCAGACGAATACCAACCAAGTACAGTGGTACCTCAGGTTAAGTACTTAATTCGTTCCGGAGGTCCGTTCTTAACCTGAAACTGTTCTTAACCTGAAGCACCACTTTAGCTAATGGGGCCTCCTGCTGCCGCCGCGCCACCAGAGCACGATTTCTGTTCTTATCCTGAAGCAAAGTTCTTGACCTGAAGCACTATTTCTGGGTTAGAGGAGTCTGTAACCTGAAGCGTATGTAACCTGAAGTGTATGTAACCCGAGGTACCACTGTAAGTATTTGAACCTGTTGCGTGAATGCTCATCCATGGAATTTGTGTAGTGGTGATCAAGAGTGCCTCTTAGCACGTGCAGAGTCTTCTTCTTCTTCTTCTTCTTCTTCTTCTTCTTCTTCTTCTTCTTCTTCTTCTTCTTCTTCTTCTTCTTCTTCTTCTTGAATTACTACCACTGGCTTCCCAAGTGAGTTTGTCCCTGCCACTCTCTTTAAGTGGGCCTTGAAGAGAGACGTGAAGGGGGAGAGGGAAGCCGGCTGATTAATTAGAGGGAGGGGGAGCTTCTACTAGCCAGAAGACAGAGGGGAAAGCGTGGGAGAAGAGCCAGAGAGCTTTCACAGAGGACCAAGGGTGAGTGAAAAAACGGGGTTGATGGAAGGCAGCACACTCAGGAAGAGACAGGGCTCAGTGGCAGAGCATCAGCTGCCAGCCAGTGTAGGCACCACTGAACTGATCGACTTACTGAAAGAACTTCATGGTGAGTTTTTCCAGCACCTATTTTTCTTTGGGGTGGGGGGAGTGCCGCCTCCTAATCAGATTTAATTGTTCCACCTGAATTTGTCAGTATGTGACAGAATCCCACCCGAAAAGAGAAGAAAAGATTCCAGCAGTTGGTTTCTGTCTTGAATGTCAACTTTCTCAGGCCAGCCCTGCTAAGGCAACCATCCTCCTCCTCTCTGGGTTTGGAGTGCAACAAAAAGCCCTCTAGGACTTGAGGTTGTTGTGGTCGGGCTTTTCATAGTTCCATGCCAGGAATTATCTACCCCGAGTCAGAACACACAGATCCCTCCTACGTTATTAATGGTGGTAGCCACTTGCTCGCACAGGGTAGTAAAAATTACAGGCTGCACAGAGTGGCTGAAATAATAAATCCCAACGTTTTGCTAAGCACTACACAGTCTTATTATTATTTTTTCTGCAGGACTATGCGAGGGTTGGGTTTTAAGTAAGGACGCAGTTTCCTACAGGGCTGCTGCGGAGAGCTACTGAGAGAGTCACACGTGGCTCCTGGCTTGGAGACTGAGGTCTGCGAGCCACCAAGTCTCCCTTGCCTCTAGCATAATAATAAAGGGACAATAAATATTTATAAACACCTTTAAAAAAAAAAAAGCACCCTGAAACCCAGTACAGTATGAAACACAGAATGAACAGTGATGGAAAACCTACCTGCAGGGTAGCAATCTAAAGAAACAGACACACAATGAGGATGGAGAGAAAGAAGACGGGTGGGGTGGGGGAATTGAGGAAAGATTTTGGAGGAAGAGAGGCAAGGAAAAATTAAATTGCCAGCAGAATGGAAGGCAGCCTTAATAAAGCCTCTGACCCTTTTTCTCAGCCTCAGTCTCCCACCTGCAAAATGGGCATAGTATGACTCACCTACCTTGCAATGGTGTTGGGAGGAGTTAATGCATGTGAACTGCTTTAAACAAGAAATGGGGTGGCCCTCCAAACAGGAGAACCGAACAAACCTGGATATTATCCTAGATGTTTTCCATAAGGTTGGAAGTTCTTAAGTTATTTTTCCTAACCAGTCTGAGGACAAGACTTGGGCGAAGTGCCTGCTCACCTCCTCGCAGGGTATCTGCCTGCCCCCAGTCAGGCCACTCCAATGCAAAGGAACAGAATCCTCTTAGAGTCACTGAACTATAGCATCTAGTCCAACCCTCTGCAATGCAGGAATCTCAACACAACGTCCCGCACACAATTTGAAGCCATACCAGACCCTGCTTAGCTTTGCAAATGTGTTCACCGTTTTATTCTGCGGGGGTCTGATCTGAGGGCTGGGTAGGGTGCACCTCCTTGATGGAGACCAGCGATCCGCCTTGGATCAGGCCCCCGGAAGGTTGCAATGCGGCCCCTGGGCTGTAAAATCTCCCCCACCGCTGCCCACTACCCGCCAATCTAACCCAGTCCCTCCTCATCAGAAGGATCTCCTGCTTTCTCCAGGACTCCCCCCCCCCCCCGCCCACCAGCCTTCATGTCCACAGATTAGGCTGTAAGTCTTCTCATTTTCCTTTCCGCAGAGGCCTACTGCGAAAGAGCGTCGCTCCTCTCCGGTGGGACACGTCATCTGTCACTAGCGAGACGACGGAGCATTTGTCTCTGGCAGCCGCCGCGATGGAGTGAAGGGAGCAGCCCTCGAAAGGGTCCCCAGGTTATTGACGCGCCTTGTTCTGAGCTGCTTTGAATTCCGGCAGCGGGACAGAGCCACGCTTGCAGGTCTCACCCTGGCAATCCCCTCGCCAGGTGCTGCCTGGGACGCGCAGGATGCCAAAGAGAGTGCTGGCGAGCCCAGCTTAACAAAAAGAGTCATTTTGAAAGATGGGGGAAGGTGGAGGAGGACAAAGCTGCCACATTGCGGCTTGGGGCCCTTGTATTTACGGGACCTCCTCTCCTGGTCTGCCCTGCAGAGGACCTTAAGGTCCACGAATAACCATAGTTTAGAGGTCCCGGGCTCTAAGGAAGTCAAACTATCTTCCACCAGGGCCAGGGTCTTTTCGGTGATGGCTCCGACTTGGTGGAATGCTCTGTCCCATGAGACCAGGGCCCTTCAGGATTTAACCTCCTTCTGCAGGGCCTGTAAGACAGAGGTATCCCACCTGGCCTTTAATCTCAATTCAGCCTGATTTTTTACTTCCCTTCCCTTCTCTTCCCTCCCTTTCCCCTTTTATGAAGATTACCCACTCTTGGTAAAGGTAAAGGGACCCCTGACCATTAGGTCCGGTTGCAGACAACTCTGGGGTTGCGGCGCTCATCTCGCTTTATTGGCCGAGTGAGCTGGTGTACAGCTTCCGGGTCATGTGGCCAGCATGACTAAGCCGCTTCTGGCGAACCAGAGCAGCGCATGGAAATGCCGTTTATCTTCCCGCTGGAGCGGTACCTATTTATCTACTTGCACTTCGTGCTTTTGAATTGCTAGGTTGGCAGGAGCAGGGACTGAGCAATGGGAGCTCACCCCATCGCGGGGATTTGAACCGCCGACCTTCTGATCAGCAAGCCCTAGGCTCTGTGGTTTAACCCACAGCGCCACCCATGTCCCCACTCTGGGACCCCACAGCTAATTCTCCCCTGGCCTCCTCGCTGGCCCAAGTAGGACTAATTCAGCCAGCTAGCCCTGATGACTAGCTAATGTTTATTGGATGGATCCCCCCCCCCAATTGATTTTTGAACTTTGAATTTTATTGTCATTCATGCTTTTATACTGTATTTTTATGCTGCTTCTATGTTGTATTACAATTAAGTGTTTTAAATTTGTTGTTAGCCGCCCTGAACCGGGAAGGGCAGGGAATAAATAAAAAAAATATTATTTATTTATTAAAGGAGCAGTAAAGAGGAGAGTGAGAGGTAATAAGACAGCCGTCTTCACATATCTGAAAGGGCTGTCACATGGAAGATGGAGTAAACTTGTTTCATGCTTCTACGGAGGCTAGGATTCAAACCAGTGCTCCCCCCCCCAATAAATGTTTAGGGGTGCTCTCACTTTCCTACTCATATTGAAATACTGCCCCTCAATGAGGCCAAACTTAGATTCACAAAATGTTTAGGGGTATGTGTATCCTTGCGCACCCCCCAGAAAAAAGCACTGAGTTAAACCAATGGACATTGACAGACGTGGGTACTATGCTGCTCTGTGCAAGACCAAAATTTGGCAACCCCAGCCCCCCAGCCCTTCTGCTGCCTTCCCAAATGTGGGTAAGGAGGTGCTCAACTTTGAGAAAGAGGTGTGAGGCTCTGGCAGGTAATAATAATAATAATAATAATAATAATAATAATAGTAGTAGTAGTAGTAGTAGTAGTAGTTTATTTATACCCCGTCCATGTGGCTGGGCTTCCCCAGCCACTCTGGGCAGCTTCCAACAAAATATTAAAATACAGTAATGCATCAAACATTAAAAGCTTCCAAGAGCTCTCTGTCTCCTCCCCAGAGCTGGGAAAGCATTGGGAAGGAACCGAGAAAACTCTAGGGTCTTGTCAGAGCCTCGTGCCTCCTTCCTACAACCCAGCGCCCCCTCGGATCAGCACCCACCACTCGCACACCACTCGCACTGCAATGAATTCAAATTCCAGGAAAGGAGATTCCTTGGACGTTTCTAAGCAGAGGTCGGGTGGCCATCTGCCAGGGATGCTTGAGCTGAGATTCCTGCATTGCATGGGGTTGGACTAGATGACCCTCAGGGTCCCTTCCCGTTCTATGATTCTATGACAGGAAGCTCCTGGCCCAAATCGTAGCTGGTCCTGAGAGGCGAAGAAGGAGAGCAAGACGTTGTGTGCAGCTAAACGACAGCCTCCGACCAGAAGCATTTTGCAGCCGACTTCATTGCGAGAACTTGGAGTGTGCATGTTTGTGGCTCGGCAGTTTGTCGTTACATATTAAGTTAGGGAAGATCTGCAGGCGTCGGCAAGGAAACAAATGGTCCCGCGCCACCAAAGAGAACAACAAATACACCAATTCTGAATTAGATCACTGGATCTCCTGCTCGTCTCTGTTCCTTCTTCATGCTAGCGTTTCGGGCACTGCGTCAAAATTATGGAGCTCATTCAGTGTTGGGACCAGCTACTTTCAGCTGCCAGCGTTAGGAACGGCTCTACTATTTGGTAAAGTGGAGAGGCTGCCTCAGGTCAGATCCTGGGCAGGGGGTGGCAGAGAGGCATTGGAGAAGAGACCTGTCTGTGCCATACAACCTGCCCTGTGTCCTTGACGAAGTCGGCTTCCTGGCTTCAGTTGCGGTGGATGACACTGGCCTCCCTGCTCAGACATCTTGTTTTCACAGTGGTCAACCAGATGTCTATGGGAGCAGGATCCAAGCAACACTCTTCCCTCCTGCAGACCCTCTAAATGTTCCTGTTTTCCAGGGACGTCCTTGACTTAGAGAAGCTGTCCCTGTTTCTGATTTGATCCCAGAATGTCCCACCTTCCCTTAGGATGTCCTTATTTTCATTGGAGAAATGTTGGAGGGTATGGAGTTATCTGACCCCCTTAGCTGTCCGAAGGCAATCCTGCATAGGGAAAGGTGTGGTTTTTTTAATGTTTAATGTTTTATTATGTTTTTATATCTGTTGGAAGCTGCCCAGAGTAGCTGGGGCAACCCAGTCAGATGTGAGGGATATGGAATCTCAAAAGATTCCATCAACAGTGTCTCTGAAAAATTTTACACATCACTTGGGAAGACAGGTGAACTAATGTCAGTGTAGTGGAAGAAGCAAAGATCACCAATGTTGAAGCAATAATTCTTCAACATGAACTTCGTTGGACTGGTCATGTTGTGCGGATGCCTGATTATAGTCTTCCAAAGCAACTACTCTATTCCGAACATAAAAATGGAAAGCGTAATGCTGGTAGTCAACAAAAGAGGTTTAAAGACTGTCTCAAGGCAGATCTTAAAAAATGTAGTATAAACACTGACAACTGGGAAACACTGGCCTGCGAGCGCTCCAGCTGGAGAACAGCCTTTACCAAAGGTGTCATGGGCTTTGAAGACGCTCAAACTCAGGACGCAAGGGAGAAACATGCTAAGAGGAGGGCACGTTTGGCAAACCCTCACCATGATCAACTCCCACCCGGAAACCTATGTCCCCACTGTGGAAGGACGTGTGGATCCAGAATTGGTCCCCACAGTCACTTATGGACTCATTGTTAAAACCGTGTTTATGGAAGACAATCTTACTTGGCTATGAGTGATCGCCAAAGAAGAAGAAGAAGAAATAGTAAAATTACCATTATGAAATGGGAGGTCCCTATTTTCATCGGAGAAGTGTTGGAGGATATGCTCCTGTGGTTTCCAGAACTGGTATTCGGAAGCATTGATGGAGGCAGAGCATAGCCAAATGCCTAGTAGCCACCAATAGCTTTATCCTCTGTGTAAGAAAGTAGGTGAGGCCTGACTGGAGCGAGACAGCACGAAATCACACCGAGCAAGCTGCAGTTAACTCTTTATTAGCCAAACAGGATCTGCGCAGGAGCGTCAGGCCCAATGAGCACAGCAACTCAGGTTCTCCCCTTCCTTGGAGGTTTTTAAGCAGAGGTCGGATGGCCTACTGTCACGGATGCTCTAGCTGAGATTCCTGCATTGCAGGGGGTTGGACTAGATCACACTTGGGGGTCCCTTCCAACTCTATGATTTTAGGCGTTGCTTCCATGAAGCAATTCCCAAGACGAAAGATCCTTGATTCCCCACAACCAGCTATGTCTCCTCCTCTCCAAGGTTTTCCAAGCGATTTGCGATTTGCGTCTGTGTCTTTGCTCCTCCCTCTTCATGTCTCTTCTGGTTCTGGGAGACAAGTGGGGAAGGGAGCTTGTCGCAGCAGGAGGGGGAGACACCTGTGCCTCTTCGGAACCCTGACCCATCTCTGCCTCTTGGTCTTCCTCCTCTCCTGCTTCTGCTTCTGACTCTGAATCTGAACTTCTCTCTGCCACAGCCTCTTCCTGCTCACTAAACCCTGTTTCCTCTTCAGCTTCCGACACTCATCTTCCCAATCTTCTCCCTCTGACCACTCGATCGTTCCCCCCCCCCCAGCTTCTGAGCCTTCTTCCCTCAGGGCTTCCCCAGTTGGTTCCTCCAACCAGTCCTCTCTGCATCCAACCAGCCCAGGGTAGGCAATGCCTGTTTCGTCCTGCGGCATCTGCCTCCACCAAACCAAGCCCCATTGGACGACTCCTCCTAGCCAGCTACAAAACCCACACTTCTCTCTTTATCCTGAACCATCTCTACCATAGCTCAAATTTAACCAAGTTTCCTTGGCCTGGAACAAATCCTCCATCAGACTTTCTGATCCCAGATTTACCTCTGTGGCCCACCCACCAACCCCCACCTCTGAGCATAGCTGCTCCTTTTTATTTCTCCAACCTGCCGATGTATTCATGCCTCAACAGCAGGTGACAAATAGGATTTTTCCACTTGTATGATCAACACGGCGTGATTTTGCAATTGAAAATGCAAAGCCAGCGCAGCTCATCCTCGCGCACCGGGGCTGCCGGTGCCGATGCTCGCCGGCTATTTATCCAAGCAATGGGCGAATTAATTGTCCGGCAACAAAAGTCTCTCCCCTCCCCACTGAGCTTTCTCAATTTGCAGCTGGAGGAGCCCTCTTGACTGCCCCAGCGGTTTCTGTAATGGCGCAAGCCCAGATCTTACCTTGGGATGGAGGGGAGAGGCTGGGGAGGGTCTCTGCACAGCAGCAAAGGCCAGATCAAGACCCTAAACTCTGCAAAGATTATTGTGTCCCCTCCATGTAAAATATAATTTTAGTTTTCCTAAACTTGTGTGTGGGACGCGGGTGGCACTGTGGGTTAAACCACAGAGCCTAGGACTTGCCGATCAGAAGGTTGGCAGTTCAAATCCCCACGACGGGGTGAGCTCCCGTTGCTCGGTCCCTGCTCCTGCCCACCTAGCAGTTCGAAAGCACGTCAAAGTGCAAGTAGATAAATAGGTACCGCTCCAGCGGGAAGGTAAACAGCATTTCCGTGCGCTGCTCTGGTTCGCCAGAAGCGGCTTAGTCATGCTGGCCACATGACCTTGGAAGCTGTACGCCAGCTCCCTCAGCCAATAAAGCGAGATGAGCGCTGCAACCCCAGAGTTGGCCATGACTGGACCTAATGGTCAGGGGTCCCTTTACCTTTTAAACTTGTGTGCATGCTGAAATGCATACGTGTGCATGTCATGTGCAACACATGACAGCATCTGATTTCCTTGCATTATGTTTTATCTACCTTAGTAGGGTGCCCCCCTGGTTTAGGTGGGGATAAGTAATAAAAAGAGAGCAGGAAATGGGGGGGGGCAAGTACAGAGTGTAAGGAAGTTTAACTAAGTGTTGATTTCCCCTCTGATGACTGCATCAATGTTCCTTCTCCTCCTCTTCTTCTGGAAATATCAAATGTCAGATTCTTTCCAAAAAAAATAATAATCCTTTTTTGTGTGCCACTGCTCTGCTGGTCCTCTAAGAAGTAGCCGAGTCTGCCGCTTGGGGAGTTGGCTCAGTCAGTACAGCATGAGACTCTTAATTTCAGGGTTGTGCGTTCGAGCCCCAGATTGGTCAAAAGATTCCTACATTGCAAGAGGGTTGAGCTAGATGACCCTCGTGGTCCCTCTGCCAACTCCCATTCCATGAATCCAGCGCTGACTGTTTCTGGGGATCCACAGGCAAACCAGCCTCAAAGCCTGCCTCTTCCAACCTGGTGCCCTCCAGATGTTTTGGACTAAAACCCCAATCCACCCCAGCCTTCTGAGGGCACCAGCTTGGCAAAGTCTGTTACAGATCGCAATTGATTTCCACCCACCCGGAAAAGAGAGAGCCCTGCTTCATCCAGCTGTCCCCAGAGCCCAGAAATAAGTCTGGCGGATCGTGACCATAAAGTTGTGTCCGTTTGTTTTTCACCTAATTAACTCAGACACATCCTTCGAAATGCCAGGCTGCGTCAGGGGGAAGTGAAACACACACAAACCCCTCGTATTTGATATATTTGCCATACAGCAGCTGTTCCATAAACACGTTTTATAGGCTATTAATAATCTGAGATCTAATAGAGATTTTCCTGTAAAGACCTGACCTGCAATTAAACTGTGTTTAAAGGCTTCGGTCCCCTGGGAGATTCTTGGGAACAAAAAGCTTCGCATCCCAAGTGTTTATCTTCTCAGCAGGTCGGCAAAATGAACCGGCAGGTAAATGAATAAGCGTGCTCTCCCCCTGGGCCCACTGCCTCTCCAGGTCTCTCAGAGAGCGTACCCCCCAAATGCCCCGATTCCCCAGGGACAGTTCTGGAATTGCAAAAGCCATTCCAGCTTCTGATTTGATTAGGGTTGCCGTTTTTCAAAAAGTACAGTAGTTTTGGCCGAAGCTTTATCTACAAATCCCAACCCCAAAAAAAGAGTTTTTTTAGCTATTTCTTATGAAAATCGCCAAATTGGTCTGCCATTCAGTTGGGGGGGGGGAGAAATGTTCCTAATTTCATCTGAGGAAAGTTGGAGGCTGTGTATTATGCACACCACATGCAAACTTTGATGTGGTGCTGAGCATGAGAGTTTATCAGCCTCCCCATCCCATATTGGTCCCCTCCCCTCAAGTCCAGCCCAGCTGAATGAGTCCTACTCCCAGGTAGAGCACTGCAACCTTAACGGATCGGATTCCCTGCCGCTGCAAATGGTTTATTCCGTCTGCTACAGCCTGAATTTGGAGTCTAGCCCTTTATTTTTGTTTTACTTTGTTTATTCAAGCCCTCAGTCGGAGATTCACCTTGTTCTCCACTCGCTTCTGCTTCATTTATCTTCGACTTCAATTAGCTTAAGTAGGCTGATTAGTTTGTTCAAAAGTGGACTAATTGAAGTCAAATGTTGCGCAAGCTAAGCAAATTAACAACATCAAATCAAACCAAACACTGTTTTCCACCGTTGGTAATTATTCTGGGCCACTGGAAGACGGGGTCTTCCTCAGCCTTCAGTCTCAGTTAAACTATCACTGGTGGGAGGGATTTTGGGGGGAGGGCGAAGCTCAGAAAACATGATGGGGCAACAACCACCCCCTTAAGCACTTGTTTTCCTGTGTCATTTCAGAACCACCATACCACCTTTCCTTCGCTGTCTCTGCAATCCTAGTCCAGCCTTTGCCCAGCCTGAAACCTCCAGAAGTTTGGGACTACAATTCCCATCAGCCCCTGCCAGGGATTTGTAGTCTTGAACATTGGAAGGGGAGTATTAAATGTCTGATGTTTTACTGTAGTTTTATAATTTGTTGGAAGCTGCCCAGAGTGGCTGGAGCAACCAAGTCAGATGTTGCTGTTTAGTTGTTTAGTCATGTCCGACTCTTCGTAACCCCATGGACCAGAGCACGCCAGGCTCTCCTGTCTTCCACTGCCTCCCGCAGTTTGGTCAGGCTCATGTTTGTAGCTTCGCAAACACTATCCAGCCATGTGGTCCCCTTCTCCTTGTGCCCTCCATCTTTCCCAACATCAGGATCTTTTCCAGGGAGTCTTTTCTTCTCATGAGGTGTCCAAAGTATTGGAGCCTCAGCTTCAGGATCTGTCCTTCCAGTGAGCACTCAGGGCTGATTGACTTCAGAATGGAGAGGTTTGATCTTCTTGCAGTCCATGGGACTCTCAAGAGTCTCCTCCAGCACCATAATTCAAAAGCATCAATTCTTCGGCGATCAGCCTTCTTTATGGTCCAGCTCTCATTTCCATACATCACTACTGGGAAAACCATGGCTTTAACTATACGGACCTTTGTCAGATGAGTGGCATATAAATAACAACAACAACAACAAATTTTAATTATACTCCACCCTTTCCGGTTCAGAAAACCGGGCTCAGGGCTGCTAACAACAAATTTAAAACACTTAATTGATGCAACAAAAAACAGCATAAAATACAGTATAAAACATGAATAGCAATAAATTCAGAATTCAAAAATCAATTTAGGGGGGAAATCCATCCAATAAACATTAGATGATCACCAGGGCTAGCTGGCTAAATTAGTCCTATTTGAGCCAGCGAAGAGACCAGGGGAGAATTAGCTGCGGGATTCCAGAGCGGGTTATCTTTATAAAAAGGGGAGGGGGAGGGAAGGAAGGGGAATAAAGATCAGGCTAAGTTCAAACTGAAAGCCAGGTGGAATAGCTCTGTTTTACAGGCCCTGCGGAAGGAAGTTAAATCCTGCAGGGCCCTGGTCTCCTGGGACAGAACATTCCAACAGGTCGGAGCCATCACTGAGTAGGCCCTGGCCCTGGTGGAGAATAATAATTCTTTATCATCATCATCATCATCATCATCATCATCATCACCATCATCACCACCACCATCATCATCATCTTGCAGGGGTCTGTCCTAAGACAACCACAGATAATTCTATGAGTGGAATGATCTCATGTGACTACATGACCAATTAGATTCAGCTATATAGCGCCATGACTAAGGGCAAACAAAGCAAGCCTGCCCACACTCAGAGCAGGGAGGAACAAAGGCATCCCTTTGGTAACTGCAGAGTTGGCATCAGCAGCTGGCATATCTGGGCAGTCTTGGGATGCCCACCACTGATGCCTACCTGGGGCTCCCTGTCCCCCACAGACCAATGGGCTGAGCAGCACCAGCAGGGCCGGCACACCCATGAGGCAAGGTAAGGCAACAACCTCAGGTGGCAGCAGATCCTGATGTAGAGCTTTAGTCCCCCACTAATTCACTAGGGCTTCAGAGGGTCAGTCTGGATGGCATCAGTGGGTCCCTTCCAGTCCCACGATTCTGTATCCAGTGAGGTTTAGAATCTAAGAGGCTGCTGCAAGATGACGGCCTTAGCTGGCCAGCTAAGTACTGCCATTTATATATCTAAAGACCCTTCCCTGTTGTCATAGAGACAAATGGATGGGCCCACCTCATCTGGCTGAATGCCATGTCATCATTAGGCTGGGGGGGCAAGTGAGTGAGTTTGGGCTGGTGCTGGGAGCTGGAGACACAGAAGCTTGCCTTGCTCTGTATTGGACCCCTGTCAGAAGGGAACCAGCAGTGAATCACATTGTGCAACTTGGAATTAACACACACAATTTCTAAGGACCTGGCAGAGTGTTAGACCCAGTGAGCACAGCAACTTAGTTCTGGTTGGTCTTACCCCCATGAAGCAGTTACTGAGACTGAAAGTCCCCTCCTGCCCAGGGCTTTCCCCAAGCAATCGAAGACTGAACCTGTGTGAAGCCAACCTTTCCTTCGCCCTTTTCATGCCTCTTCTGGTTCTGGGAGACCAGGGGGAGGGGAGCTTATCGCAGCAGGAGAAGGAGACAACAGTGATTCTTCAGCAGCCTGACTCATCTCTGCCTCTTGGCCTCTCCTCAGCTGGTTCCTCCCACCATTCTTCTGCGCCCAACCAGTCCATGACAACCCCAAACTGTGTCTTGGGGATATCTCTGGGAACCTCCCAGGCAGGCCAGATCTGTTGGTGTGTCAGTCCATCCTAAGCTCAGCTTGCACATATCAATAAATCAAACCGCATTTCCCAAAGACACCACCATCTCCACTGACTTCCATTCCAAGGAAATTGAACCCTGGGTAAATGCAGGAACCCCCTGGAGTCACTCGCTGCTCGGAGACTGGGGAGTGTGCAAGAAGGGTGCTGCTCCGCCAATCTCGATTTGCCCTCAGCCCCACCTGTCTGTCTTCTTACTTGCAATGGGGTGACTCAGCCTGACCTTGGCTCTGGCTTCTTCCCCACCAGTCCCAATATGCGTGTAACAGTCACACGGCTTGTGCACATGGAACAATTCGTGCACTCCTGCCTTGCACATGGAAAGATGGCTCTCTTAGACAAACACACTCATTTCTGCCAAGCAGACCTTTGCAGATTCGATTTGCTTTCCTAATTTTTGTATGCCGTGGAGAGATCATTTGGCATATTATTATTATTATTATTATTATTATTATTATTACAATAACCACTTAGACTGTGAGTGGAACACCCGGCAGTTGCTATTCTTCTTCTCTCCACTCGAGCCAACTGCCAACTGCAAACTACCGGCTGAATTCGGATACCATGCAATCAAAGCGTTGTCTGACTTAGCCATAGATTACACAGCCCAAACCACAGGTTTCCAGATGTGTAGGCAGACAAGCAAGCCACGGTTTACAGACACCTGCCTGTTTTATTTCTCCATCTATATTTAGTGTGGAACGGCCACCACCACCATGGTTTGTCTATTCGCTTATTGCTCCAAACCATCATTAAGCTTCCCAAACCATGACTTGGCATGATGTTGAACTCACTACTCTGTGTGACTGAGAGATATATATTTTATTGTAGAAGATCAGTACTGCGCTGAAATCTATCCGCTGCCCCTACAGAAGAGACTTTCATTTTTGCATCATTTTCTGGCACTTTGGAATTCCTTTAAAGTTTCGGTGGGTTTTTGAGGTCACCTTATCCTTGCAAGGTGTGTGGTTTTTGGTTTCCATTAAACTAGGGATGGGAAATCTTTTCTTTAAAAAAAAATACTGCTTTTCTTTATTTTCATGGTACAGAGTATAAATTTTGAGAAAACGATTGTTACAACAGTAAACAACAAAT